TTCTCCAAAATCCTGAACCACCCCGGCCCTTACCATTTCGGCCTGAAATTGGTGTTTATTCAAATTATCACAATATTTGCCCCTACGCCACTTTCAAAGGGATATGGGGGTCAAGATCCATCTAATGGCATGTATGGACATTCATTGTGGGGAAACTAACCTATTAAAAAAAATATATATTTTCCTCCAAAATGCTGAACCACCCCGGACCTTACCATTTCGGCCTGAAATTGGTGTTTATTCAAATTATCACAATATTTGCCCCTACGCCCCTTTCAAAGGGATATGGGGGTCAGGATCCATCTAATGGCATGTATGGACATTCATTGTGGGGAAACTAACCTATTAAAAAAAATATATATTTTCCTCCAAAATGCTGAACCACACCGGACCTTCTAATTTCGGCCCAAAAGTTGTGATAATTCAAATTTTTTCAACATTTGCCCCTACGCCCCTTCCAAAGGGATATGGGGGTCAGGATCCATCTAATGGCATGTATGTACATTGATTGTGGGGAAACTAGCCTATTCAAAAAATATAATATTTTCCTCCAAAATGCTGAACCACCCCGGCCCTTACCATTTTGGCCTGAAATTGGTGTTTATTCAAATTATCACAAAATTTGCCCCTACGCCCCTTTCAAAGGGATATGGGGGTCAGGATCCATCTAATGGCATGTATGTACATTCATTGTGGGGAAACTAGCCTAATCAAAAAATATAATTTTTTCCTTCAAAATGCTGAACCACCCCGGCCCTTACAATTTCGGCCCGAAAGTTGTGATAATTCAAATTTTTACAATATTTGCCACTATGCCCCTTTGTAAGGGATATGGGGGTCAGGATCCATCTAATGGCATGTATGTACATTCATTGTGGGGAAACTAGCCTATTCAAAAAATATAATATTTTCCTCGAAAATGCTGAACCACCCCGGCCCTTACCATTTTGGCCTGAAATTGGTGTTTATTCAAATTATCACAATATTTGCCCCTACGCCCCTTTCAAAGGGATATCGGGGTCAAGATCCATCTAATGGCATGTAAGGACATTCATTGTGGGAAAACTAACCTATTAAAAACTAGATGGAATTTTGACTGCGCGCAGTCGAAAATGATGCCTCCGCCATAGAGCAATTTAAACAAGTTTGGAGTTTAAATCTCCAGTGGTTCTTGAGATATCATGATAACAATCTCAATGTATGGAATTTCATAAGTTGACCTCTGTGACCCTTGACCTTTGACCTACGTGCTCCAAAATCTAATCAGATCGTTTTCCTATAGTGATACACACTATCACTAAGTTTGAAGTTTAAATCTCCAGTGGTTCTTGAGATATCATGATAACAATCTCAATGTATGGAATTTCATAAGTTGACCTCTGTGACCCTTGACCTTTGACATACGTGCTCCAAAATCCAATCAGATTGTTTTCCTATAGTGATACACACTATCACTAAGTTTGAAGTTTAAATCTCCAGTGGTTCTTGAGATATCATGATAACAATCTCAATGTATGGAATTTCATAAGTTGACCTCTGTGACCCTTGACCTTTGACATACGTGCTCCAAAATCTAATCAGATCGTCTTCCTATGGTGATATATACTATCCTTAAGTTTGAAGTTTAAATCTCACATGGTTCTTGAGATATCGCGCTAACAAACTCAATACAAGGAATTTCATAAGTTGACCTCTGTGACCTGTGACCTTTGACCTACGTACTCCAAAATCTAATCAGATCGTCTTCCTATGGTGATAAATACTATTCCCGAGTCTTAAGTTTAAATCTTAAATGGTTCTTGAGATATTGTGATAACGGTCAAACGGGACGGACGGACGGACGGACGGACGGACGGACGTACGGACGGACGGACGTACGGACGGACGGACGTACGGACGGACAACCCGAAAACATGATGCCTCCGGCACCACCTTCGGTGGCGGAGGCATAAAAATATATATTTTCCTCCAAAATGCTTAGCCACCCCGGACCTTACCATTTCGGCCCGAAAGTTGTGATAATTCAAATTTTTACAATATTTGCCCCTACGCCCCTTTCAAAGGGATACGGGGGTCAGGATCCATGTAATGGCATGTATGTACATTCATTGTGGGGAAACTAGCCTATTCAAAAAATATAATATTTTCCTCGAAAATGCTGAACCACCCCGGCCCTTACCATTTCGGCCTGAAATTGGTGTTTATTCAAATTATCACAATATTTGCCCCTACGCCCCTTTCAAAGGGATATGGGGGTCAAGATCCATCTAATGGCATGTATGGACATTCATTGTGGGGAAACTAGTCTAATCAAAAAATACAATTTTTTCCTTCAAAATGCTGAACCACCCCGGCCCTTACAATTTCGGCCCGAAAGTTGTGATAATTAAAATTTTTACAATATTTGCCACTACGCCCCTTTCAAAGGGATATGGGGGTCAGGATCCATCTAATGGCATGTATGGACATTCATTGTGGGGAAACTAACCTATTAAAAAAAAATGTATATTTTCCTCCAAAATCCTGAACCACCCCGGCCCTTACCATTTCGGCCTGAAATTGGTGTTTATTCAAATTATCACAATATTTGCCCCTACGCCCCTTTCAAAGGGATATGGGGGTCAAGATCCATCTAATGGCATGTATGGACATTCATTGTGGGGAAACTAACCTATGAAAAAAAAAAAATATTTTCCTCCAAAATGCTGAACCACCCCGGACCTTCTAATTTCGGCCCGAAAATTGTGATAATTCAAATTTTTACAATATTTGCCCCTACGCCCCTTTCAAAGAGATATGGGGGTCAGGATCCATCTAATGGCATGTATGTACATTCATTGTGGGAAAACTAACCTATTAAAAAAAATATATATTTTCCTCCAAAATGCTGAACCACCCCGGCCCTTACCATTTCGGCCCGAAAGTTGTGATAATTCAAATTTTTACAATATTTGCCCCTACGCCCCTTCCAAAGGGATATGGGGGTCAGGATCCATCTAATGGCATGTATGTACATTCATTGTGGGGAAACTAGCCTATTCAAAAAATATAATATTTTCCTCCAAAATGCTGAACCACCCCGGCCCTTACCATTTCGGCCTGAAATTGGTGTTTATTCAAATTATCACAATATTTGCCCCTACGCCCATTTCAAAGGGATATGGGGGTCAAGATCCATCTAATGGCATGTATGGACATTCATTGTGGGGAAACTAGCCTAATCAAAAAATATAATTTTTTCCTTCAAAATGCTGAACCACCCCGGCCCTTACCATTTCGGCACGAAAGTTGTGATAATTCAAATTTTTACAATATTTGCCCCTACACCCCTTCCAAAGGGATATGGGGGTCAGGATCCATCTAATGGCATGTATGTACATTCATTGTGGGGAAACTAGCCTATTCAAAAAATATAATATTTTCCTCCAAAATGCTGAACCACCCCAGCCCTTACCATTTCGGCCTGAAATTGGTGTTTATTCAAATTATCACAATATTTGCCCCTACGCCCATTTCAAAGGGATATGGGGGTCAAGATCCATCTAATGGCATGTATGGACATTCATTGTGGGGAAACTAGCCTAATCAAAAAATATAATTTTTTCCTTCAAAATGCTGAACCACCCCGGCCCTTACAATTTCGGCCCGAAAGTTGTGATAATTAAAATTTTTACAATATTTGCCACTACGCCCCTTTCAAAGGGATATGGGGGTCAGGATCCATCTAATGGCATGTATGTACATTGATTGTGGGGAAACTAGCCTATTCAAAAAATATAATATTTTCCTCGAAAATGCTGAACCACCCCGGCCCTTACCATTTTGGCCTGAAATTGGTGTTTATTCAAATTATCACAATATTTGCCCCTATGCCCCTTTCAAAGGGATATGGGGGTCAAGATCCATCTAATGGCATGTAGGCACATTCATTGTGGAGAAACTAGCCTATTAAAAACTAGATGGAATTTTGACTGCGCGCAGTCGAAAATGATGCCTCCGCCATAGAGCAATTTAAACAAGTTTGGAGTTTAAATCTCCAGTGGTTCTTGAGATATCATGATAACAATCTCAACGTATGGAATTTCATAAGTTGACCTCTGTGACCCTTGACCTTTGACCTACCTGCTCCAAAATCTAATCAGATTGTCTTCCTATGGTGATACACACTATCATTAAGTTTGAAGTTTAAATCTCCAGTGGTTCTTGAGATATTATGATATGGTGATACATACTATCATTAAGTTTGAAGTGAAAATTATCCAGTGGTTCTTGAGATATCGCGATAACGATCTCAATGTATGGAATTTCATAAGTTGACCTCTGTGACCCTTGACCTTTGATCTACGTGCTCCAAAAGCTAATCAGATCGTCTTTCTATGGTGATACATACTATCCTTAAGTTTGAAGTTTTTACATCTCCAGTGGTTCTTGAGATATCATGATAACAATCTCAATGTATGGAATTTCATAAGTTGACCTCTATGACCCTTGACCTTTGACCTACGTGCTCCAAAATGTAATCAGATTGTTTTCCTGTAGTGATACACACTATCACTAAGTTTGAAGTTTAAATCTCCAGTGGTTCTTGAGATATCATGATAACAATCTCAATGTATGGAATTTCATAAGTTGACCTCTGTGACCCTTGACCTTTGACATACGTGCTCCAAAATCTAATCAGATCGTCTTCCTATGGTGATATATACTATCCTTAAGTTTGAAGTTTAAATCTCACATGGTTCTTGAGATATCGCGCTAACAAACTCAATACAAGGAATTTCATAAGTTGACCTCTGTGACCTGTGACCTTTGACCTACGTACTCCAAAATCTAATCAGATCGTCTTCCTATGGTGATAAATACTATTCCCGAGTCTTAAGTTTAAATCTTAAATGATTCTTGAGATATTGTGATAACGGTCAAACGGGACGGACGTACGGACGTACGGACGGACAACCCGAAAACATGATGCCTCCGGCACCACCTTCGGTGGCGGAGGCATAACAATAGCAGCAATCCATTTACCTCACCTGGGTGGAGTGTGGCAAACACAGATTAAAGTTTTCCTTCAGGACATTAGTGCTGTGACAGGGATAGTGTTGCCATAGTTGGTAGTGTCACAGATTTGTTCGTTGTTGTTGTTTCTTTCTTATCTTTAAGTTATTTTCAGGTACTTGGTAGCCATAGTATACTTAAATTTCAGTTCAATTTAATTCAGTTTACTTGGCATCATAAACAGTTGAGCACAAATCATTAAATACAAAATACATAATAGGCTGGGACCTCTAAAGAGCGACTTGAGCTCGTAAATGAGGACCCTTTCAAGGTAAACACTTCTTATCATCTCTGACAATCCCCAACCCTCAAAGAGAAAAATGATCTCTAAAGCCAAATCTGTATGAAGGGGTAAATCAATACTCACTGGTGGTGACATTGGCTGTGTTTCTGCCACCAGGATTGCTGGATTGATGGCGGTTAGAGGGGCTGGGGACGGGTGGAGTATCCTGGCCCGCCTCTTCCTTGTTCCCCTCCCAGCACTCCTCTGAATGTCCTCCTCAACCCCCTTGGGCTGCATGGATTTCATCCTCTGCATGCATCATAGAGAGAGGGAGGGAGAGAGAGAGAGAAGGAGAGAGGGGGGAGGGAGAGAGAGGGAGGGAGGGAGAGGGAGAGAGAGGGAGGGAGGGAGGGAGAGAGAGAGGGAGGGAGGGAGAGAGAGGGAGATAAGGGGTAGAGAGATAGAGAGAGGGGGGAAGAGGGAGAGGGAAAGAGAGGGAGAGGGAAAGAGAGAGAGAGAGAGAGAGAGAGAAAGAAAGAGAGAGAGATAAAGAGAGAGAGAGATATAAAGACAGAGAGAAAGAGAGAGAGAGAAAGAGAGTGAGAGAGAGAGAGAGAGAGAGAGAAGAGGCAGGGGGAGGGGAGTGAGGAAGGGGAGAAAGAGAAGGTGAGAGAAGAGAACAAATGTGACAGACATGCAGAAAGAGAGAGCGAGAGAGGATATGGGAGAAGAGAGAAACAAACACAAAGAGAAAACAAATTTTTAATACTGTGTTACATCACTTTCAGGCATGTATACATATTGATAATATGGTAGGCAAAGTGAAAGTAATAATTTTGCCTGAATGATGCTTGATTGTTTACATCCTAAAAATAAAATAAAATCCACATATTCTTATAACACAACTACCTAACAGCAATGTTAGAAGTAAATAGTTGTTCTGCTTCCTCCCTCCCTCTCCCTCCCTCCCTACATTCTCCACCTCTCTCCACACACACTAGAATATTCAGAACACCTCAATCAAAGATACCTTCAACTTGCCGATCTGAATAACATCTTTATCATCAGGGGCTGAAACAGGAAAGAGAGACTCCGCCACATGTTCCTGATTCTGCTTACAACTGTTCAAGTGCAGAAAGAAAATATCAAAATATGAGATGGAAAATGATAATAATAATAATGATAATAATATTGGATATTTTTATAACGCACATATCCACCATTCACGGTGCTCAAGGCACTCCAATGTTTGCGGGCTCTTCTAGGTTACCAAGGAATTTATTCTCCTTGATGAACAGACCAAATTTTTGACTTTCTTGAGCGGTCTTTGTGCAAAGTTTTCACTTTATTTATTTCTTACCTGTCAACCCATAGGACAGACACAAGCCGGATGCCCTTCTTGACTGCTCTGTCTCGTGTCGACTTCTTCCCATCTTTCCATACCACATGAGTGACATCATTGGTGAACTTTTTCTCCACCTGATGAGAAAATAAAACAAGGAATCAAAGATTTTTAAAATACGATTGCGTGTGAGCAGTATTTATTAGATTTCAGGTTATATCTCATCACAATTGTGATGAATAGCTTTAAAATCACAAAAAAGATTACACTAGTACACTATTGAATTTAACACCTGGGCCCTGTTTCGTAAGACTGATTATTAATAAAAGCTACTGAAATCCTTACATTTGATCGGCTGTGAGCAGATTGGTCATAGAACTGTGGAAGTTGTTATTGATAACAAGTTTTATAAAAACGGGGCCCTTATGCTAGGAAGTCCACCTTGATATCAAGTTGGTTTTAATAGAAGCAGAAAAACGAGATGAACAGGTCAGTCAAGTTTGTGCAAAATGCAATTAAAAGTAAGAAATTTATTAATTTTTTAAGTTTAGTTACGATCAATCAAACACAAATTGGCAACTCTGAAACGTATCTTGCAAGTTCCTCTGCCAATTTGTGTTTGATTTAATGGTTCTTTGAAAAATTCTTCACTTTCTTATTTTCAATGAATTTTGCTCAACTTTCACTCATATGTTTTGCTTAATTTTACGGCTTCTATTATAAAGCCAACTTAATATCAGGGTCGTCCTCCCCTTTAACTTTGGTCACTCTTGAGAAAACAGGCAATAGACTTCTGATGTACAGACTTTCTATAATATGTAGGCTATACTAAACGCAACTGGGACTTGAACTCACCTTAGCTCCCAAGAGCTCCAGCTGCTTTGACACTCCTTTGGACCGGTTCTCTGTCTTGGTTCTAACCTCAACATATGCAACGACATCTTCAAGAAAAAGAAAGAAGGGGGAAGGTGTCACAGCATAACGTTTCATGGGAAAGATGCAAGCGTTTCAACTGTACATAAAACTATTGCCAACTATGAGACAATTCAAGCAATAAGATGATCATTCACTGCATATTAAAAGAGGAATTTGCTTCCTGATTATTTTATGGGGAGATGGAGAATTTCTGGGTGCATTAAAGGGGAAGTCCACCCTGAAATTAAGTTAATTTTAATAGGAGTAGAAAAATGAGAGAAACAAGTCAGTGAAAGTTTGAGCAAATTCCGATTAAAAATAAGGAAGTTAGGATTTTTGAAGTTGTGATCAATCAAACACAAATTGGCAACTCTATGACGTATCATGCGAGCTCAACTTCCATTTGCTCAGTACTAAAAAAATCTAAAATTTTCATTTTCCCTCAAGAAAAATTTCAACCATACATGCACCCTAAATATAATAATTGCAAATATGTTTCTATACTCCCCCTGCAAGGAACAAATATATATTCCGTCATCAATAACGAAGAAAACATGATTTTATGGAATATTATGCACAAAGCAAATGAAGGAGAGCTCGTATAATAAGTCACAGAGTTGCCAATTTGTATTTGATTGATCACAACTTCAATAATTCATAACTTTCTTATTTTCTTTCAGAATTTGCTCAAACTTTCACTCACCTGATTTTGTTATTATTCTGCCTCTATCGAAACAAACTTATTTTGGGGGTGGACTTTCCCTTTAAATGAATGCAATTGGTATAAATAATTACATTTTGTTCAATAGTTTTCAATAATTTGAGGATGTATTCTTCATCATAACCCTCAAAGTATTCATTTGTAACTTTCAATTGCATAGTTCACATAATAAACACAGGAGCATTTGTTATAGAAATAGGGTTAAGGTTAAGTTTGCAATTAGGTTTGAACTTAGGTTAAGATTAGGGCTTTGATTGCAGTAATTAGGATTTGGTTGGCGAACGTGTACACCGTACTCAAATGGGTCTCCTTTGTTTTCTCTTGGTACATCTGTCACAAGGTTTGGTACACGTTATTGAACTCTCAACTTCAAGAATTTGATCGCCTGAATCTCACCGAAATCGGAGAAAAAAATCATTGCAGACAAGGTATAGTTATATTTTCAATGGTTGGTGTAGGAAATGTTGCAGTCCTGAGCATGAATCGATCATATTAGCCTTTTACATTTAAACGTCATACCTTTGAGCACCCTATCATCGGCTGGTTGTGTGTTTGGGATGTCATCCTCTCCTTCACTGTCCATTATTAGGAATGCATCGTCAGCATTGGTATCACCAGAGCCCTCTTCATTAAGTTCATTTCCTCCCTGAAATTTGAGATTATGGCTGTTGTTCATATACACTAACATAAAGAGTATAATCAGTAGGGGTGCTGGTCTGAGATTGAGGATCGTCCTCATAAACAAGGATATCCTCATAAACGAGGACAAAATGCGCCCTCAAAAATAAGGGTTGTCTGCATTTTCGAGGACGTTTTTTTTCATCAGCGCTCTGGGGGTTTCATGTTACAGAACGGCCTGCTGGCGATGCCAAAAATGGATTCCCGGGGGGAAAATAACCCTAGTTCACCGTCTACTTTTATGGGTTGTCCGTCTTCCCAAAGATTTATTGCTTATAATGTGAAGGTCTCTGTACAATGTCAATGTAAAATGCATTAAGAAAATCATTGCAGAATCCGTTTTTTGGATCGCCAATGTGCCGATCTAAAATATGAAACGTCTCCAAAAATGCAGACGGTCCTTATTTTTGAGGACGCATCGGTCCGTGTGTACGAAGACGATCCTCGTTTATGAAGACGATCCTCATTCTCGGACCAGCGCCCCTACTGATAATCAAATATTAGGCTTCCTAGAAGTTATTTCAATGAGGAAAGAAATTTCTACTTGGATCCAGTAAATACAAACTATATGTCTGTACATGTATGTGCTCGATCTTTAACCTTGTATTTGTAATGTACAAGTTACAACTTGTATGAGTCTAGATATCTAGATCTATGTAATCATATTCATGCCTAGACCAAATTTTCTGTCCCTTTCGTTTGTTAAGCCTCTAATTTGGGTAGGGTCGGCTCTCTCTTTAGAGACGGAAGCCGACTATATGCATTCCCTTGCTAACACCATGGCCATTTATGGCCATATTTTTATGCCCCGAAAATCCCCCCATTTGTCATTGAAAATGAAAAACCGTGATATTACGAACGTGTAGCTCGTGCAGTTTTTCCTTCATAATCATGTCGCTTCGGCGTAGACTAGAAGGGATGAGATTTAGATGACGTCATGCGTAGCGAGAGTTAAAATACGGCTTGCAAAGATTTTCAACATCATCATGGATGTCGATTTTGACCCATAATTTCCTAAAAAGGGACCACTAAACAGATTATTTCAGTCAAGTTGGTAAGTGGAACCGATGTATTATAGCCTAGGCCTAAGTTGCAATATAACATAAATTGGATATGCACAAGGTAAAATGACATTTGGGGGGATTTTCGGGGCATAAAAATATGGCCATAAATGGCCATGGTGTTATAGCAAGGGAATGCGTATAGTCGGCTTCCGTCTCTAAAGAGAGAGCCGACCCTACCCAAATAAGAGGCTTAACGAACGAAAGAGACAAAAAATTCGGTCTAATTCATGCCATGGTAATTATAATAAAAATAAAATAAAAAAGAAACCAGTCAATAGACCCCCTCCGATCCTACTCCCTAATCTAAATAGGTCTAACTGTTAGAAGTCTAGATCTATTGTTGAATGATAATAGATCTAGTAGGGTGTCTGATCGCGCACCCGATGTTGTGTGCTAAAATCTTTCCCATAGAGATTGCACACATCCCTATGTGGTCTACATGCATTGCGCGACCAAGCAAAATTGGTCAATGATTTTATGAAAAATTTGAAATTCAAACCTTTATAACAAATGATCCTGAAGGTGAAACTCAATAAATGTGGTGTCATATGAAAGAGCAGGTTTTTCTCCATATTCCCCATAGGGGGCCACCCCCGGAATTCTAAATATATCTTGCTCAAAACAGCGATTTAAACATCGTTTCCATGGTAACTCGGAGATTTACCAATTTCACGAACTGCCCCCCCGAGGGATAAGTTGGGCCAGCTGTAAAGAATATATCCATGCACTTATTTTTTCTCTAGTCCCAAGGGATCATTTGTTACAACAGTTTGAAAATACCCTTGCTCCACGCTTTGCATATCGTGCTGTGCATTAGCTGTGCAGCTTTTGAGCAGAAATTATAACTCTGCGTGAACCACTTTTCTGTCCATTCTGACCAAAATGCTATGAATATTGCACAGTTTTTGAGGGGCTGTATCTTTTGATAGAAACATCGGTGAGTCTTGAAATTTGAAAGGTATTATTCTGATTACATTTTTTACTCCAATATCCAACAAAAATGGTGAAAAACGATCCCAAATTGAAAATTGAAAAATCGTTCAGACACCCTAGATCTAGACTAGATTCTAGATCTAGACCTACATGTAGACCTATGTTATTATGACTTAGGTCTATGAATTGCTTGATTGATCAGAAAACAAAGTTAAAGTTTCACTGAGTGCTAGCTGTCAACGTTGTTCCTAATATCAGATAGGCTGTAGATCTAAAAAGTGAAAGTTAGGTTTGCTATTTGAAAGAGATTGAAAATCATTGCTGGTTCAGTGGTTGTGCATGTTGGTGGAGCCAGCCGGTCGCTGCCTGTTGCCTACCCCACCGCGCCCGCTTGGACGAGTGCGAGTCGCTGGTCGAAAGGCCCGTGCTGTTTTTTCAAATGTCAACTCTCATCATCATTCACTCATTAGTTCAGAAGCATTAGCTAGAAACAAACAAATTATTAATCAATTCATCGAAAATGTCATACTCTCATTATTTTCACTACACAATTTTACTGTAAATAAAAACAGAAAATCTCACCGACAATTCCTCTCTTGAGTTTCGTTTCCGACCCATTTTCAAAATATCGCGGCGCTATATAAAAACGTCATCGCAGATGGCGCTATAGTAGATGGCTCTGAGAGTTGGTTTATTGACAATGATTTCGGTTCAGCATTATTCTTTTTCATTTGTCTTCTTTTGTCTTTTTTTTTCCTTCTTCTTTTTTTTTTCCTTCCTTCTTTTCTTCTTCTTTTTCTTCTTCTTCTTCTTCCTCTTCTTCCTCTTCTTCTTCTTCTATTTCCTTTTCCTCCTCCTTCTTCTTCTTTTTTTCTTCTTCGTTTTAGTCGTAGTTCATAGTTCATAGTTCATTTTATTTCTTCTTTCACAAACATTTGTACATAGGATTTCAAAAAATGTAACAGGAACAGCAGATTATCAATATAACAAACATAATTTGAAGTGCAATATCAACATAAAACTCTATAAAAAAAGTTACTTAATGTATAAGATCACGTTATGTGCATGAAAGAAAGAGGAGACCTTATAATGCTGGGCTTGTTAGAGCAAGGTCCCCAAACAGAATATAATACCTGAATGCTTTAATTACTTAGAAGAAAAAACATTTAACAACTAAACTACCTTATAAGCAGGCGTGTACGCTTATTCAGCAGCTGGCTGAGTCGTTGCGATTTTTTTTTTAGACCAAAAAAAAAAGTGTCCTGTTATTAAACCCCGCTTATTCAGCTGCTGGCTGAGTCGTTGCGAAATTTTCGGCCCGATTTAAAAATGTTACCCCCCCCCCCCCCTCTTGAAAAAATCCTGCGTATGCTACTGCATATAAGACTAGAAACAATTACATATGGGAAATATTTACAAAAGAGATGGATTGATGTATATTAAAAGGAGAAAATGGGAAGATATTGTACAAAAGGATGGAGAGCGAAAGCGCAAAACAGAACAAAACAACAACAGAGGAAAGTTGAGAAGGAAAGAAGACGTCATGTGTAGGGGAAATGGTGATGGGGAAGAAAAAAGAAGAGAGAGAGAGAGAGTGATGAGAGAAAAGAAAAAAGTACAATAGAGCAAAACAGAACAAAGCGAGTTTTCTAATAAATCAAGAATTGTTGGTAAGGTAAGGTAAGGGCCAGCCTGGAAAGAGAGAGAGAGAGAGAGAGAGAGAGAGAGAGAGAGAGAGAGAGAGAGCGGGGGGGGGGGGGACAATGATGCAAGAAAAAAATTACATACGACATCATTATGTGATGACATAGTTTTTTCAGTAACTCAATTAATGTACTTTCAGTTTGCGTCTAAAAACAGAGACACTGATAGAATGAGTTACATCAATAGGAAGTGAGTTCCAAAACTTGGGACAAGCTAATTGTATTCTTTCTTCTTTTTTCTTCTTTTTCTTCTTCTTCTTCTTCTTCTTCTTTTTCTTCTTCTTCTTCTTCTTCTTCTTTTTCTTTCTTTCTTCTTCTTCTTCTTCTTCTTCTTCTTCTTCTTCTTCTTCTTCTTCTTCTTCTTCTTCTTCTTCTTCCTTCTCCTTTCTCCTTCTTCTCCTTCTTTTTCTCCTTCTCCTTCTAATGAAAATAAGTTTAGAAATTAGAATGTCCCAAAAGTGAGTCCCGCTCCCCCACCGACTCCCTTAGTTAAAACGGTTTACGTCACGACCTGAAATCATCCGTTTTTACACAATGGCAGTGACATAACGACCTGTGTGTGTAAAGATACAAATGCCGATGTATTTCACGGATCGCAACTACTTTTGAAAATTCAACCTATTAAAGGCAATTTTAGTATAGCCTTGTGCGTCAGTGTGCGAACGTGACAATAAGGCATTATGTAATCCGAGCTTGGTTTCTATAATTATGATGACAAATTGACGATGTATACAATATATAGGGTATTGCTAATGCCCGGGAATTGATTTTTCGAAAATAGTTTTGATCGTGTTTTATATTTATCTTGCTTTTGAGGGGGCGGGGAAGGGGGGGGGGGGAGGTTGGTTGACCAAGTTGCTCGCTCGCTCAGATAATATTAAGGATCCGTTCAATGCCCACCCTAGCGGTTCTAAGGGTGATGGGGGGGGGGGGGGCTGAAAATAAGAACCAATAAATAAATAAATAATAACGATTCGCAAGGTATACACATAAACTATCTGAAGCTCCCTCAATCAATATTCCGCCCCCTAAAAAAAAGGCACCCACAAATCCTTCTAGAAGTCGCTCCTGCCTCCTTCCAGAATATATTACATATACCATAAAGATATATAGTTCATTTCATTAGCTCTGCACGAGCCTAAAACGTAAATCTACAAGGAAACAAACAATGTTGTAACTTACATTCTATATGGACTTAAAGAAATATAGCAAACAAATCAGGCTGTGATCTATAAAAGTGAATTTGATTTTTGCTTTGTTTCATGGAATATATCACTTAATACCAGCGCCTTCGTTGTTCCTAAGGCTTGTTTTTTTTTTTTTTTTTTTTATATATACAACTTTGCAAAAGTTACATTAAAATATTCAATTTTTTTGTTAGGGATCATTTACTCTCTTTTGTTGGAAAGGCCTAATATATTCCCTTATTTGCACGTGAACTTTATTCCTATATTGTGTGAAACCAAACCAAAACAAAAAAGTCACAGTACTCTCGAATAAGCAGATTGATCAAAATTTTCAAACGTTATCTTGATATATTTATATATATAAGTTGAAAATAAATAGATACACGATTTATTGTAGAGTAGTAAAACTTTGAATTTTCGGTCATAGGGCTTCATCAGTCAGGAAATGATAATCTTTATTTGAGAAGCATCCAACCAACATAGCAACGTATGCGTTTAGAGCAATGTGCAACAAAGCTAGAGTGTAGTACAAGGACATGAGAAAAAGTAGACAAGGATCGGAGAAATACAGATATGAACGAAGGAGAACAGGGGGAGGGGGTAGAGAACAAGTATACGAGAGAAATGAGAGTGATTAAGTTTTGTTTCAAAACGCAATATCTCAATTTTCTGCCTTCCACGAAAAAACAACGTTGTTTGGGAAAAACATAAAAGGAGAGTTCTCATTTCATTTCACATACTCCCCATTATTATGTAATCGAAACCATTGAGAGAAAAAATCTCAGCTTTCTTTTTCGTCTAAAGTAAAGAGATTCATCATTCGTCTTTGTATTTCTGCTTCAAATCTAAGCCAGTTACCGAAGTTATCCGTTTTTGTTTCTGTTGAATTATTATCGCTACAAAGTTACACATTTTGCAAACATCACATAAAAACATGTTTTCTCCCCTAACTAACAAACGTCAACATTCAAGGGCAGTGTTTATTTTGGGGGAATTAAATTCTTTATCAGCGTAGCTAAGTGCTAAGCACTTTAATCGCATTTCTCCCATTCGTCGCTATAGATACTTCCTAGGCTCCGCCCACAAACAACTAATGCGAGATCGAGAACACACAGCGACAGGTGAATTCTTTAAACGTTATACACATGCACGCTTCGTATACATCTTAGCGGTGAACCGGTGTCAAATTACAGTCCGTTTAGTTTTGAGAAGTTCAGAAATTTGACTCTGTTTACTGCCGGAAAATTGTATTTTCTACGTAATTCCAGCCAGAAGACCGAGCGAAAATTATAAGGAACTTGGACGGGACGTAGTTTGAGGAATACTGTGGAATTTATTTTTGTATAACTTGTGAAAAAACTTAGAGCGAAAATGGGTTGTGGAAATAGCAAGGGTTCGACGGCGGTGGAGAATCAGACAGGTCCGTCAGCGGACACGAACAATCATCAAACGGGAGAGCAACCCGGTAAAGTTATGAACGGACCCGATAAAACCACACAGGAACCACAAGATAGCAATAAACATATAGAGGATCAGCAGAATACAGGTATGTTACGAGGTTATGGAGATGCAGATTCACTTTGATAATGTTTGAGGTTTGAACTTAAACTTCACTGAAGATTTTTAACATTAATTGAGTTGACTGACCGAGCCAAATACGATGAAGTGGAATTAGAAAAGTGAGAGACAACCGAAAGAGGGGACTTGGATGTGCAATATGTAAAAAGAATGTTAGTACTACTAATAGTAGTACATTATGATGATAAAGCGTACCGTACATGCTCTTGCTGAAATTGCACATTTTCTTCTGGAACTATTTCTTTTCCCTTTAAATTACTTACATTTTAAATAAATGTAGAATACTATTCAACATTATTTTACCCCCCATCATCATCATTGTCATCATCATCATCATCATTGTCATCATCATCATTGTCATCATCATCATCATCATCATCATCATCATCATCATCATCATCATTATCATCACCACCGTTTTTATTTTCATAGTCGTATTCATTAGGCCCTACCAGTGATAAAAGATATTGCTTATTGCTTAACTAACTTTACTAGTGATGAAATGTTACACACTTCTTAATGTCCACATATTGCAAATTTTTTGCAATATATTTCAATATAGCCCTGCCGAGTTGTATATGTACGCTTTACATACAATGTACAAGTACAATACTCCTTCATAGTTGAAAAATTGTTGAAAATGTCTTTAGCTCTTCTTCAGATTTTTCATCACGTTTTTCTCATTTCTAATGGGTCCTTCTACTTTTGCAAACATTTGTAAATTGTAATCTGACATACATAACTGCAGTTATACAATCTTAGCAAACAATACAAGACAACAAATTTTAAGGTTAAATGTACATCAAGCAATCAGCTAGACTGCAAGGTTTCGACCTGTATTGATATTTAACTTCTTCTGCCTGACTTTTCATCTTGACTCAAAGAGGTACTCACGTGGCAGACATCATTTCGATGGTCATCAGAAAGCAAATCAATAGCTTATTGTAAACAAAAAGAGAGCAATCCCCTCCTGGCATTTCAATCAATGCTTACATCGATTAACGTGTACACAACTGCAACGTAACCAAAACTCTTCTCTTGAATAAATACAATGGCATAAAAGGATTTCTTGCATTGCCCAGCGACCCTATAGACACCAAACAGTGATTCTATTTTGACCAATGCCTTTCTTACTTTTGACTCCTAAAGTGTTTCATTGATGGTGTAGTCTTTCAGTTTAGATAATTTGTCTTCCAGATTTATTATCATTCACCTAAGGCGCCACACCATGATTTTATTCTTATTGCAATTTAGACTGATTCCATTCTTACTTTTGACTAATAAAGTCTTTTATTGATCCTTGCATCTTTAAATTTAAAGACTTAATTTGTTTGCTTTTTTGAAGTAAAGTGTGAGTGTATGATTACTCTGATCAATATCATATTCTAGCACAAGTCTTTATTTTGAATTGAGGAAGTGACAATCATTATTCCTTACTAAAAACCACCAAAAAAAAGGGGGGGGGGCTGTAAGTGTGGAAGGGGAAGGGGCAGAGCAGAGGCAGGACTGTTGGTAAATGGCCCTCTAAAGTTGTAAAAAGGCAACATCAAAGAGAAAGGAACCATCTTTCATACCAAAGTCCTAGTCTTATACATACCATACTAAATTAAATTGGTCATGGCAGTGCATGTCCTTAATGAGATTAAAATGATAATAATGATAATGATGATAATGTTGAATTGTCGATGATGATAAAATAAAGATGATATGTACACTGTATTATTTGCCCAGCGTAGCCTCATCACTATCAATAGTCAATACCCTACTGTTTCTCCCTGAGGGTCCTGCAATCATATTATTACACTGGCTTAATAAAATGATAGTTAAAAATTGAGATTAATTATCATAGTTACAGAAAAAATATATACCAGTATATGGATAGGCATATATAAATGTTGAACAAGTACTTTTTTTAATAGTTTTTTCTATAAAATTAAAAGAGACTTCTTCCTGAGGGATTTTGTACATTATTAGTATTTTTTAAATTTTTTTTAAGGATTCTAAATCTAAACTGCTTTTTTCACTTTTGTGTACATTTTGTTGCTTCTGTCAGCAACATTTGTACAGTTAAATAAAGACCACTCAAGAGAGACAAGAAAATTGACCTTTAAAGGCAGGCGATCTTTAAAGATACATGTGTCAAGTCTATTCAAGGGGGGAAAATATAATGGTCTTCCTTACAGGGTGGTATGTTTACACATGGTCACCAAAGCAAGTTTGGTGGTTTTGTTGACCACCTTTCTCTGTCATTGTGTCATGATCCTGATGAATAGCCTTATTCTATATAAGGATAATCAAAACAACTCACTCAAGAGATAATAGCATAGGCCTGTCTTCATCAGCTCGAGTTTGCCAATTATATAACCCGCTATTTCCAGACTAAGAAGACAATCCCGAAGCTCAAAATTGCGTCTTCACTAGACCGATACTCTCATAAAAAACTAGCTAAGAACGAGCCCAAATTAGCCTGTTTTTTGTCTTGCTTTAAAGCTTTTAAGCATTGAATCGGGAGCGCCAGGAGTGTCAAATTTGACAGACATGAGCGCTATACAAGAACCCACTATTATTATTGTTAAATAGCAGGATATTTTGGAAACAAGACCAAGATTTCTCAGGATATTTTCTCGACCAAATGTCCCAATAATTGCAACTGCGGGATGATGAAGACGCTAATTAACTGGCTAATTTGCGATCTGGAAAGTTAAAAATAGCGGGTTATTTGGCAAACTCCAGCTGATGGAGACAGGCCTAATGAGGCCTACAGGGATTGGCCGCCCGCTTCAACAATACCTGTGATGTTTTCATTTATTGTAGTTACTGGAGGATAAGAGCCCCTTTCCATGTTGATACACGGTAGAAATCTTTTGTTCGATGAGCCCCTTGACTGCACCCGTTGCCGAGGAAACGAGTCCCCCAGTGCAGCTATTGTTGTGTATCCATCTTTGAAGAGCTTTTCTTTGGATGTCATCCTAATATTAAGATCAAGCCAGGAAATATATGTTCTTGTGGCGACTTTGCGGTTAGGCTTGTTTAGCATGACTTTGTTGGCTATAATTAAGCATTGTTCTTGATGCTTTCTTAAGTTGGATCACATCAAATTCAAAGGGACATGTAAAGATAGATTAGAATAAGTGACAGTTGGCTTTGTTGGCAGTAATAAGGCATTATTCTTGATGCTTTCTAAAGTTGGATCATGTCAAAGTGTAAGGGAGGTGTAAAGAAAGATTAGAATAAGTGACAGTTGAGAAATTTGTTAAAAGAGAAAACAAAATGAAAAGTGCAGTAACAGTTTTGACAGGTGCTTTAATCTCCTACTCTTTATCCGATTTTGACGGCTCTTAATTGGTGAAACCTGTCAGTGAAATTTGAAGTGTATATATTCCAGGAATATGTATAGATGCACTCTCATGTTTCACATAGCACTGTCAGGGATTTGGAATTGGGTGTGATTTGTAAATTGCCAATCATTTGAATGAGCGAGATACAATTGCCTTTTAAAATACATTACTTGTAATATCATGCCAATATTCAAGACTGGCCTTATAATTATGGTTTTATGTTAATTTCTAGCAGTATTTGAAAATAAATGAGTTTAGTCTTTTTCATGAAGTATTCTTCAAGATTAAATGAAAATTTTACTGAAACCATGTCACACACAAACAATAGGTATACAATATGTGTAGGCATAAAGAACGCCATTACTTGATGATATTAGCACTGTAGCTGTATCTCTCAGCAGTTGTTTAATTGTGTCCATGGAAACGCGATTATGCTGTTTGCAGTTTAGGGCCAAAGTCTGATTTTATGGCTTTGTCGTAGTTACATGAAGCCTACTTAAATCTTGGCATAGGACCTAATCATTATTGCCTTTATTGCTGCAATTAACTGTCATTTGGTCAAATGCTTATTCATCCTTTCCTCATTTGGTCTACCGGTAGTTCCATTGTTTGTGTCTATACCCATTTTGCCTACGTTCTACTCTCTAAAAAAAATCGAGTGATCACGGACGTCACTCCTCTGGAGAGTGAAAATGTAGTGAAAATAGAGTGAACATTCACTCTTTTCTTCTTAGAGAGCACTCTAAAATCAATCGATTTTCACTCCTAAACAAGTGATCACGGACGTCACTCCCAAGAAAGTGAAAATAGAGTGAAAATTCACTCTTTTTTTTAAAGAGAGTATGAGGTCAAAATCATTATTTTTGTCAGATGTTTCATTTACATTGTAGTCCATTGCTCTGTCTGTCCAATTCCTGGAGGACTATTTTATTTAGCCTGATTCTCAATTTGATTGGTCCATTAATGCTCATTTTGTCTTTTATCCATACATGTATGTTCCAGTACCAATTGGTCTCAAAATAGTTACTAACAAGGGCCACAAGGCACAAGGGCTTTGTGTGCAGGAACTTGAAAAAGTAGACTAAGTACACTAGACACACTACATCCATACATGTAGAGCTGTCTAGATTGCAATCCTAATATAAGTCACTAATGCATACATGTCCTCTCTATTTCTCTGTATCTTCCCCATAAATTTCTGTCTCCCTTTTTCATTTCTTTCTCTCTCTCTCTCTCTCTTTCCCATTTATCTTTCCCAGCTATTCATCCAGGTCTCCTTCTCGGATTTTCTACTCTCTTAAAAAAAAAGAGTGAATTTTCACTCTATTTTCACTTTCTTAGGAGTGACGTCCGTGATCACTTGTTTAGGAGTGAAAATCGGTTGATTTTAGAGTGCTCTCTAAGAAGAAAAGAGTGAATGTTCACTCTATTTTCACTATATTTTCACTCTCCAGAGGAGTGACGTCCGTGATCACTCAATTTTTTTTAGAGTGTATATTTTTACTGTATATGCATGAACATTGAACAATTCCTTTTTTCATTCTTTTGCTCTCTCATTCTTTTGCTCCTTATCTCTCTCTCTCTCTTCTAGCTTTTTCGTTCATTCTATCCTTTCTCCTTTGTTCACTCCTTTCTTCTCTCTGTCTCTTTCATATCCATTCATCCTAGATTCTCCCTGTCTTACCACTTTCTCTTCTTTTCCCTCTGTTCTATCTCTCCTCATTCCCTTTCCCTTTTACTGAATTATCCCCCCTTTCCTTTTATAACACATATGTGCTCTCCCTCTTTTTCCTTTTCTCCTTTTCTCCGTTCCTCATTTTCTCCATTCCTCCATAAACTGCTCCTTCTTTCGTATTTTCTTAGCTATACATAATGTAAGGTCACATGAACATGTAACTTGTAAACATTGCGTAGGCTGTGGTTTTTTCAAATTAACACTCGGCTATCGCTCAAGAGCAACCACATCAGAGCCTATTTTATGGTTATCAACGGCCAGAGCTACAATGTATGGAACATGTACACAACTTGTAAACATTGCAGTAGACTACGCTAGTCAAAGCAACAACTGCACTCGGCTATTACATAAGAGCAATCGCCTAAGAGGTTATTTTATGGTTTTTATCAACAGACAGAGCTATACAACTATTCACTCCCCTCTGGTTATGTTGCCATGACGACCAATAAGACGTCTTATTTATATCGCATCAGTGTGATGTGTTCAAGGTGCACAAACAACCACTGGGTGAAAAAAGAAGGATTTAAAACCCACAGATGTACACTGTATAGGCATTAAACTCATGCAGGAAAGAGATATTTTCTATTTACCTCATGTATTTATTTTTGTTGTTTAAAGGGATGGTTGATCGAGTAGTGGGAACCCATAAAAACGGGCCGTGAGCTTTAGAATCAAATTTGTTTTCATAATTAAGTTTGTTCCATTAGCAACCTCTGTTGGAAATATTTAATCCTAAACTGATCAACTCTTAAAGATAAAGATCAGTTCTGGTCATGCGATTGCGTTGTGAAAGAAATGTGGAATCGATCAGAAAAGGTTGATCATCTAGCATATAAGTATTGGTGTGTACTGCAAGGTTCTGGAATCATCAAAATGATAAGAAATTTGGCCCAGTCTTGGTAAAGTTACAAGCACTGTACACAGAAAGATGTATATGGGACTACGCACAATTTAAGATTTGTAAATACTTTTTTTACACATTCATACTTTCATTGCACTCGTACAATGAACAGCTCATTTTAGGCCTAATATTCCTTTTTCCTCCCTTTCTAACAAGGAATAAGGGTTGAAACTAAACATAAATGTAAGCCCAAATAAGTGCCAATTTGAGAATGAAATTATAGTTGAATCATTCACGAAAATCATTTCGGAAAACAAGTTCCTCTGTTATTTCGAAACTGATATTTATAGGTACATGTATAGCAAGTTTTATGCAACATTTCCAAAAGTACGTTGGTGATTATTAAGCGGTAAGTACAGGTGTACATGTAGAATACATTAGGAAATCCAGTAGGCCTTCATAGTTTCATTACCAATCATAATATTTGTAAGCGGTCATATTTTATCAACCAAGGGGGTATGGGAGGAAAATGATACCACTTTACACCACGCTGAGAGGATAAAAATAACCTCCAGATGGTAATAAATAGAGGAACCGGTAGTTGCGAAAGGGAAACCCCTGTTTTGCTCAAATTCAGTGAATTTAGGTCGGAGGTCAATATTCGGGTCTGGGTCCTAAGTTTTGCATATATTGAAGAAATGGATGTTTATCAGTCAACCTAATTCAACCAGTCCCTCTTTCATTCTAGATTTACAAAAAAGACTTAAATATCAAATGTACAAAGGGTATAAATAATTTAGTTGATAACTGAACATGTAGATCATGGATTCTAAATTCTTCCTGCAAAGATAATAACATTCCATCTCTAAAATTTATCAAAATAGTACTATATTTTAAATGAATCATAATGAGATATTGTATTGATGATGGAGTTAAGCCTGTCTGCCTCTGCTAATATACTCGACTCCAAGGTGTTGCCCAGGCACCGGCACGCACCTCCATCTTTGTTGGTATTAAAGTGCAAAGCCATCAAATCTAAATTCTGATGGAAAACAAAGCAATGACTAGACCTCCTATATGCACCCCCTGACAAGACTATGCATACCAAGACGGAGTGAGAACTCCATCTCTTGGTTCTTACCCCAGAAAAACAGCGAGTTTGGCCAATCAGTTGCTATGTTTTGAATTAATAACAAAATGGTTGCTAGGCAACGGGGGTCAATGTCTAGCAAGCATTCTGGTCATGATGCTGCTTTGTGTTGTGGCTAAGTAATGTGTTGATGTTTGGACTGCTAGGCGGCGAAAAAGCTGTTTGCTTTCCCCCACTAATCGATTAGGGGTTCAAGTTGAAACCAATCAAGATAATTTAATTACTGGTAGTTTTTTATTTGATTATAATTCCACCATCTTATCTTCTATTTGATGATAAGGCTCCTTAGAATGATTGGAAGAAAGTTATGTTTAATGTGTTGCTCAAGTGGTGATCATGAGAACGAGTGTTTGCTTGCACACATACTCTTAAAGTTAGAGACATTGTATGTGCATAGATGTGCATCTACATTTTTGTCACTTGTATGTGGTTTTGAACTTATGATTAATGACATAAAAATGGTATGAAATTGTTATGTGTGGTAGCTTCATTTGAAGAGTGCCATGATGAAGAATGCCAAAAATTGAAATCCAGATTGGAGAACATTGTACTCAGTACTATGAAATGGATATGTAGAAATAAAGAGATGGTGGCAGATGTAAAAAGAGAGAAAGAAAATAGTAAAAAGAGAGAGAGAGAGAGAGAGAAAGAGAAGGACAGAGAAACAGAGAGAGAGAAGAGAGAAAGAAGCAAGAGATAGAGAGAGAGAGAGAGAGAGAGAGAGGGGGGGGGGGGCATAGCATAGGATTGAATGCATGCATTAGTGGCCAGAGTAAACTAGGTACACACTTGTGAAACTATTAGAGACCTATATGTACAAACAATTTCTTATTGAATATTTTTCAGATTCTTCACCCAAGGAAGCGATAGTAGAGAACGGAGAGGAGAAGAAAGATGCAGAGAAAGATACAAAAATAGGTAAGTCTTACAACACTCAGAATAATATTTGAATAAAATAATTATAAAACAAATTACAACAGGAGGCTGTCAGGAATCTTAGAAGTATACGTGTAGAGACAAAAACAATTTGTTATTAAGGCCTGCATGAACATTAACTCAAGTAGCCTTGTCTAGATGTTGAGCAGGCTTTGACAAGTAGCAGAATAGAAGTAGAAGTCAAAGTCATTTGACGTCACCATCTGAAAGACGTAGTCATGGGTTGATTTGTCTGCATTTATTCTTGTGCAAAGCTACTGAGGGGCACACTGCATGTATGTGCCCCATCTTTGAATGGCATATAAAAATAGAAGGAATAAAGAAGAAGGGAAACGGAGAGAAACGATAGGGAGAGGGGGGGGGGGCAGACATTGTGCAAAGAAGATGATGCCCCCACCCCCACCCCTCAACCTCCTGCCTTCACTAATGACCTTATTCTGTTGTATTTAACCCCCCTCCCCCCAGCCCTAATAAGTCTGCCCCCCCCCCTCATATGACGCAGGTGCCTCTTCACACGCTGAATCCACCCTGTGCTACCGAAAATAGTCACGTGCATATACTTACATACAATGTATCTGAAAGGAAAATTAATTATGTGCTCAGAAGAAAGGTGTTCCCAACAGTATTAGTTATTCCCTTGGTAACATCCTTGCAAGGGCCATACAAAACAATAGGCCTGGCTTCATCAGCTCGAGTTTGCCAAACAACCAGCTATTTCAACTATCCCGCTTGCAAATTAGCCATTTAATTTGCGTCTTCATCAGCCTGCAGTTGCAATCAGCGGGATATTTGGTCAAGAAAATATCCTTAGAAAATATCCCGAGAAATCTTGGTCTTCTTTCCAAAATATCCTGCTATTTGCGCCCATCCGAGCTAGTTTGTGATGAGCGGATCGGTCTGGCGAGGACACAATTTCGAGCTTCAGGATAATATCCTGAGTCAAAAATAGCAAGTTATTTGGCTAACTCAAGCTGATGAAAACAGGCCTATTGTTCTGTTGTGCCTAGTGATGCCTAAGTGAAAATCTTTGCTACCTTGTACAATGCATGATGTTTGAGAGCGAACAACTCTCTTAATTGGACAACAAAAGATGGGTTTACCTTCCTCATTAACGCCTCTGACGTATAGGTTGTATTATCAGGAGTCAAAAGACAAGGAAGGACTGCTTGCCCTAGTTCATATGATACAGATAATTTCATAAGTGAATGACTTTTATTGTTTATCTATTTTGGGATTTTGCTGACACTTTCACTGATCTAATTCTTTCATTTTCTGCTTTTTCTTAAAACCAACTTCATGGACTTACTTTTAATACAATGTATGTAGATCAATCAAATGCCAATACTACAGTCTTATCGAGCCATCAGCTGAAATTTGAAAAATGATCTAATTACCGGTAATTATAAAGCCATATTCATACTTTAGTGTATATATTCACACGATGTAGGTTTATTTATTAATTTACATCTTAAATTGGCTTGATCATGATGAAGCAACGATTGCACAGGTTATGTTGGCTATTCCTTATACTTACATGTTTATATTGTAAGATTATTTAATGCAGTATGAACAAGGTTTATGGTGTTAATTAGGCCAATTTGCATACATTACACTGTACATACCGGGTAGTATATTTACATATTACAGAATTATTTATTTCAGTGTGAATTAAAAGTAGTTGTTTCATAGGAAGTAAATCTTTTATGTCTTCATTCTGACGCAATACCTACACCTGTTAATAAAGCAAATGGTCATACAAATCACATTTATGCACACATTGTAAGATGATTTATTTTAGTATAAACAAGGTTTATCAGACATTAACATCCAATGAAAGCATGATCATGACAATGCAAAATTTGCACCGATTAGTTAGGCCGATGTTTATACATAACATAGTCACATAATGTACGATTATTCATTTAAGAGTGGACAATGTTTCTTTAGAACTTTAGCTATAATGGCATCTTGATAAAGCAATAACCTACAGTACATACACCAGTTAATTGGGTCGTGAAACCCAACCCATTCAGATCGATTCATGCATGTACAGTACTCCTTTTCTTCATTGATTTTCCAATCAATGTGAATATTGGTTAAACCCTTTATGAGTTTGATTAGTCTATGACAACGTTGCGCAAACATTGTAATATTTCCATGAAACATGTATATGTAATTGCTTAGCAACGCCAAGCCATTGTCTGGTTGCCCCTACATACATTCTAACAACTGTAAACATGTACATTATGTATTGAAATCTGGGAAGTCTATATCACATATAGTTCATGTTTAAAGGGTCAGGTGATTGATTGATTAATTGACTAATAGATTAATTAATTAATTGATTGATTGATTGATTGATTGAAAATTATAATGTCCCCTGAAAAGGATATGACTCTTTCAATACCATACCCTCATATTCGAATTATGACAAGCAACAGCTAAAAATGCCAACAGTTTGTGTACTACCATATACACATTCCTCTGTACAGTTCATGTGACTTTCAGGAAAACTGGGCCAATTTCTTATCATGTCGATGATTCAAAAACCTTCAGTTATCATACACCAATATTATATTTATGTGGTACTTGATCAGCCTTTTCGAATCTCCTCCAGACATTTTTGTTCTTCCGCATGACCAGAGCTCAACTTAATTTATCTTTAAAGAGTTTTATTTTAAGTCTCGATCTCTACCTTTAAACCACACAAGGTACTCATCACCATTAACGAACAAAGGAAATGTGCTCACGTGTATTTTTGTTATTGCAAACCATGCCAACACGAGAGCTGACTATTTGTCATTCTGCCAATACTACAAAAGAAGTTGATCATACGATCATTTCATATTTATACAATTCTCCTAGGGATGCTGCTTGAACAAATACAAGCTAGGATGTTGAACCATTTACTGTTAAATGAGGTAGAAGTATTTGAGCAAGCAATACAAAAAATGGAGAGGTCCTCAGATAGTCCAATTTTTCAGCAAAGGTGCACAAAAAATTCAGATTTGCCAATAACACAATATAGTCGTGCCGCTGACAGAAGGGTGTTAGTGTATCGCGCTTTTTGCTTAACTGTATGTGGTATGAATCTACTCAAATTAGGTAGTTACAAATTTACGATCCATTTCCCTTTTTTTAAAATAGACTTAAAAACTTAAAAAAGGAAAACCCTGTATTACCGGTAGGCACGTTTAAAAATGGTTCAACTTGTATAGAGCAACCAACACCATCGAAGGAAGTTAAAGGGGAAGTCCACCCTGAAATTAAGTTAGTTTTAATAGGAGTAGAAAAATGAGAGAAACAAGTCAGTGAAAGTTTGAGCAAATTCCGATTAAAAATAAGGAAGTTAGGATTTTTGAAGTTGTGATCAATCAAACACAAATTGGCAACTCTATGACGTATCATGCGAGCTCAACTTCCATTTGCTCAGTACTAAAAAAATCTAAAATTTTCATTTTCCCTCAAGAAAAATTTCAACCATACATGCACCCTAAATATAATAATTGCAAATATGTTTCTATACTCCCCCTGCAAGGAACAAATATATATTCCATCATCAATAACGAAGAAAACATGATTTTATGGAATATTATGCACAAAGCAAATGAAGGAGAGCTCGTATAATAAGTCACAGAGTTGCCAATTTGTATTTGATTGATCACAACTTCAATAATTCATAACTTTCTTATTTTCATTCAGAATTTGCTCAAAATTTCACTCACCTGATTTTCTTATTATTCTGCCTCTATCGAAACAAACTTATTTTGGGGGTGGACTTTCCCTTTAACAAATACAGTCAAACCTGCTTTAGTGACCACCTGTCTACAAAAACCACATTTCTTGTTTCCCTTGAAAATGGTTTCTCATTGAAACATGTACTAAAGGAACCTGGCTACAAAGACCACTTGTTGTGTTTCCCTTGGGCGGTCGCTTTACAGACAGGTTTGACTGTATATATACTTTATGGCATATGCGTCTGCTAGCACCTTTCTGCCAGCCAAACGATGATGTACCGCCAGAAATTCTGAAATTTTAGAAGGGGGTGGTTTTACGTACATGTACCCCCTTACCCCTCCCCTCCCCTCCCCACTTCCTTTCTCATAACTCATGGATTCTGCACTTTTGTTTGCCTACCATGTGTTGATGCTGTTGCGGAGGTAGTCATGTAAACATGTATTAGACATGAAGCTGTATTCTAGTAACAAGCGATCAATATTGATGGTTGCTAGTGAAACGCGGAAAAGAAATAATGGATGAATCCTTGATTTGATGGGTTTGTTTCGCACTTTTAAATTCACTTGTTAAACTGGAGGTGACCTTCTGATCGAGTTCTTAGAGGTCTTAATATGCTTTTAAAGCCCCACTGCACTACTTATAGCTACTTGCGCCCTCTATATATAGCCAACAATGTCTAAATGGTACCTGTTGATCCCCCATGATGCCCTTTCTTTTCTTATGTTATGTTAATTGAGAATTGATTTGATGAGATAACCACCTGTTGGTGACCACCCTGGGAGGTCTTATCCCGCCTGGTCAAACTAGTGCAGACAAGCTTTAAGGTATATGAGTAAGCCCCCTTCTAGCACTCAGCAGACAATATTGCCAACTCAAACTGAATTTATAACAAAATCATGTATTCAAGTTCAAGTTCAAGTGACGATCTGATAAATAGAAACACAGAGAAGATGCAAATAATTATACATGGAGTTAAGGGTACCATAAAAGACCAAGACCGTCTTGTCAAAATTATGCTCCCCTTATACCGGTATATGAATATGTAATGAAGTAAAATTACAGGTGATCAGACGTTCATTTTGGCGACAATTGTTCCGGGCGTTACTTTTTCAAAGACGGAGGGTTAGGCTGAGGGTTGCAGTGTTAGGTTAGGATTTGGATTAGGGTTAGGATTATGGTTAAGATTAGGATTATGATTAGGATTAGGGATAGGGTTAGGGTGGTGATTATGATTAGGAAGGTTGTTTGAACTAGGGTTGAAGTTAGGAAAGTGAAAATCAAACCATCGGCCCTTGGATTGATAGTCAAACAAATGAACCACACACATCCACACCTCCACTTCAAATTAATTCGGTTTTAGTCAAGTTATTACGTAAATGATCCACGATCATTATCACAATGCCGACAATTAACTGACCGAGACTGAAAATTCTTCTTTTTCTCCTTTTTGCAGAAGAATCGGCCCCTGAACAGACACCAGAACAAGGTAAATTGCCCCTTTCTTGCCCCCTCTTGCCCTTTTGGGCATTTGAACCTCTGTAGAAAGACCGTTCGATAAAGGAGAAAAGTGCATGGTCTTTCTATACAGGTCAATTTAATTGATAAGCATATATGTTTTCCTCTTTCCAACTGCAATTTTTTTTCTTCTAAAGCATTGACTTGGAATAACAGCAAGTTTTATTTTTAATCTATTTCTTGCCAAATTGTAATTCTCTTTATACAGTCTTTCATGCAACTTTGGCAAATGTCCTGGTGCACTTCTGTTTTCTTTATTTCATTTGCAAAAGAAATGTCCTGCTCTGTTTTCAGTGCAGTGCTCTTAATAATCTAATTTCTTTTGAAACAAGTTTTACTTTAAGCTATATCTTGCCAAATTGTAACCATGATTCTTTTTGTGGTCTGTCATGCAACTGGTACTGTCGTGATGCATTTCTGTTGTAATTTTTTCCAAGAAAAATTGTTTCTCTGTTTTCAAATCAGTGCTTTCAATGAGCTGTCTTTCATACTAGAAACTATTAAATTTTCACACTGGAAAATAATAATTTGACCAGCGTTGTGGTTGAGTGCTCTCTTTTATTTCAAACACCCTGTCTCTTGCTTCTGTGCAACCTTTCTGTCAATGCTTGTGTGCTCTCTTATGCAAATTCAGAAGAAACAAAGCCCGTCGTAACACAAGAAGAAACGCCGGCGACGCAAGCGTCAGAAGAGGTCGCACAACCTGAAGTGGTCAAGGAAGAGGAAGAGGTCACGAAAGAGGAAGAGGTCACAAAAGCAGAAGAGGTCACACAAGCGGAAGAGGTAACGGAGCCGGCAACAGAAGAACCAGCAGCAGAAGAAACGGAAGCACCCGCAGCACCCGCGGCAGAAGAAACGGAAGCACCCGCAGCACCCGCGGCAGAAGAAACGGAAGCAAAACCAGCGGAAGAGCCAACGGAAGGTATTGTGTGATCTGCTTTTTATCCGCTCTCAGCTAAAATGCTTTTCTATGACAGGCAAAGTCTCTGATCAGCTTGTGTGTATTCCTTTCTCTCTTAATTGGCTTACTTTTAAAAACTGACAGCTAATCTATCAAAAAGTGATTCTTAACTAATTTATGATGCTTATTTCAGGTGAAACATTTAATCTGCCTGTGCATTTTCCTTTACTCTTGTGGCTTACTTTAAGCTAACAGCTCTTGTATGAAAATGTGATTCTCAACTAATTCTCTTTTACAAAATGAAACTAGCAGCTTCTCACAAATGTGCATAATAGGGTGTTGCATTAATTATAGTTTTCTTACATGTGCATAGTAATGTTTATATCTTTCACTTTTTATCTATCACTTTTAACAAGTCTCCTTTTTTGCACCTGCCTCTCAAAAAGAATGATAACAAATCTATGCCTTTATTTTGCTTGCATCTCTCAAATAAAATTAAAAAAGCATTATCACTAAAAGCCTAACTTTGTATCAAGCAACCATTGTTTGTTTTAAATACAGCAGATCTAAGCCCACCTTTTCCATTTTATATGACACAAATTATTGTTGGAATGGCACTTGCAGATTAAAAATAATTCTAATCATCATGGGTTCTTTTATAGTGCTCAAATCGGTCAGAATTGACACACCCGGCTCTCTACAATAATAACTGTACTAACCATGTTCATTCTTCATTTTTCTTTTTTCTTTCTGCATCATGCTTTTGCTAGAAGTAACAGGGAATGAGGGTGAAAATCCAGCAACATCAGATTTAAATGAACTTCAGTTAGATGAAGGTAAATCATATTAAAAAATTTTCCCACCCCCCCAGGGGTGGATCTAGGGGGAGGGGGGTTTCGGCAGTTTAACCCCCCCCCCCCCTTTGGCGGGAAGTGGAAGAAAAAAAAAGAAGATGAAAAGAAAAAAAGAAAGAAAAGTAAAACGGCGTGATTTTTGGTAAAATCCTGGGTCAAACCACCCCCTTGGCGAAAAGCTAGATCCGCCCCTGCTTCCCCCTCGATTCCATAAGCAATTAATTTTGTAAGTCTGAACGTTGTATTAACTTAAATGTAGTGTAGCAAAATGCATATTTGAGCATTGTTTTGAATAGAATTTTGATATAGAATCAGGGTCTGCTTTAGTCAGACGCCTCTTAAACTATCTCTATGCAGTGTTGCTTTATACATGATTGTTATCCAGTGTGTATGTGTGCATTTCAGTGTACAGCGATTTTCCAAGTGAGTCTTGTATAACTTTGTCTGAACAAGCTATACATCTGTTAACAAGATGTAAGCCAGAGAAATCAAAAGACTAAACTAGTTGTTGTCTAATACAATTTGAACACAAAGCTATAGATGAAGCTTACGTTTAACGTCGGTCATACATATATTCCTTTCTATTAAGTGATGACAGCTAATCTTAGAATCTTGGCTTCGCTGCTCGCCTACTAATATTTAGATTGTGAATAGGCCTGATAACTTCATTGTAAAGCATATTCCTACGTAAAGCATATATTCCTACAAGCTAGCTATCTTTAAAATCGTAACTAACTCTTTATACAATCTCTGGCTTTTGCTATCTCTCTCTGTCTGTGTTGTGATGGGACTCTGTATATCTCCTCTCTCCCCCTTTCTCCATCTTCCATTCTTGTGCTCTCTCTCTTGCTATTTTCCCCCTGGAGCCTTTCTTCCCCTCACCTCTCCTCTCCCCTCTCTCTCCACTCTCCTTTCTCTCTCTTTCTCTCTCCCTCTCCCTCTCCCACTCTCTCTCTGTATCTCTCTCTCTCTCTCTCAATATTTCCCCTTTCCATTCTTTTGCTCTCTCTTCAACTGTATTTTGCCCTCCCTTTGTCCCTCTCTGCTCTCCTCCCCCTCTCTCCCCTCAATCTCCCCCTCCATTCCCCATCTTCCACCTACTCTCTATCTCTCTCTATCTCTTTTCCCTGTCATCCTCTCTCTCCCCCTCTTACCTCCTTTCCTTCTCGTTCTCCCCTCTCTATCCCCCTTCCCTCCTCCCTCTCTCTTACTATCTCCCCTCCCTTCCCTCTTCCCTCCTTTCCTTCTCTCTCTCCCCTCTCTCCCTCTCTTCCTCTCTCTCCCTTCCCTCCTACCCCTCTCAATATCTCCCCTCCCTCCCTCTCTCCTCCTGTCCTTCTCCCTTCCTCTCATCATGTCTCTCTCTAATCCAAGACTCAGCTGTTGATATGGAAATCCAGGCTGTAGAGATTCAGGCAGAAGCCGAAGACGAAGGTACATCATTATTTAGATAAAGTCACAAAGAAAGAAGCTAATTTCTCCTTCTTCATATCTCTATACCTCGATATATCTTCCTTCCTGTAATATCCAAAGTTAGAGTCCAATTGTTAAGATAACAACTCAAAAAGGTTGAAAGAAATTAAGCAAACCCAATTAAAACTACACATATCCTTTTTACTTTTATTCATATAGCAGTCATATGATTAAAAAGAGCTTCCATTAAAAGAAATTGTACCTGCTTGTTTACCATTCTATAGCAATTGTGCTTAGCTTTCAATTTTTCTTCATCTAATTTTTTGTGTGTGTTTTCACCAATTGAACTTATATTTTCTAAAGCAGATAGAAAGCTTTCTTGTTAAATCATTTATCACTTTCATTAGTTTATGTTTTGACCAATGACTAACTAAAAATTACCTGCTGCTTTATACCCTGTCCCTTTCTCTTTCTTCAGCTTTAAAAGAGTACAAATAGATTGATGAAATATAAATACATATCAGTCTTAATGACATGTATGTGAGTATGTGAGAATGAAATGCATTTTTTTTTACAGAGCAGTAGAATGTTTGGAGGGAAGACTAATATTAATGTCAAACTTTTTATCCTTGTGTTAACCCTGACTTTTGTCAAACCAAAAGCAAACACAGCTTCACCTGTTACGGCATCACCGAAAAACGATGAGCAATCAGCCTTTAATGAACCAAATGTTCCTAGTGATGATAATCCATCATCATCACCTAGCGCCGAAACGGGGGAGCATAAAGTTGAGGTATCGGCGTTAAATAACGACGCCGAAATGACGGACAATGAGGTAAACGTGGCAGACGATGCTCAGGCGCAAAGCGACGAGCAAACGCCGACGATAGAAGACACGCCCGTAACGGATGGAAACAAGGATTCCCCAGCAGAGGGCGCTGGAGAAACAGTATCGGAAGCGGCGTCGCCGGTAGAAGACGCAAGAGGTTCACCGGCAAAAGATGAGGGAGAGACGGCGGGAGAAGGTTAGCTAGCTAGGTGATGCCTACCTTAGGCATGTTGCATGGTGCCCGGCTTTACATCACATCCAGATATTAGCGCATGCATGAGCATTTTGTATCATACCCCTTATGGCTGCATGATTCCTTCCCGGCATATCACAGTAGTTTTTAGTCACGCGGTGAAGTCAACCCATCGTTTTCTACTCAAGGACTTAATTGTCGTCAACATGTTTTCGAGCTTCATTCTTCAGAATCCTATACATTTTTTGTCACATCCTTATATATAAGTATGATACATGAACATTTTGTAGCAGATAAGTTCATGCATGAATGTTTTGTTTAATTATATTACCCCTGATGCATGTTCCACTGTCCCATCCCAACATCTCACAGTAGTTTTCAAGTGTACATCAAAGTGAGGTTATCCCTTTGTTTCCTTTGTGTCTACTCGTGCCTGCCAAGTTCTGAGGATCATTTTCCATCAAATATTACAACATTTGTGTCACTTCCAGATATGATCGCATGCATGAACCTTCTTTATTTATTCCCACTGCATGCACAATTCATTGCAGTATCATAAAGTAGTTTTTGAGAGTATATCTCAGAGTGAGATAATTCTGTCTTGTCCTAAATTTTTGAGCATCTCATTTTTTAGATACTTACATATCGTCGCTGTTTTCACAAAGTGACGGTAGTGAAAAAAAATTGCATTCACTTTGCGTGACGATTTTCCTCACTACCGTCACTTCGTGAAAACAGGGACGATATATGTCACCTTCAGAGATGAATTCATGTAAGCCCATGCATGAGCCTTGTGTTTAGTATTCCCAGTTCATGCACAATTTCTTAAGTATCACATAACAGTTTTCTAGTATATATCCCACATTAAAGGAAACCAGTTGTATCTATCTAAACATTTACATGTCATCAATAGTTTCTCACCATCAATTTAGATACCAATCATTATACTTTTATGACTACCTTTTAGTTACATTATTCCCCATGCCGCATGCGTAACCCCTTTAAAGGGAATAGGTAACATTGCTCAGATGAGAAAAAATGGTGCTAAGGTGATGACTTTTAATAATGCTAGATGTACAATGAAAGATATTCTGAAAGTTTGAGTGAAAACAGACCATTATTAATTATAAAAATTGGGAAAACTGATCTAATAGATTCCAGAATTCTCCCAACTGTGACACTGTGAACTCAATCAAGCAGACATAAAGAGAGGGAGAGAGAGAGAGACAGAGAGAGATGTAGAGGAGAGAGAGGAATAGGGGGAGGAGAGAGATCAAGGCATGAAAGAAAGATTTAAGACAGAAACATATACAGAAAGAGAGAGATCGAGAGACAGAGACAGAGAGAAAGAGGGAGAGAGAGAGAGGGAGGGAGAGAGAGAGAGAGAGAGAGAGTGTGTGAGAGAGGGGAAATAAACTACTACACAGTATTTCTATTAACACTACTGCAATATTTCTCTAACATGTAAGATGAATATTACACAAAAGTACAGGTTTATATGCCTTAATTAATCATTGAAAGAGCTTTGTGCCGGCACAAAAGATGTTAAATATAGAACCAAATGTACATGCTTCCAAGCCTTCCTCATGGAATGCCTAGTCCATTAAAAAAAAAATGATTTCACGGATATCTAATTCTCGTTGTTTATGAGGCGTGTTTTAAGCCACTGCCAAGACCACTCACGCAATGCATCTGGTTACGTGTTTCTTACGCATGATCACGGTGACACATGAAATGTTTCTACATGAGATGTTCCTTGCGTTCTTTGCCTTCAATTGCCGCTCAATTAACTCACGCATGCATAGATAGATAAATATAATTCAAATAAATGGCAAGAACTGAAATTCACTGAAAAAACACTCTCAGATCGTAGACAAACAGTGTATTATGTCTACCATTATATGAGGGAAATAATCACTCTGAAAGGGGTTTATATGCGGTAGCTCGATCTAGTCTTTTTAGGTACAAAAAAATCTGAACGTCAATGAGAATATACTGCATTACTTTTGTTGATCTATGGATATCATTAGATAAATTTTTTTTTCATGATAAGAAGTGTTTTGATGCATAAATTGACATTTTTTTAAAGTATGCCAGGGGGGAGAGAAATATACATAAAGAGAGAGAGAGAGAGAGAAAGAGGGAGAGAGAGAAAGAGAGAGAGAGAGAGAGAGAGAGAGAAGAGGGGAGGGAAAAGAAAAGAGAGAAATGGAGAGGTAAAGGGGGAGATCTACAGAGGAAAAGAAAGGGAGAGAAAAAGAAAGAGGAAGGGAAGAGATGAGAAGTATTTTAATGGCACTAATTAGATACAAATAAATCAGTTAATAATATTTGATTGTAATAGTTTGGTCAAGATAGCCACATCAGTATAAATACTGCTCATGTAGCAGCATTATACGCACAATATGACAACAGGGTTAAGATACAAAAATGAATGAGAACAATTAATTATACATGTATGCCAAATAAAAAGATACAATTTAGATTACTTTTAAAAACTTCAACTGAACTAAGTACCTCTCGTATGACAGCCAAGAGCCTTTACCAACATGCCACAGTGCTTCCACATAGTTTGGCTTAACTTCAGATAACCCATTTTATGACAGGATTTTTTTTCTACCATTCTTTCCAAAAGGTATCCAGGAAATATCCATATAACCAATACGATAACAGTAATTGAATAACAATTCATTATTGTCTTTGTATTCCACAATACACCCTCAGTGCGAATGATTTCATCTTCAATACCATCACGATCTATGCATGAGTGGCTGCTTATATACCATTGATCCCCATGAATATAAAGCCAGGCATGGAAGCCATTCTCTCCTATTGTCGCAGTACAAAAGGAGGAATTGAAAAGTGATCAATGAATAATTGAATTATGGAACGTCAATTGGCCGTCACAAAAGTCGTTTATTTGACGACGGTACATGCACAAGGACTATGCCCTCAGCGCTATCAATGAAAAAGATATTTCAGCTGCAAAAGGTCACATGTTCATTTTTCGTAAAAATTTGTTTAAAGCTCATCTGTACTAGTTTGGCTAGGAGGGATTAGACCACCCAGGAAGGTCACTGACAGGTGGCTATCTCATCAAGTCAGCTCTCAATTAACATAAGAAAAAGAGGATCATGGGGGACCAATGGTCACCGATTAGGCATTGTTTTTTATATAGAGGGAGCAAGTAGCTACAAGTAGTACAGTGGGCCTTTAATTGAATTGGGTTAAAGGGCAATGTTGAACTGTACATATCATTGTGTTCTTTGACAATGATTTGCCCAACTGATTCAAGGATGTATGTTGTTACCGGTAATCATATTGATTTATGATTTTGTTCTTTTCATTTTGCATCAGATATCTATATATAGCCTCATCACCTCTCCGCGCTGCCTTTGGTCTTTCTTTTCATTTTCCATCTTATATATTCTATTGACAAAGAGAAGGAATGAATTTAAACCTACCAGTACACATTTAAACATATATCTTTTTGTCATAGATTAATCATAAATCATTTTTATTCCAATTAATTTCACACTATTTTATTGAATTCTGGTTGGATTATACTTACATTATTTTGTATTTTTAATTTAATCCTTGTGCACATTTTATACAATTTTTTCTTTCTATTTTGTTTTTGTTGCTACTTTGCAGGTTTACACAAAAATTTGTGATTAAAAAATGATCATATGGACATAAGTCCTATTGCAATTGAGCAGTGTTATAATGGATAATTTACTGCTCAATATGGAGAGGGTGGGAGAGGGAGAGGGAGTGGAAGGAGGAGAGAGAGAGAGGGGGAAGGAGGGGAAGGGGGGGGGGGGGGGGGGGAGAGAAAAAAAGAAAAAGGAATGGAGTGTAGGAGGAAGGGAGGGAGGGAGTAAGAGATCAGAAATAATGAGAAATAATAATAATGGTCCAGAAGAAATATGTTCATGTACGTAGGGCCCTGGGATTCTGGGAATATGACGTTTTTTCCTTACCCAAACCGCAACCACTGAATATTCTTTAATCGGTAGGGTATGCAAGTTGTACAGTGTGAAGTTTGTTATAATCTATTAGATGAAAGTACAGAGCTATATCATTTGACTATTAATCTACTTTTTAGAGTTTCCTTTCTTTTAATGAAGCAAAGCAAACCTGAACTTTTGGAAATTGAAGTTGATTTGCTTTAGGTCTACTTTTGGTAGTATTCAATCAGATATTTCATCCACTGAGAGAATGAATATAAGAGAGAACAAAAATATTTCTTTTTCTTTCATGTATTTTGCAATCTTCAGTCCAACTATATTACGTCTCAATTTGATGATGAGAAACACGCATCATACTTCACTTGTTTTTTTCTTTTACACTTTTGCTATTGCTCGTTGTGCCAGCGAACTGACCATGAAAAATGCTTTGAATCTTTTCTTCTAAAAATAGTAAGGCAGCATTTCTCTTCATGCTGCCATTTCCTAAGAGATATAGGAGTAACCATGGCAACATAATGATGATTGTTCCATCAATCATATTTGTATAGAAATGTGTTAAATCTTAGAGATTTCATACTCCTTATCTGCCAGCACAGACTCAGTATTGGACTCAGTATCGGTGATCCATTTCCTATTCTATCTCTTATAACTATTTTTCTTTCTATGTTTTTGATATGCGGTATGCATTTATTGTTGATTGAGAAGGCTTTTAACCAGCAAATTACACAGAAAGAGACTGTCACTAGAAGTATGTTCTCCCATGGATTTACTAATGTGTTACCGTGTTAGTGGTGGTTATTTTACCTGATTGCTAAGAAAGCATAAATGCTTGTTAGTAAGCAACCAGTGGACAGACAGCTTTAGATCGTCTCTGAGGGACCTGGTAATGAGGATTATGATCCCTTACCAGAGGGCAGTGGTGCATCGACTTGGTTTTGAACCAAGGAAATGCAAACTATGATTATTAAAAATTGCTTTATTTGAAAGATTTATGAGCAATGTTTTCCTACAGCATCAGTTATTGGCATATATTGTCAGTTATGAAAATATTTCATTTTGTCTGTATAGAGCCATTATGAAGTTAACTCTGTTAAAAATATTATGAGTTTAACGCCATTGTGGTACCAAACAGAAAATTTAGGATATGTAGCACAGTTCTTCATTCATTCCATTTCTAAAAAATGTACAAATCATTATACATGTACATGACAATCATACATACTTATATATTTACATTCGTAAAAATAACAATTATGTTAGAATATCAGCCAATATATTACAATGAATATACATGTACGTTGATTATTTATTGAACCCCTATAGATGGTAAAATCAGCTATCGTTGTCTGAAGTATCACCACACAGGGCAAAAAGGAATGAATGTGTGGATGAATGAGTGAGTGAGTGAGTGAGTGAGTGGGTGGGTGGGTGGGTGGGTGAGTGTGTGGGTGAGTGGGTGGGTGAGTGAGTGAGTGAGTGGGTGGGTGAGTGAGTGGGTGGGTGGGTGAGTGGGTGGGTGGGTGGGTGAGTGGGTGAGTGAGTGGGTGGGTGAGTGGGTGGGTGAGTGGGTGAGTGAGTGGGTGGGTGAGTGAGTGGGTGTGTTAGTGAGTGGGTGAGTGAGTGAGTGGATGAATGAATGAGTGGGTGAGTGAGTGAGTGGGTGGGTGAGTGAGTGAGTGGGTGGGTGAGTGCGTGAGTGGATGAGTGAGTGAGTGGATGAATGAATGAGTGGGTGAGTGAGTGAGTGGGTGGGTGAGTGAGTGAGTGGGTGGGTGAGTGCGTGAGTGGATGAGTGAGTGAGTGGATGAATGAATGAGTGGGTGAGTGAGTGGGTGGGTGGGTGAGTGGATGGGTGAGGGAGTGAGTGAGTGAGTGTGTGTGTGGATAAGTGAGTGAATGAGTAAGTGTGTGGATAAGTGAGTGAGTGAATGAATGAATGAATGAATGAATGAATTCATTAAATTATTGAGAGAAAAGTAAGTGTGCACATGTTGCCTCAATTCTATTTAAAGAATGTGAGCCAATCCTGCTTAGAGACAATGATCTTTACTACTAATAATTACCCCTTTTCATCCATTTGTTTTATATTTCCAATTCATATGCATGATTTCATATGTTTTCAATTACAGATTTGGGGTTAATATTCATCTAGCATGTCATTGTAATATTTTATCCTAATCTTATGCTTTCCAACACTGCTAATTTGACCTTTTTACCCCCCAAAAATCTAATCTAATATTAGTAATTGTTTTATTCACAATCAATGTATATGTTATGTCAGTTCTTCTTATTGTATCTCGATGTAGTTTCCCCGTTTCACAATACTGTAGTTTTATCATTCTATATATATGTGTTGTAAATGGTTATTGTTATGTTATTCCCACATCAAATGATTGAAATGTATAGTTTGGAAATGTTATGCCTTTATCCATCAAACCTTTTTCCTTCTTCTGAAGACAGTTCTTTTTCATGATGTTGTGTATACCTTTTTCCCTGCTGTTTTTCAAAAGCCCTGAAAAAGGTTTTCAGCATTTAATACTATAGACAAGCTGATAATGTACACATATTGTATTTACCTTAAATGTGTAATCTGTATGTTTGGATCTACTCATTTAAATAGTTCTTATGAGAAACATTTAAAGGAAAGTTTTAAAAAATTGCAGGGACGCCGATCTGGTTCAGCAATTATCATAGATCATAACTTATAAAGTCATTTATGGTGTGAAGACATATTACCATGCCAAAATTACAAATATAATTTTTCAAAATCTGTTTTTTAAAGGTTTGCAAGTTCAATATTCCATGTCAAATTTTAACATGAGATTAATTGACACATGCATTATTCATTTTACTGAGGTTATATTTCCCAAGAACTGTAACATTGATTAAAACAGTAGACCTGAAGACCTGAAAGCAGCTAGTCATAATGTCTTACTTTTTTGTTCTTCCCATCTCTCTCTCTCTCTCTCTCTCTCTCTCATGTCTCTCTCTCTCCCTCTCTCCCTCTCTAATTATCTCCCTCTCTCTCATTATCTCCCTCTCTCTTTCTCTCGCTCTCATATCTCTGTCTCTCTCCCTCTCACCCCCCCTCTCTCTCTCTCTCTCTCTCTCCCCCTCTCTCTCTCTTATTTTCTGCACAATCAGGCGAACAAGCCAAGGCTGATGGCGATGAACAAGCTACAGGCGAACAAGCAGCAGAATAAAGACGCACCCCTTAACCACCATTAACAAACAAGACCGCACTTCATCTCGTTGCCATGGATACACACAGTGGATGACACTGAGACGACATCAAGGAAAATGTTATTTTAGAATGTTCATTTCATGTGATGGATGAGAGGAAGGGGGGGGGGAGTTAGTAATACTCGTAAGAAACACTGACAAGTCAGCTAGCACATCATCCTGTTGCCATGGCTACGCACAGTGGATGACGTAGCTTCAAGAAAAATTTCTCTTCATGTCGGGGGGGGGGGGGAACGTGGGGAGAAGATACTAGTTTTTGAAAAAGTCTTGGAAGAGTAAACTCAAATAAAACTGATTATCGTTATAACTGAGACATCTTAGTAGACTGACGGCCCACGAGATCGATACTCCGGTCACATCGTTGAGACCGAAGCCAGACCGACTACAAACTGACCAAAACATTACATTACCCCCAAGGCTAAAAAATCAGTTGGTTTGGAAGTGGTTCGACAGTGTGACTGAGGTTTGACAATGCCAGTCTAGAGGGTGGTCAGTCTTGTTGGACATTGGTCTTGTCGGCTATTGGTTTCATGGACTGTAGAAAAACACAACGTCAAATTAATAAACACCAGTTTTGGATAATGCTGCCTTTATAGGAAAGACAGTTTACAGTCAATAAATTGAGATATATTTCAGAGGACAATTAGGCAGCTGATTTCAAAGAAGTGATTATGATTCTAGGGAAATGGGATTTCATTCGGTTATCAATTACAGTGGAACCTGCCTATAAAGACCGGAATACAAGAAAGAGGGTCTTTGTAGGCAGGTAGTCTTCGTATACGGTTTCTATTCGGTAGTGCAGGTTTCAACAAGAAATAAGTATCAAGGGAAACAAAGTTTGTGGTCTTTATCGACATGTGGTATTTCTAAACAGGTGGTTGCTTATAAACAGGTTTTACTGTGTGTCTGTGGGAGTTTGAAATCGCTTTAGACAACTCTACGTCTCTCCTGCCAACTCTTCTTTTGTTTAAAAGAAACATCTTTGTGGTGATTTAAAGATATTTTAATGAATGCTTAGTGTGTAAGAAATTTATGTATGTAACATATTGTGTGAGTTTAGGGTCTCTGAATTCCGTCCATATTTTGAAAGATGTGTGATTACTGTAGCTCTAAGGGTTTTAAAAAAGTGTTTGGGTTAAAATCGCTTTAGTCTAGAGATTTCAGGTTTTAACCTTCCTAAAAGATGTGTGTCATAAATAATATTCATCTAAAAGCTCATGCTTATACCCAACCCGTTGACTAGTGAATTCTGTGATTCCCTTCATTTTAGTCAGGACCACCTAGTTCCTGTAGCCTATGGGTTAAAATGTATAATTCCAAAGGAAATTGACTTCAAATCAGAACTTCTGAAGAAGGAGTGTGAAAACAATTTGTGAAATTTGAACTCATCAAGTTGTAACATTTTAAAATTGTTTTACAAACTTTATATGATTATGATGTTTCGGTAGGGTGGGTATACTTGTATGGTAAAATATAAACCTTCATGTATTCAAACTAGTACATGTGTTGTAAATTATATGTTGAAACGTGTGTATGCCTGTCTCAAACAGGTATATATTGAGAGTTTCATGATATTGTATGTTTTGTATATTGTGTATATAAGGCTTATATTGTATATAGTATAATTTATACTAACAAAAAAATACTCATGGTCATTCCATTAATTAGCAATTATGGCGAGGGAAAAAAGTCTTAAAGACCTGGTCAGATCGAGTTCCTTGATAACGATTGAAGAGGTCGCACCCCACAAATTTATGCACCAAAAAAAAAAAGTTTCATTCAAATACTACGAACATCACCTCCATCCCTTTTGCTGTTGTCGCCTCAAAGCAGTGACATTTTGTGTAATTGTCGCGGCTGTTCCCTAAAAGAAATGTTGGCCGAGCGATCCCAAGAAGACGACAAAAACAATTGAGGGAGACTCAGCGTAAATTGATGAGGTCTGACCTACAACAGTGATTTCCAATTCGTTTTTGACTTGCCAACAGGGAAGTGTTTTGGGACCGTTATTGTTCTGATTATCGTTAGAGTTATCAGTGAGGTCTCACTAGGTCTTTATAGTCTTGTGTGAAAAAATGTGGACTTTAGTGTTGATGCATATCATCTGTTGAAAGCCAGAAGGGTATTACCTGTCTAAAAGTGTACGAGGGAATGTCCATCTGGCTCCTAATAGACAATATTAAGTTTATGCACAAGTTATGTCTTGGATAATTAATTTTAGAGTTTGATGCCAAAGGCATGTTTTAATAAATTCTAGGAAGTGCATGGTTGATACTTTTACAATCATGGAATAAGGATTGATTAAGCAGGAGCAATATCAATGAAACTTTATAGGCCTAGCAACATTTTTTTTCTTTCTAAATCATGATGAAAAGTGTTTTTATTTTCCACATGGTTGCAATGTATGAACTTTCAGTATTCACAGAAACCTTAATCCATTCCATAAAACTTGATCAAAGTCACCCTTTTGCCAAAATGCTGTTCTCGCAGCCGATCAAATGTAATCTTGACAGCAATTTCTCTTCATCATTGTAAAAAAAATTCATAAAATGGGCCCAAAATTTGGTTGATAAAACCTCCCAACTCAATTTTGTTTTCTTTTTTGAAGAGAAAACAATCTTTCATGATTAGATTATTAGAGCATTGACTACCATCTTTAAGCAGATCCATTGTGGCATTCATTTTGCAAACATGCATTTTATGGGTTTATCAGAATATCAAATCAGTCCTTTACTCCAAAATATACATGAGGAAGAAAAATAATCGCCAGAAACTGAGTTACATGATTATATCGCACCACAGGCAATATTTACAACCAAAACATTTTGGGGGGTCTTTGAGTTTGAGAGTGGTGGTTATTTGTCTTACATTTGCAGAAGTTAAATCACATGGAAAACAAATTCAACCCAAGTGACATAAATATGTGACTTTTATCAACAAGTGTTTTTGTATTTAGGTGGTTGCAGCAATTAGTACTGTATTAGACTATTTTAAGGGCTTTAAACTTCACTCGAACAATGACAGATTGAAATAATCATTAATTCTCTGTCAATGATTTTAATTTGGTTGATCTCAATTTTGCCATTTTAACACAACTCTACATTCATAAAACATCTATACAGTGATATCACCTAGAGTATAAACTCCTCAACTAGAAAAGGTTGCTTGGAAATTCATAATACATATCCTTTATCCCCTTCAAAAAAGCTAGGAATTATGTGTATGTGATATTTGAACTGTGAAATCAACTCGGAAAGCAGAGCCTGTATTTTTATATGCACATTCCATTGATTTTTACTGTTTTAGTAAGATGTACATAATTTCTTAAGTAATACCGGTATTCTTATTTAGTTTTTTTTTTCTGTGCAAAAGTACATCATGATCAAAAGGAAGGAAGTATGTAAATATAGAGTGTAGTGTGCCTTAATCATCTCAATGCATTAATTATTAATGCTACATTGCATCCAGCGCCTCAAAGCTAGATATCTGACGCACGTAGGAACAAATAGAATTTGTAATGATGACAAAATCAGGCATAGATGGGCAACAATTTGAATGATGCAAGACGAGGGGCTATATTTCAGGGGAAGGTTTCTTAAGAGTAGAGAGTGAACGCCAGTTGTGTATGATATGTTTATCCGTCCAGGCTTTTAATTTTATAATGATCCCAGGGAAATATATGGTTTGTTAACATGTTTTAGCCTCATTCTTATTAAAGGTGAACCCCCTCAAAAATTGCTGCAGCAAACTATAAAAGAAATGATATGGACACTAGTGAATCGTAATTATTAAATGTTAATTTTATTTCAGACAATATTGCCCTTAAACATTGGATATTGGTAAAGTTTATAGATGATTTGTATATATGTTGATTGATTGGCTCAGCCCATAATATAAAATGGAGTTGGATAGGAGGACGGAACTTTCTGGATAATTCAGAAGAAAAATGGTATTAATGATCCTATGCACTTGTAAATATATCTGTTTTCAGTTGTTTCATTAAATCATGACTTCTTATACGTGTATGCAACAGAAACATGCATCTTGTTAATTTTTCTTTCTATTCACCTAATTTTTGCAATTTCTGTGTATATATTACTCTTAGTGGCATGCTGATTAGCTATCGTTACATGTACCTTGTCGTTTTGAGGAGCACGTACTTGCATTTATACAGAGACCGGATAATAACATTCTTGGAATAAATGGTTTAATCAATGACTTCTTGCTTCTTTTGACTTGTTTGTACATGTACAGCAATCTACACTTTGGTACAAATATTTAAACTAATAAAATATTTATATATACATTTTTTTAAATATACAAATAAACAAAATAAAAACATATTTACAAGGTGATGATAGTATGAGAAAGAGGGAGAGAGACAGAAAGAGAGAAAGAGAGACGCAAAGAGGAGAAAGAGAGAGGGAGACGCAGAGAGCGAGAGAGAGAGAGAGAGAGAGAGAGAGGAAAAAAAAGAGGAAGAGAGAGACTGAGCCTGTTTGAAGAGAGAGGTTTGGATTGGGGTTATGAGAAGAGAGGGGTTTGACGGAAGAACAAGGAAGTGCGGTTCTTTCATTTTTAGGGCTGCTTTCAAACCTAATTTTTGTCGATGGCACTTCCGAAAATGAAAGGGGGTTACCGGTCTTCATTACAATGACATTTTTTTTTGAATTCGGGATGGGGGCCTCGAGCTGTCCTAAGGATCCGGGATCCGCGATTCTAAAAACAACAACACCTATGTTTCAGAAAGATTTCGTTGAGAGAAGTTCAGATTTTGCCTATGCTTACTCTAAGCACGTCATGCTCCCCCCTCTCTCTCTCTCTCTCTCTCTCTCTCTCTCTCTCTCTCTCTCTCTCTCTCTCTCTCTCTCTCTCTCTATCTCTCTCTCTCCCTCGCTGTATCTATGTCGTGTCTGTCTCTATCCCTGTCCCTCATTTTCTCTCACTCCGTATCGGAAAAATTACTCCTGAACAATTACCCTGAAAATTACCCCCCGGAAAATTACCCCCAAAGACAATAACCCCCCGGAAAATTAGCCCCAGTGGACAATACCCCCCACCCTGAGGACAACTACCCTCCGGAAAATTACCCCCCCCCCCCGGAAAATTACTCCTCACCCCTAAAAATTACCCCCTATTGGACAATTACCGCCACCCTCCCGAAAATCCCCCTTCCCCCTGTTCATTAAAGGGGAAGTCTACTCTGAAAATTAGTTGGTTTTGACAAGAGCAGAATTTATTTAATTGTCGCGGGAGGGGGAGGGGGTAATTATTATGGGGGGGGGGGGGGGTTCAGGTGGTTAACTGTCTTTGCGGGTAATTTTTCCGCTGTTAATTGGCCGGGGTAATAGAACCCTCTCCCTCATTCTCTTTTCCTGTCTATTATGTCTGTCTGTCTCTGTCTCCCTCTCCCTCTCTGCATCGTAATAGCTGTCTACCTGTCTCTATGGCCCGAATTCACAAAGGAGGTTTGTCGATCGACAAACCTTTTGTTATTTACAAACCAGATTTGTAAAAAAACGCGTCAAAACGCGTCATATGACGTACATAAACCTCGGTTTGTCGACAAACCTCCTTTGTGAATTCGGGCCTATATGTCTTGTCTGTCTCTCTTTTACGTGTTTCTTGCACTCTTTCTCCCGCCGCCCTCTCTCTTTCTCATGCACTCCCTCTCTCTTTTTCTCTTTCCACTCTCCCTGAGCGAATGAATGCTTCAGTCGATTGCCCTATACATAATGGATAAAATGAAAATATAAAAATTAATTAAGGACGAACAGTTCCGATCCACCCTTTCATCCTTGCTCCGTTTTTTTGCGATCAATCCTACATTCTGCAAGCAGGTCGCCTTGATATTCTCTCAGTAAGACAGGATGGGGAGGGGGGGGGGGGGGAGGGGAAGGGGGTAAGGTTGACACTCTCCCCTGAAAATTCTATACCGGACACTTTCAATTTATACTTTTATGGACTCTTGGCAAATCTATTTCAATTTGTTTTCTTCTTCTATTTAAATAATGCCTTTCGGCAATTTTTGATATCTGAGGAACTTTTTGGTCTGCAGCCCCCCCCCCCCCCTCCCCTCCATTCAAAATAGCCTGGTAATACCCCCGGATTCTTAACAAGGAGAATAATGACGTCAATTAACTGGAAGTTTTACTGGAGAGCTATAGTAGTTTATATCAACCCTATTCACTGTTTGTTTGATTTTGTCGTAACTGGTCATTTCTCGCCCGTGCATGGAGATGGAAGGATATCTATTTTGATATTGGTATATACAAGGAGACTTTGCCATAGCTGAGAATACGTTGCCATGCCAACTCTGAATATGATAAAAGTTAATCTTCCGACTTGCGTCATCGGTAGGATAACTATAGGTGACTAACTCTGATGTTGTTTTCATCTTTTTTGTTTACTCGGACTGACCAGAGTATGTTTAAGACCATGCCGTTAACGATTGTAGCAAAATTGAAATTACAGGCTTCAATTGCTTTCTTCATGCTCTAAATGCTTCTCTGCACAGTCGCCTACTTGCCGCATGTGTAGTTTTGTACAAAAAATATATAGGCACCAATTATTGATAGAAGGATTGCTTTGTGCACCTAAATGCCTTGCAAAATCACAATTTCTAGTCTTGATAAGCTATACTAGTAAATGACAACCATATTAACATTGGTATAGATGAATCTGGAATTAGAAACAATTACAAATTAAAAATCGTTTGAAGCCAGAAGGGCGTTATAACTCTGTGCACAATGATACGAGTCAGTAATCTTGATGCCTTTTTAAAAATATCTATCCCATGATAAATACAATGTGGCGCATGGAGATTATTTGTGTGGTGAATGAAGGGTTAATGTTATCATAACCATCATCAGCAATATCACCATCATCTTCATCATCACCATCATCATCACCATCATCATCACCATCATCATCATCATCATCATCATCATCATCACCATCATCACCATTATCACCATTATCTTCATCATCATCATCATCATCATCATCATCATCATCATCATCATCATCATCATCATCATCAACATCATCCTCATCATCTTCGTTATTATTACTAACAGAACCACATGCTTACAAGGCAATTGGGGAGGAGGGAATCGTAGATTGCATCCCCTGACGATTCCAAAAAAAAATATGATACAACCATGGTGAACCGTCATCTCATAATTGCATGGTGCAGCGACGCGTGCGAATATCTTCATAGTCATCTTTATATTCATCTTCATCTTCATATTGGGCAGCGAGGCGCTCAAATTAAGTAGTGTCTCATATAATATCTCATTTTCATCTGGTACATTTTGATGACGTGAAAACATAGTTTACCATATTGAATTGTCCGTTTTACGATTGCAATCGTCAGCCCCTGCCCCCCCCCCCCCCAGTGGCTCATCAACATCACCACCACCACCATCACCACCACTAAACCCTTCATCGTCATTTGTAAGGTCTCCGTTATCAGTATAGTCCTGGTCGTCCACAATATAACCAGCATTGTTGTATAATTACCATCATCATTGTCATCTTCATCACTATCATCATCATCGTCATCATCATCGTCATAACCATTATGATGATCACCATCCTCGCCTTCATCATCTTCTATGCTGTCTAAAACTAAAACCATCACGTCATGCTGCTCTTTCAATACAATTCTCTTCTTGTAAATATTGACATTTTTTCGCTAATGAAATTAAGAGCTAATTGAAGTGCTTATAATTGATCAATTAGAAATTGCGCAAATATCAGCTTGGTGAACTTTGTTCATTCTTTTACCCCGTTTCCTACGGTAGCGTCTTCAACATAACCCATTTGCAAAACTTATCACATTTTTTTGGTCGATGAAAGTCCATCCGTAACAAGTAAACATTAACTTTTCTTTTTTTAATGATCTTGTACCTTTTTGGCTTTAAATAACATTCCCCCCCCCCCTACACCAGTCAACACGATTTATTTTTGAATGAAGATACATGTAATAGTTGGATGTAGGGAGTGAATGAAAAAGTGAACGAGAACCTCTACTTTAGAGATTTAGTTTTAGATATAGTTAGAGTAATTAGTTGCCTGGGCCCTTACATGAAAAAGTAATCCTGATTATTTTGTCTGATGCTGAAATAAAAGAACATTAAAAAAAAGAAGGAAAAGACAAGAAAGAGAGAACATTAAACACATTGAACAATTTGGTTTCCACAGTAACATATTTATTCAAATTTCATTCAGATTTCTACACAAAATAAACAAATATTGTGTTTTTCTATATCTTTTATATTCACAGTTTCTAATTCATCGCTAACATTTCTATAACCAATTGAGAGCACAATGTATTCTCGATGAAAGAAATAGAAAAGTGGTAACAACTTATCTGTTATTTCTCTCTTTTTTCTTGATTTGGCAGATTATTATGATGTGTGGTTGACAAACAACTTCACCAAAGCCGGACAAAAAAAGGATACAAAACTAAGACATTTAGTTAAACAATACATCCCCTTACAAATCGTCATAAAATCAAGTTATATAATTTTGAATGATGAAAAGTAACTAGCTATCTAGAAAATATATTTACAGATAAATAAGTATAATTCTTGTCACTATTAATTTAAAACGATACAATCAATTAAAGACATACTACAAGAATAATTCCCTCATTTTATGAGGTTTCTGAGTAAACAACATCAAATGTACAGTAGGCTTGCGGGTGCACCATGTGAAAGAGAGAGAGGGTTGAGGAGTCATGGTGCACCCGCAAGCCTACTGTATATCTACATCACCATGCAAGCCGACACTTACAAGCAGCATCTAACATGAAATGTATTTTCATACACACCAAATTTCTGATGTGCTTCTGAAAATCAGGCAGGCTTCGTGTGAGACAGGGAATTTTTAAATATTTTTTATAAATCGAACATTAATTGTTCTTTTATCTTGGTTAGAAATATCAACTGTTGCAAAAAAACAATTTTAAGCTCAAGTTCAAATTGTTGAAACTGGTTTATTCAACCGTTCTTGGATGAAAGATAATCCAATATATTTGATAATCATGTACTATTTATCTTGTTATAGTTACCTGGGGTTACAATTTATTTTTAATAATTTTAGTATACATGCCACATGGAATAATCTTTTCTATCTCACACTCCTATCATATTGAAGACAGGTCCTGTGAACATAGCAAAACAGCAAAGTTTGATGAAGAATTAAGATTCTATCTTCAAAGTGGGTTTTCCTTTCTGCTGTTAGAAACTTTTCAACAATTCTCTTCATTAAATATGATATTCTTAATATTTCCCTCATTGTATCTCTTGTGTGTAGTCATAATACTAAACAGTATACATTTCAAAATAAAATAACGTAATGGGACACAAACGCATAATATGCTAATAAGGATACAATGAAGCATTAAGGTCACAGGTTGCTTATTTGGTCTTAGCAACAAACATACCATAAAGGAATACATCAGGAAAACAGTCTCTTCCAAACTTCATCACAATCATGACATCAAAAATTCTTACAAGTGCACTGATCTTAAGGTCTAAAAATAATACACTTCAATATTTCAACGTTTGCTTATGTACAATGGGGTGGAATTTTCAACATGTGAAAGACAATTTGTACACCAGCTATTAATTAGTACATATATAATGATTTTAATTCCATATAATCCTTTGTATAATCTTCCTCTGTGGTTCTAGAAAGTAAAACTAAGCAAATCTGACTAAATTATATGCATTGCGCTGTTCTGCTGAATGGGGACTTGCAATATCGTGGGAAGCAAAAAGTTGTTACATTAAAATTCAAGTTTGTGTGTGCTTATTTGTTACAAAACTACTCAAATTGTTTTGCTACAATCGATTATTCACTCCTTCATTAGTGGATAAAGAAAGATATTGCTGTCATGTTTAAATACTAGTTTAATAATAATAATAACAATAGTGTAAACAAAACGTCTAGGGACGTTCATGGTGCTAGCTCAGCAATAGTTCTCTTTAATACAAGTAAAATAAATGTTTATTTGCAAATAAAGATTTAATAACATGTATAGAGGAGTCAAAACCTGAGAAGCGAGTTACCAGAAATTTGTTGTATGGCATAACGGTACACACGTGCTAACTCCATTCAGTCAACTACATGGTTTGCAAATTAAATAATCCTTTTATCAGTTATAACAACTTAAGATATTTACTCTAAAGTACACATATTCTAAAAGTGCAAAGCATAAATAAAAAGTAAAAAGTGAGAGAAAAGAAAGAAGTCTCTAAACAGGCGATATTGTTCCAGGCAGCTTGATATATGTCTATAAAATAACAAATCATGAATGAAAAAATGAACTAAAATAATAAGGAGTTAAATACATTCATGTACTTTTTAATTTCCATGAAATTCATGGGTGTATGTGGAATGCAACATTTGAATAATTACAATTTAGTACACAATAGGTAGTTAGTTATCTATATGTGGGTTTCTTTGTCAAACGGCTCACTCAAAAAGAACAACGATAAGTCCTGCATGTTTTCTAACATGACTTTACCTATCCTCTCAAAATGCAGTCTTCCATCACCATAGAAGTGCATGCTCTGGCAAAACATCATGGACACTTCCATTTTGCAAGCAGGGGTGTTTAAGCATGGTAAAATGATGCAGTCACATGACATATATAAAACAAAAAATGGTTTCATTTATTTTTGATGACATGCACACTGCAATTCTGATTGTTTCTTTGTTTGAGTCCATTGAAGAACAAAACAATTATTGAACAATACTGAGAGTTGTTATCATGAAGAAACACAGAAAGAAAATGGGAGGGGAAGGAAGAAAAACAGAGAAACAGAGGAAAGAGAAAGATTTGATGGATTGAAGGGCGAAAGAATACAATAATGTTTCTCAATACTGTTATTTTTTGTCTTACATCGGAAGCTATAATGATTGAGACGTAAACAGACTTCATTTGGGCAACTCTTTACTGAATCTTTTTACTATTTTCATCATTCACCCAATTCGGTCAACTCTTCGAAATCATTAAAAAAAGGAAAACTTGTCTCATATTATCTTATAAAATTTTGTTTTTCATACAATAAATTTAACAAAACATAACACTTGAAACATCTCAACACTATCATCTTAATACTAACATTAAAACAGGGGGCCATTTAAAGCCCCTCTTTTGTTTGAAGTCTTCAAAAATCACCCCTGAAACAAAATGGTACAGTCACACATGCACATGTCTGCTCCATGAAATTAGGGAGATTCCATTCTACAAGATGGGTGTGAGCAGCTTCATGTAACAAAACTAAAATCTACTACCACACCGAAGCAATCCAGTAAAACATTCATGATATAAATCTCTATGATTGCATGCTTCCCTGTTGCCAATTATCAAAATACTCTCTTCACAACACATTTATTACATGTAGTCCTAGGATATATGTATTCACGCTGGGTTCAAGTATTGCATCAGTGTAACTCCTACTAATAATGCTCCAGTCTCCAGTCTCTGGGCTGCATTGGTTCAGTGGTTAGTGTGGTGGTCTTAAAATCAGGAGATCCTGGGTTCAAACCACATATTTCTTCTTGTTTTAAACAAAAAATATGAAACTTTCCCCTCACGTTAAGATTTTGAATCACACTACACAACTTCCAGTTCAAAAGTGCACATAAACTATCACTATGCAGTAAGGATTCTGTACCTGGGTTCTTTTCATATTTTTTTTTTTAGGAGGCGATGATGATAATGACAGCTAGGACAAGGGGGAGGGGGATGGGGAGGAGGAGGAGGAGGAGGGGGGGGGGGGGGATACGAGGCTACCATCACAAGGAAAGTAACTGGACTGGTTTTGGAACTCACAGGATCACTTCACTACCTAAACCTTCAGCGTGTGACCATATAACAAGGAGCACGACGTACATGACCTATCACTACGCGGATTACCAACGTATCCATATTTTATTCAAAATTTTCCTTGCAACAGACAGTCTATTCTGTCCATGTACAGTCAGACCTGTCTATAGCCACCGCCAAAAGGAAACGCAAAAAGTGGTCTTCGTAGACATGTTCCTTTAATACAGGTTTCAATGAGACACCATTTTCAAGGGAAAACAAAAAATGTGGTCTTTGTAGACAGGTGGTCACTAAAGCAGGTTTGACTGTACATATAACTTGAATGTACACCTATCAAAATTGAGGTACAGATATAACATATAGGTAGGGAGTTGCTCCGGATACTGTCTGTTCAGAGTCAAAAGGGCATTCATCAACAGAGTTAACGCCCTTCTGGCTCCAAACAGATGATATAATGATTGCAGTCACTATATCAACTTCCATGATTCTGTAACGGGAGTAGATTTTTTTATCAGTGGATAACAGCTTCTTACATCTTGAAATTCGTTTTCCATTATGAATCAAAATGGTGGGAGCAGTCAAATTGGGAATCTTGTTGGACTTGGATTGCTTGTTAGCAACAGCCCATCAGACTGACAGCCCACAAGATCGATGATGTCAGTCCCATGGAACTTCTGAAGGGTTATCTGAGGGTTCACATGAGTGACGGCCCACTTAGCCGGCAGTCCATCATCACAGACTGAAGTTTGTCCTCGCCAATATGCAATTTCAACTGATCTTTAAATAAATGAGAGAAAAAACTTTGCTAATACAGCCCATTTAATACCTATCACAGTTCTTCTTCACCCTGTTCTAAAGAAAATTTATATTGAATGAAGGATATAGTGTTAGCTGCCTGCAAGAAGGTCACAACTGCCTTTGATAATACATAGCACTTGTGACCTTGCGGGTAGCCGATGCTAAAGAGAAGGTTGAGTTCTGGGAAGAAGTGAAAAATAATTTGTGAGCATTACTCATTCTTATTATGCAAGTGTGGAAGAACATCAGTTAAGACATGTTCCCTGAAAAGCATGGCTCTTCAAATGCCTTCATATTCTAAATATGGCATGTAACAGCATACAGGTCAGGACAGATTTTCATGCCAAATGTTTGTGTAGTCCCATATACATATTTCTGTGTACAGTGCTTGTAACTTTACCAAGACTGGGCCAAATTTCTAATTATTCTGACGATTCCAGAACCTTGCAGTACACACCAATACTTATATGCTAGATGATCAACCTTTCCTGATCGATTCCACACCGTTTCTTTCACAATGCAATCGCATGACCAGAACTCAACTTTATCTTTAAGTTCAACTGAATACATCTATCATGTCTCCTCTTTAACTCGAATAGGTCCGTTACACCCTGGATATTCAATGTGTTTTGTCGGTAGGTCGGTTGGGTTGTCCAGATTTTGTCACGTGAGGGCGATGTGGCAGACGGCACCAGTCCTCAGGAAGAACTTTCGGAGCATGGAGCGGATTTCCGGTCGTAGCTCAAACGTGATGATCTCGCACATGTGGTTATAGCAGTGGGCAGCGTGGGTCTTGAACTGAAGGATATAAAATGAGGAACATGAATAATTTACTTAGAGTTTTAAAGGGCAGATATATGTAAAGAGTATTCAGTACTCAACACTAACATGCTCCAGGGACACTTGGGCCCCTCAAAATCTAAGTCCAGACCACCCCCCCAAAAAAAAAAAAAAAAAAAAAAAAAATCTGAGATTTTGACACAGAGCTCATGCATACAGATTGTAAAGTAAGTGTGGAGCCCTAATGTAATTGAAGGTCTCCACACATCATACATGTATCCCAGGAATCATGCATCGTACATCTAACAAACAAAACTAATAAGTTTTACACTGAAGATCAAATACAATATCAGCTATTGACTAGTTCGAGTTGAAAGATACTGTTTAATGGCTGTTTGAGAGGATTTTGTGATTCCCCTGTCACAGACCAGCTTTGTTACAGATACTGAAGATTGAAATGTTTACAACTTGAATCTATGACTAAATATTGTCTTAGAATCATATTTTATTAACCAGTATTAACCTGTGAGGCATCCCTTAGTGAAAATGTATAAACTCATAAATAATGTGTCAGTGTTAAATTGTATACTGTGCCCAACAGCAGCCACGTAAAAGAGACTGAACCAGAAGCTGGACCAGGAACTCACCCTCTCATCTGACATCTTAAGGATCCTTGTTAGGACCAGGACTAGTAGAGACTTCCAGGCTGTACGGTGACTCTCTGAGTCCAGGGAGATGAAGTAGCCCAGGGCTTCTTTCACAAGACTGTAAGGAGACATCAACGAGAAACAGCAGATGTTCGTGAATTTGGCACAGAGCATTGCATGCTTGTTCATTAGTGAACATGGTATGGTATCAGACTCTCTAATCAAAGATATCTCTACACATCTAGATGCACATTGATCTCTTTTCAACAATCCATCCACAGGATGCTTTCAGAAAACAAATATTGACTGTCCATCCATCCATCTAATCACTCACTCACCGACCCACCCACTCAATCACTCATTCACCCACTCAATCACTACCTACCCACCCACCTACTCACTCACTCACCCATGCACCCACCCACCCACTCACTCACCCACCCACTCAATCACTTACTCACCCACCCACTCACTCAATCACCCACCCACTCACTCAATCACCCACTCACTCACCTCACCCACTGACCCACTCAATCACTCACCCACCCACCCACCTCACTCACCTATCCACTCACTCACTTACCGACCCTCCCACTCACCCACTCACTCACCCATCCAACCACCCACTCGCCCACCCACCCACTCACTCAATCACCGACCCACTCACTCACCCACCGTCCCACTCACCCACTCATTCTCCCACTCACTCACCCATCCAACCACTCAAGCACTCATTCACCCACTCACTCACTAACCGACCCACTCACTCACCCACCCGCCCGCCAATGTCTAAAACTACAGCCTTATGGTCTCTGTGACATTGAGACTGGACTACTAATACAATCTTGGGGCACAGTACAGCACAAGGAGAGAGATTGGATCCAAAATTTCACATTCAATGAATCACATTTCTCTTCCTCTCTTCCTTACCCTATCAGTCTCTCTTCTATGACAGGTAAGCTATCCATCCTATTTTCATCAGCGTACATCTTGAAGAGTAACCGGAAAGCACAGGCCAGACTTGAGGTTTCCTGGGTCGATAGGTTAGGCTTGTTCTTTCCTCTGAATCCTGGTTTAAAAAAAAGAATTAATCACAACAAATAAAAGGTGAATCTGTTCTGATCATTAAGTATGTGATGTATAGCAGTGTATGCAGAGCTACATGTAAGTAACAACCAATTATGCTTTCTTAGTAGTCAGGTAAAATAACCACCACTACATTATAGTATACTGTTTGTGGGCCTATACCGGCGTGTCACTGAGCGTAAATATGTATGGGAATGGTTATCTTTGTCTCAGATTCTGAAACAAAATCCTGGATTTAGCTCTTGCTGCAATGATAATTATAAACCTTTAGGTCAGTCAGGAACCCCATGACTTTTACAAGCTGATCGCTTATCTGATTATTAAGATATTTATGATTGGAGATCGAAATTTAAAAAAACATTAAGGAATAACACTATAGTCTACTGGGAAAATGAGTATGGTACAACTGGTCACTAAAAGATTTTTAATTCTTTGAGGCATTCATGATCATTTTGATGCGCAATTTTTGTAGTGCTTCAATATTACACCATATCACAGCCCCTGATAACACGTAGAGCCATGCATCTTTACTGGAAACATTGTTAAGAGGTCAAAGCCTTAGCACCAGCTGATTTCCATTTCAGTTTTTAGGCTGGTGTTAGTGTTTATTAAACACTAACACCAGCCGTAAACACCCAACTTGAAATCACTCAATGCCTTCAAAGAGTTAATGTACACCCACCTGCTTGTCTAAGTGTCTCTCTCTGCTCATTGTTGGTGTTAAACTCCTTGGCAAACCGGTGGGACTCCAGTAAGCAGTCTAGCAGTAGGAACAGTTGTGGGGTGGAGAGATACCGGTACATGCCGGGATCCTCACCGCTCGACGTGGATTCGGAGGCAAGGGAGGTGTCGTCTAACGTGGTCTCCTAGATGAAAGAAAATGAAGAGATGATACACAGTTCTTTATTTTCTCCTCATAATAGTGCTGTGAGAACACAATTTTGGGGAGAAATTCTAGTTCTCTGCATTGTCAAAGAAAACCCCACTTGTATTTTACTCATAAATTCTATACAAACCATGCATTTATCTGCAGAGATCTCAAATTTGTACCTTCCTATATAGTAAGGCTGTGACGAGTAGTCGAATACTCAAGTAATCGCACTGTTGACAACTACTCGAGTACGATTTGTCGTACTCGAAAACATGGCGTCCGAATATTCGAGTATTCGCCTGTAAGCCTGGGAGTGTACTCAAGTACCTCATTACACGGTTATGCACAGCCTTACTATATAGTACTCTAATATATTACATCAATCTTACCTGTGCAGCTTTCAAGTTGTCTGCGTCTTCATGCCGGCTGGTGGCAGGGAAGAAGACAATATTATCTATGGTCTGTATTAATTCCAACTGGACAACACACTTGATCAGTAGAGATGTGAATAGTCTATGGTCAGCTGCTGTTTCTGGTGAAAAAAAAAACCAGACATAAAATACATTAATTACTATCTCTATATCGAAGGTTCGGTGACACAAAGACGTAACTCCATATGTTGCCAAAATGAGTATTTGATATCAAAATGCTAAGAAAAATGTGGGCTTTCCAGGAAACACAAAGACTTAACTCCACCCAACACCCCATTGAAGTCAATGGCTAGTGAAACATAGACTTTACTCCTTAAGACCCAAGTGCTCAGTGACACATAAACCCCCTTTTTTTTTAATGGCGAAAATGGAGTTAAGTCTTTGTGTCACTGATTCCTCGATATGATACACCATCATCACCATCGTCATTTTGAAAAGACAGCATTGTCCCTTTTAGGAGGACTTACTGACTTTCGCACCATGAGGTCTTCCTTTCTTTCTTATGCCATCCACTTCCAGATCCCACACTCTTTTCACAGGTTCATCATCTTCCCTTCTCAACACATGACCCATCCATCTCAATCCACTTCTCTTAACCACTTCTTCCAGACCCAAACTTTATATATGCTCACTGCTCTTTCTATCACACAGTTTCACACTGCACATCTTCCTTATCGTGGCCCTTTCTGTTCTCCTCGAGATACCTTCTTCTATTGTCTACAAGCTTTATAGTAAATGTCAACACATTAAGGCCATTAATTAAAGGTGGGGTATCTCCTTTTCACATTCCTTTCTATCTGGTTTTCCCTTCTTAAACTGTTTGAAGGGGGATGGTCGTAGGCATGTACCCTCACCCCCCCCCCCCCCAAAAAAAAAGAACCTGCAGCTATGCCATTGGGTACAAAGAAATCATTGGGAATGTTCGGTAACTACAAAAACCGATTAAAGCTAATCAAAACTGCCTAGAACCAGATCTTGCTGCTTTCTTACTCTGGTATTCTAAGGTAACCTTGCTGGATTTACTGTCGGTGCTGTTCACACTCGCTACGCTATGTTGACTTCCCATCCTCTTCAGATTAGATTTCTTCTCCGATGGCGATGATGGCTCGGGCCCAACATCGCTCCCAGCAGGCTACAAAGATTAAAACAACGTATTTGAAAAAATTATTTTACTTGATTTGTCATACAAAATATGGGCATGTAATTACATAAATGACTTAAAGGGGTTATCGACATCATGCATAAAGAGAGAGAGAGGGAGAGGGAGAGAGTGGAATAAGAGACAGAGAGTGAGAGACAGAGAGAGACAGAGAGAGACAGAGAGAGACAGAGAGAGAGAGAGAGGGAGAGGGAGAGGGAGTAAGAGACAGAAAGACACACAGAGAGAAACTAATGAAAAAATATAAAGACATGCAATACACGATGACACACAAAGTGGAAGTTGTACAGGAAAATATATTAAAAAACAGAGCAGATTGAGAGTACATACAGAAAAGAGATACACAGAGAGAAAGAGACTAACAGTCAGTAAAGGGAGTGGGAGGCAAAGTTAAACATAGACAAAGTAAGAGAAAAGAATGGAGAGAGACCTAAGAAACAAGACAAAAATGACAAGTATGATGAAGAAAAAAAACCCACACTTCTACCATCAAATTGGGAAGGCTCTACCCATCAATACGGCTGCCAACGAACGGTTTCAAGGGAATAACCTGGTATTTGATCAACTTACCTCTACTCCATCTGTCTCTGACCTCTGACTGATTGCGTCTGTCTCCGCTGTTGACAGCTGATCCTCGGGTCTCCAGGATATCAACCTAGTCAAATAAATCCAATGATGATGAGCTATGAGATATGTACATCCTTGTAGATATAACAGAAGGCCTGCCTTCATTAGCTCGAGTTTGCCAAATGACCCGCTATTTTCAGACTCGGGATATTGTCCTGAAGCTCGAAATTGCGTCTTCCCCAGACCGATAATATTTTGGAAACGAGACCAAAATTTCTCGTCCAAGACTGATGAAGATACGATCGAGATAGTTAAAATAGCAGGTTATTTGGCAAACTTGAGCTGATGAAAACAGACCTAAACATCCAAGATGATTCTGTAAAATGACAGAAAATCATTCTTTCTCAGAATCACAAGATACTTACCGTGATTGTTCAAGACCACAAATACATGTCGATGATATCTGCCAAATTTTGGTAGAAATTTTAGAAGGATTAATGGGCAAAGAAGCCCCCCCACCCCCATCGAAAAATCACCTGAGGACAATTACCCCCCCCCCCCCCCCCGAGGACAAATACACCCCCCAAAAAAAAAATTACTTCCCATTCATTAAAGGGGAAGTCCACCCTGATATTAAGTTAGTTATAATAAAAGCAGAATTTTTTTTCAGGGGGGGGGGGATGATTGCCCTAGAATTGTCCACGCTTATGTGAAATATGAAACAATAAACTGAAACTTACGCTTGTGGAATAGTACTTCTGAAGATCTCCAGCATGCAAGCACAGATCCTATCCCAGAGTTCAGGTTGGAAGTCAGGTCCATTACAGATCACGAGCTGCTCCATGCAATTTGTCCCTGACCTTGCGAGCTGTTCATTATCTGCAAAAGCATGGAAAACAAAAATTGGGGTTGATTGTGGATTTTTCACAAAGTAAAACCAAGCAAGAACACCTACATGCTTGTAAGTAAACATAAGGGGAGTGTTTCACAAAGACTAAGATTGACTTTAAGTTGGACTTAACTATAGCAGGCCATTCATGACACTGGTTGCTCTTACCATTATGAACTTTAGATAATATTTTTTTCCTTCAAAAATGAACTATCAAAAAATATAAATTCTGTAGATTTGTGACCATGACTTGCACGTCCCTTGAGAGACCAATGCCAGTAAATGGTGAGAGAAAACAGTGGCATGAACTGCCAACTTAAAGTGGATCTTAGTCTTTGTGAAACACTCCCCAGGTTTTTTTTCTACAAATATTAAAGTCTGCTGTTGGGTATAGGTTTTGTCTAAAGTTAAACAGAGGTCTAATATTTTTGGAATAAATGGAACTTATACAGAATACCCCAGATCAAGCTTAAAGGTAAAGACCAGTATTGGTAACGCCCCAATTTCAAAAAATGAAATGGAAGCTCTCATTACCAATCATGTGAAATAATATGTTTTGACTAATACATGATGATAAAAAATTTGCCGGGAAACCGCCTACTAATTCATATATTTGGTAAATTTATTTCTCTCATGGTCGTGTGAGAGAGATAGGGTAGTCCCATATACATCTTTCTGTGTATAGTGCTTGTAACTTTACGAAGAATGGGCCAAATTTCTTATCATTTTGATGATTCCAGAACCTTGCAGATGCTAGATGCTAGATGATCAACCTTTTCTGATCGATTCCACAACGTTTCTTTCACAATGCAATCGCATGACCATTACTGGTCTTTACCTTTAACCCTTACTGTACTGGGCTATTTTGAGCACCTCCTGACTGGGGGGGGGGGGGGGGGGCCTGGGAGGCCCCCCCCTATGATCTCGGCCGTCGGATGTCCGATGAACACGAAAATTTGCATGTTTGTAGATATTTACGTAACGAACAAGATGGTGTAATTAGTTTTTTGCGAATATGCAAATTTTTGTCGTTATAGCCTAATTAATTATGCAAAATGCTAATTTTATGCATTTTACAGAAAACGTGTCACACTCCACTTTTTGAATGTTGAAACTCATTATTCATATGAAACTTCTTTTCCAACACAAAATATTTATTTTGATGTAATTAATAATGATAATTTATACAAATTTGATGCGATTTTCAAATATTTATTTTCTAATGTATTTTATTGTTTTTTTATTTCTTATTATATCTATTGTTTTTATTTCTTATGTATTCTTTTGTTTTGGAATACATCAAGTTACTTTGAGAAACATATAAAAGCAATTCGATATCAATTCATATCACCCACTCAGGAAGGAACACATCTAAACCTGTATTCACATTTCTGCTTGTACATGAACATATGCAATTATAGCATATTTTTGATGACATGCGCATACTAATTGTCATGTAACACCTCACAGGTATATCCGATTGCGACGAAAATGGTATCAAAACGTGCGTAAGACTTGAGGGAAAAAAGTCATGAAACGGCAATTCAAAATTTCAAGCGGTTGCGGCGCAATCTCCGAAAATGTCGAGGGGGGGGCCTCCCAGGCCCCCCCCAGTACAGTAAGGGTTAACTGAAGGACTACCTGGGACTATCAGAGGACTTAGGTTGGATGGTGATCCATATTTAAAGGTAAAAAGGCACACACCTGGCCTTATCTGTGATTTTGAAAAAGCCCACAATACAAAAAAAATTGATTGTTGCTATGTCAAGCAAGCCTTGGGAAACCTGTAGGTTGTTAAGAACAACCTTTCTTTTAACAGTATGCATACAATTTGAATATGTTAGTCAACCGGTCTATTCAGCAAAACGGAAGACCATGCATCCTTCATGAAGTTTTTACATTGTACCATCTTGCACACACCTGTAGCAGTTGCTGCAGAAGGGCTTCTAAGAGAATATCCTTGAGGACATTAACATTTTGTGGTGGTACAGATAGGGATTAAGGATCCAATTCAGCAAAGTGAATGGCAAGCACTCTTTGAGCACACTGGACACAGATTTCTTCAAGTTCTCCTATTTTCCACATACATGCAAGGACTGGAATAAGTTACCTGATAGTGTTATCAACACGAGATCAATTGATTCCTTTAGGTCCCATGCGCTAAAATTCATAAAAAGATTGTTCTATTCCATGACCACGTGCCTCGTTTCCGTGTCTTTATATGGACTAACAAGTCTGTCGACATGTATTGAAGAAGAAGAAGAAGAGGAAGAGGAAGAGGAAGAGGAAGAGGAAGAGGAAGAGGAAGAGGAAGAGGAAGAGGAAGAGGAAGAAGAGGAATAAAAGGAATAAGAGGAATAAGAAGAAGTAGAAGAAGAAGAAGAAGAAGTTTGAGCTTACCTTGTTGGACACACCAGAGCAGTTGCTGCAGAAGGTCTTCTAAGAGAATATCCTTGAGGACATCAAAGTACTGTGTGAAGACATCTACAATGGCAAAGAGTGCGTGGTTGCAGGTCGTCATCATCCATTCTACCTTCTGCTGGCAAAAATCCAAGGAGAAATATGAATTTTAAAGAGTTCTGACTTTTATCAGCACGTTCTACCCACAAATCCACCTGTGACATTTTTTGTGTGTGTGTTTGGGATTGGTTTGTTTTTGTTCGAAAGGAACATAAGGAAATATATTATATGCTGTGCATCATCTTCATCTTTAAATCACCATCATCATCATCATCACCAATCCAATAATAGCTCATACCGGTACTATTCAATATATTGCACTTATATTTTTCAACAAATTGTTCATCTCACACTGGTACATCCACAAAGGACAAAGCTACATGACACGAGTGTGGCCAGGTGACATGACTGATCACGTGACTCACCTTGGCCATCTGGACCCCACATTTTTTTGTTTTGTTATTGAAAATAAAACTCAATACAGTTTTTGTTATAAGCTAGTGAAATCCTTGTTTCTGATTTGTTATCAGCAGATTTGTCACAGATTTTTTTTCTCCATTTGTCAATGAAAAAGGCCTTGTGAAACAGGTCCCTGGTCAGGAGGCTTCATGTTGTCAAATAGCCAGAGAACTTTTTCTGGTATCATCTTGATATAAGGGGGGATTTTATTTTATATGCCATCACATGACAGTGTGTCACAGTCACATGACTGATCATCTGACTGGTCACCTGACTTACCTCTGCCATCTGGTCAGGGAGCTTCATATTGTCAAATATCCTGAAGACAATCTTGAAGAGATCTTTCCACCAGTGCTTCTGGAACGTGCTACCATAGCTCTTCATGATCTCAAACATCACAGTCAACCCTCTGCAAAAAAAAAAAGAAGGTTATTTTCATATATCATTCGGCAATTTCCTTTCATTAATTTAAAGGAGCATCCTTAACTGATCATATGAATTCTTTTTTAACCATCTAATGTTTTTTTAGTTGGATAGGAAATGCCAATGTTATCATGATGGCTTTTCTCTCTGTATAATGATACATGTACATTGAGAATATGCAGGTGTGCCATTTACTCTATGCCTTTTTACTCCATCCATTTCTTGAAACCAAGAGATTGTGGATCTCCTGTACATGGCAGACATTTAACAAGCTGTGAGGGATGACTGAGCAGTACTTCAAATGACTACCAAACACTTTCACTTAACCCGGGTTCAAAGATTTTGGCAAGACCAAAGGCAGACCAAGTTAAAGGAACTATGTCCCATTTGCAGGCCAAAAAAAATGAAAAAGTTAAATTCCAACTGCATTTGAAAGATAATACTAATTTAGAACTTCCCTAAACAAGGTGGGGCTTGAAAATGTCTTCAAGTGGGAAAATAACGACTATTAATTGTCAAATCGACTTTAGGGCTATAGAGCCCAAAAGTAATAGTCTTGATTTTCAGACAATTGTACCGAATGGTCATACGTTTTGTGCTGCGCAAAGATTCAATCAGTTTAATCTTGGCCATCACAAGAAGTGGGTTATTGATGTAGACAAATGCTCATGTACCCTTTACAACTCTTTTCATGTATGTTATTACCAAGGAAGAAAAAAAGCCAGTCAGTCACTCAATAGTGTCTGACAGTGAAGTCTAGCAAGTAAACAGGTTTCCTTGCATAATTTGAATATGAGGACACTGCCAACGTTTAAATTTCACAGATAGGACATACATGACATATTCATACTTCCTGCAAAGTTCTACAGAATTTGAGGTTGGCTGCAAAAGGGACATAGTACCTTTAAACCCGGTTGAACTTAGTCCATCAATTTATGGAGCATCAACTGTCAACATCTCTAGTCTGTATCATTACTGTGATTCTAATAAAACAAATTATTTAATCAATTAACAAAATGAACCCATTCATGAAATAAAAATGAAAAAGTTGATTTCACAGAGACGTGATTTTTTTGTTAGTTTATTAAGTTTAAGTGGGACTGCACTACTTGTAGCTACTTGCGCCATCTATATAGCAAACAATGCCTAAGCGGTATTTGTTGGTCCCCCATGATACTCTTTTTCTTATGTTGAATTGAGAGCTGAGTTGATGAGATAGCCTCCTGTCAGTGACCGTGCAGGGAGGTCTAATCTCTCCTGGCCAAACTAGTGCAGATAGGCTTTAAGAGAGTTTTAGTTATTTTTACAGGGAGAAGTTGATGTTTGGTACTAACTCAATAGAGTCTATATATCTTATTTTTATATTTTCACTTCATCAACGTAACACACCTTGTTCTGACATCCAGCTTACACCTGTTGATGACCCTGGAGAGTTCAAAGAGAACCGGGAACCAACCTTTGACCCAGATCCTATCATCCTCCGTCACCTGGAGTTCTTGGTCTCCTATATGGTCATGGAACATCTAGAGAAAGACAGAGGCAGAGGCAGAGAAATGGACAGAAACATTACTATCAAAAGCTACTATCATGAGCTATGTACATAATGCAAATAAAGAATAGGATCTACTATTTGAAGTTAAATTACGTTCCAAATTTGAAGGGAAGAGAGTTTTTTTTTGTTTTTTTTCAGTCTCGATACATTATGCCCCTTCACAAAGCACTTTGCCGGCCGAAGCTCTCCTGTATCTTCAGCTCACTCACACAGGGGATATTGACTTACCACTCAAAATCTAGCCTGTCCAACTTTCTGTTTGGACTGGGAGGAAAATTTCTCTGTCATCTTTAGTTTTAAAAAAACATTGTTACTATTATTTGTGACAAGTTCACAAGCAACTCCAACTGTGCTTCGTAATAAATAAAAGTCCTTCCCAATTCCCTGCATGGCTTGGGTTTCCAAACGGGACCGAACGCTGAAATAAGACGGGATCTGATCTGGCTTGCTGCCTTCGGTGTCGGCAAAAAACCAAAACCAAAAGCAAAGCAACAAACATTTTTTTTTTGGGGGGGGGGGGGGGGGTTCTTGGTCCCATACATAGGGTGCGTCTTATACACAGAGATTTACGGTATTACAGTATCTTTGGTAAATAAACGTATAGCATATGGGTGATTCTTTAGGTTTTTGGTCATCTACCATAAAGAAAGACAAATAATACCCGACATATTCAGCAACATTTCTAGACAAGGCCCAGTTATGATATCAACTTTGACGATGTCAGTAACATAATGGGACAAAATACATTTGACTTGCCCAAGGACTTCTAACACTTCAGTAGTTATACTTGCATCATCCTTGGAACTCTTAGATCTGTACCCTCACCGTATGGTCATTGACTTACTTGGGGTTTTTCCATGACGTATTTGGCACAATTCCTGATGAGTCTTATCGCTTCCATGCTGGTGTCCGGGAAGGCAGCGTTGCAGGCAAACTCCGACAGACACTTGACCGCGTCTTGGAAGGAATCCAATGTTGCTGAGAAGTACTTCTCAAATACTGATGCTGTGAGGAGATAGAAGAGGAGAAAAAGGGTTTTACTAATACTTGAGCAATAGTTAAAACCTCCGAAAAATCTTAGGTGTAACCAGACTAGATAAAATACGAAATACAACAATTCGGGAGACTCTAGGACTGGACATATTAGCAAAAAAAAAAGGCTGCGAGTCTTTGGCCACGTTAACAGGATGAGACCATTACGCTAACAAAAGATACTCCTAACTTCTAATATTCATGGTGATAGACCCGGGGCAGACCAGCCAAGAAATGGTTAGATTGTGTGAAGGCTGATTGTGCTACTAGATGTCTGGGCTCCCTCACAGAAGCGACCAGAACATCACAAGACAGGAAGATCTGGCTTGAGGTCATGAAGCAGAAGCCATCACACATCTCCCAGATGGTGTGGAAGGCTGAGGTCAAGGTCACGTTAGAACTTGTGTTCTTGAACATGTACTTGTAAAATTCTTAGCCCCAACTTATAAAGGGTTGCAAATTGACTGCAATCGACTTTGTTTAGCCTGGTTTCATCGATTCTGTTTGTGGGCCTTGATGTCCGTTGTGCAATACTTACAGATGATATTGCCTGTAGTTTGGAATGCTAGTTCAACGATGCCTTCCTCCTGGTCCGACGCAGCCAGATGGAACGCTGAGAAGACGTTCTTCCAACCCGATCGGATGTTACCTGCTTGGGAGTTGACCATCTGAGCGATGCAGCGCACCACCATATCACGGATGGTGGGAGATCTAAAGATAATGAGACAGAGTTAACATGTAATCTTGAGTTATGGTAATGATGAAGAAAAAAATTCTTAGAAAATCGATTGGAACCTTCATTGAAGGTCCAAGATAACAAATAAATATCATTCTGCAAAATGATTAAGGACCTTTCATCATGCCTCCTCGAAGAGTCATCTTTGTTGCTCAGTGGTAGATATGTGGTCTTTTAACCGGGAGGTCTCAGGTTTAAAACCAAATTGATGTGCTTTTTGGTAAGACATTCATCCTCATTACAAAGTCCCTCGGATAGGAATTACAGCTGTACGTCTGTCTGGTTGCTTACTTACAAGCATACACATGTTTTCTTTAAAATCCTGTCTGTACTACTTTGGCCAGGAGGGATTAGACCACCCAGGGTGGTCACTGACAGGTGGCTATCTCATCAACTCAGCTCTCAATTAACATAAGAAAAAGAGGATCATTGGGGAACAATGGCATTGTTTTCTATATAGAGGGAGCAAGTAGCTACAAGTAGTACAGTGGGGCTTTAAAGCAGTCCAGTAAATTGAATCATGAAATATATCATCTACGGTTAAAATACCACATTTTTGCATCATTTTATATGTCTACCGGTAGTTACAATCTAAGCATAGGTCAAATAGAATGTGCTGCCACCAAACAATACTTCCTGAATTCCTAAATGGCTATGGTCAGTGTCAACAGACTTAGCCCTACTGCACTACTTATAGCTACTTGCGCCCTCTATATAGCAAACAATGCCTATAAAGCAGTGACCGTTGGTCCCCCATGGTCCCCTTTTTCTTTTGTTAATTGAGAGCTGATTTGATAAATTAACCACTTGTGACCACGCAGGGAAGTCTAATACCTCCTGGCCAAACTAGTGCAGATAGGCTTTAATGCAATTACTGACTTACTTATTCCTCTTCATGATGTACTCAAAAGGCCTTAGGAAATCTTTCTGGAATTTGAAGTTTGGCAGTTCACCTTTCTCCAAGAACTTCATGGAGAGTTGGCGGAGGGAGTCGATTGCAAAGAAGGCCACGTCCTCATTGGGGTTACATCCAACCTATACAAAGAGAGTAAAACAGATTAAACATATGATTGAAAGGTTGCGTAACTCCTGCTTTGGCACCAAATGTACCCTGGTTAAGTTCCTACCCTAACGATTTCCTTCAATTCAACCCTGTCCCCAACACTACAGCTACATGTAACAATTAACTCTTATGACTTTTTATCAATATTGCTTCTTAAAGACACATAGTAGAAGGCTCTCATAGGGAATTTGACACCGTTCAGGTGTTTACCCAATAACAGGTGTTGTCAATCACCAGGATCAGCCTTCAGTTTTATAACCAACAGGCCTTATGTAATGTTCTGCATTTTCCACCCATTCCCCCACATGGTAAAGTCATTATCTTACATTTCACTCAACCAAAGACTCTCCTAGAGACTAGGGGAATTTCTTGATAGGACTATGGGTTTGCTGTGTGCAGACTTGTACACACATTAATGGTATTTCCACCAAGTCTGGTGTCAGCGAATTATGGCCTTCTGCTAATGGAAACTGACGACCCTCTCCCTTTAAGATCATTGGATCCTCTCACCTTGTTGAAATGGGTTCCAAGGACTTTCTACAAGTACATTCTGCATTAATGGTTCCCAATAATTATGGGAACCGGATTGATTCTGTATCATGTCTCAGGGAATAACAGCATTTGATGGTCAATAGGTTGTTTACCAGGGGGGTGTTTCACAAATATCTGAAGTCTATATTAACTCTTAGTTGGCCTTAAACATTATGGAGAGCCATTTGTAGCCTTAAAATAAAATATATTCAAAAGCAAATATTCAAGTATTTTATACTTTCCATAAATTCCACATCACGAACATGAAATCTCCTTGATAATATAAAATATGAATGCTTTGAATCAACGTTTTATGCCTTTTAAAATTAATTTTTCTAAAATATTATTGTTATATAATTGTTAAGTCAAACTTAGAGTCAAGTTAGACTTAGGATCTTTGTGAAACACCCCCCAGGAGTTCAAAGAACAGAAGACCTCACCTTGATGAAATGGGTTCTAAAGACCTTTACAAGTACATTCTGCATTACTGGTTCCCAATATATGGGAACCAGATGGATTCTATATCATGTCAATGGGAATATCAGCATTTGATGGTTAACTCATATCCTGCCATCAGGCCGCATGTATGCATGCTCACATTCGTAATAGCAGTTATTGTTTATGCTCATTGTGCTGTGCTGAGTGCTTTGCACACGCTATTGATCGCACCATCAGATTATCAGAATATCTCAAAATAAACTTGGCACAGGGGGGATTTGTGGCTTGGAACAATTGGGATTAGCCCTGTGGCACTGGGCTGTATTCATTATGACAGGATAAGAGTTAATAGGTTGATTACCATGAGTTCAAAGAACAGTAGACCCTTCTCACCTTGTTGAAATGGTTACCCAGGACAGACCATATCCTGGACCACTGCATCCTGACACGTCCCATGTTGTAGTATGAGATCTCGACGATCTTAGTCAGACTGAACATCCTTGGACCGTTCGGTGACTGAAGCTCCTCCATGGAAACTTGACACAGCGCCTCAACAAAGTCAACTGCAAGCAAGCATACAAAGAAACATATGCTATTTCAGCTGGCTAAAATTGGTGAGAAACTTTTTTGATATTTTTTAATCTCCTTCAATTGCCAGGACCAGTTATTGGGTGACATAAACGCATTCAAAATTTTGTGTGTGTTTCATCAAGGTGCAGAACTTACCTATGGCATCTCCGTCTAGCCTCGTTGAGCTGGTGAAGATCCTGTCCACGGCCACAACGAACCTCTGGGTAGACGTCTTGTTCATGGCTTCCTGCAGGCTGGCTATCTGCTTCTGATCTAGGTTGGCCATTCGAGATGGAACTATAAAAACAAAACAAGATTTTTCAACATGCTTTTAAAACGACCATTTTCTTGGTTTCCTTTTGAACCATGTAATGACAACCAAATCATCAGACAAATGAGCATGTACACTGTGCATCAATGGAATACGACAAAATATAACACTATTTTAATGCTGATTATCTGTGCTGGAAAAGAAACCCAAAAATTGAAAAAAGTAATTTAATTCTTGTCTATCATTGAAATAATTTTTCATATAAAAATTTCAGACAATCAGGTTTCAATCGAGAACTTCAGGCAATAATAATTTCCAAAGCTCTTTTGAAGTGCATAGAGATGTCATTTCATGATGTATTATGCGCTATACAAGAACTGAATATTATTATTATTTATCGAATATCCCTTTTACAATAGTATCTACTTACATCATGGTGAAGTCCCTTTCACATTCAAAGAGAGAGGGAAAGTAAGAAATATAGATGACAACGTGAATGAAGAATACACGAGCATAAATACGATGAATAGGAAGATTATGAAAAGGAGTGAAATGAGGAAGTAACTTTCCATCCTACGCAAATAGCAAATATAAACTTACTGTCTCCTGACTCCAGCATGTCATTCTGGTGACCTGGACTTGACCCCACCATGACAGAGCTACCTTGACCCCCTGACCCCGCTGACCCTGATGAGGTCGTTGACAGGAACTTTGTCTTGACCCCCGTGCCTATGAGTTGAGCTAGCTCCAGCTGAGAGATGCATTTCAACATCTAGGAATAACAAGAAAAACAAACAAAAAGGGATTTAACATGAAATATTAATCTTGAATAGAATGATACTAAACAGATTCTGTTTTTTTTTAAATAAAACAAAAACCTCCACACATGATCACTAGCAAGTATACACAAATATTGTTCTTACAAAAAAATGGTTAATAATACACTCATACAGGGTGAATATTTTGGCTTAAATTCACAAAGTAGGTTTATATTCAAATCAAGGTCTAAACTATAATTTAAAAAATCCACAGTGAACTAAATGATTTGTAATAGTGAATCAGTGAAGTGTTTTTAAAACATATCTGTTTCATTCAGCATAAAACCAATTGTTCTGTCATTTTTGTATGTTCTATCTTACTTCTGTTACTTGTGTTCATAATGCAGATGCTTTTTCATGATCTCTTTTTCCCATTCTTTTTCTTCTTCACAAGTACACCTCGAGGTTTTCAAGCGGATTCGGCACCTTAAAAATCTCACATATTATCATATTTTTTACCCAGAAAAAAATCAGGTCACATACCTCAAGCCACGACTTCCCGAGATAGTTGCCGTCCGTGTGCGCCACGGTGATCAATGTCTTGATGGTCTCGATGTTCTTGGTCTTCATCTCGACGATGGAGGAGTTGGTGGTTAGGAGGGTGAACCTGGAGAGGGCCTGGACGTAGGCGTTGCGCTCCATCTCCATGTGGAAGATGCAGGAGATGCGGATGGCACAGCAGATGCCGTTGAGGCAGTTGTTGGCGATCTCGGGGTCGTCGCAGTCCTGGAGACCCACGCTGAAGGCCGCCAAGAAGGGCGTCCATGCCTCCTGCAATATTTGTAGGAGTGGATTTGAAGAGTTGAATTATCAAGAATTATCAATATTCAAAACCATGCTTTCTCCACTAAATCAATTCTTCTGGTCTCACTTTTTGTACTGCACTCAAACATCTCTTCAAAAAGGATTCCATGTACTATATTCATTCGTGACCAAAGATTGTATACTTCTCTTTAGAAATCTAGCCATCTGATTGGTTGAAATTGAAGTCGTGATTTTAGCCATACCCGCCTACCAGTCAATAGTCTTTTGAAAAGTGCCTTCATACCCGCCTACCAGTCAATAGTCTTTTGAAAAAGGCCCTCATGCTGCGATCCCTATTGGTTTACGTGTTAAAATTGTCTTTGCTAGAACTCTCCATCAAACTCTTCTCTGTGAATATGGGCTAACTTCATCCATCCATTCATCCCCCATCCATCCATCATATCTCTTACCTTAAACATTGGCCTGACATGCTCTAAATGTGTAGCACAAGTGAAACTTGACGGCACATGGCTAACACTCTCCATCAAACTCTTTGCTGTGGAGGAGATTGCATCCATCTCAATGTTGTAAAACAGTTTCCTCTGCTTCTCGCTCGTCACAGCTACAATCAGATCAAAACAAAAGAAAGCACTAATGACCAAAAAATGTACATGTATGCATTTAACAGCGATTTAATGAATTCTTTGAAAGGTTGCTATCTGCAAATACAATTTCTCTAAAAAAGGCCAATGCTGAAAGTTTGCAAAAATATCCCATTTTACACCTGGGTGGAGAGTGGCAAATGTAGATCAGTGTCTTGCCAAAGGACATTAGTGCCGCGGCGGGACTTGAACCGCGGACCTTGTGATCCACAGTCCGGTGACATATCCACTCGACCACGATACCTCTAGTTATGATTATCACCATCTAACTGGACGACTCACCTGCTTGGTTTGGCTTGCTGCTTGGAGTCTGTTTCATCTTGATCTCGTTACCAGCTATCTCATCATAGACATCGGACAGGTAATCTGTCGGTAGATCCTTACTGTCGTTTATACCACGGTTCATCCTGATGTACTCCTCTTTGGACATCTTCTTTTTCACCTGGATAATAGCAAGACATAAACAACGGCACTATTAAAGCCCCACTGCACTACTTACAGCTACTTTCGCCCTCTATATATCAAACAATGCCTAATCGGTGATCATTGGTCCCCATTGTCCCCTTTTTCTTACATGTATGTTAATTGGAGCTGATTTGATGAGATGCCCAGCTGTAAGTGACCGTGCAGGGAGGTTCTAATACAAGTGACAGTGATCTTATCACAGATATCTGAGGGGCACTCAGTTGGTAGATCCTTTCTGTCGTTAATACCACGATAATCTGATGTACTCCTCTTTAGACATCTTCTTCTTAATAATAATAATAATATAGGATATTTATAAAGCACACATATCTACCATGCATGGTGCTCAAGGCGCTCCAACTATTACCCCGGCTCTGCTAGGCAGCCGATTTTGGCGCTCACAGCATTCAAGGAATTCCTTCCTACCGGTACCCATTTAACACCTTGGTGGAGAGTGGCAAATGTAGATTAACATCTTGCCAATGGACATCAATTGTAATTGTAAACTTAATGAAGAAAAGGGACACATCTCTTACTTGAGCACTGTGAAGATCTGTGGTGAGGAGGATGATAGAATAGGCCAGCACGTAGGCTGCGTCGGCACTGGCAAAGACCCTCTGTGTCGGGTTGTATTCAAAGTACCGTGAAGCAAACTTCTCCATCATACGATCGATCTTCTGTGCCTCCCCGGGCAGACGGAAGCCTGCTAGAAACATGCGTAGCGCCCCCACGAAATCAACCCCGCTGAAGTCGAATTCATCCACGTATGCGTACATGCATTCTTTATTGAACCTGGACGAGATAAAACAATTTATCAGAGTATGAAACGAGCATACATGATAGTGGAATTTTTAAATACGTACAAGTAACATTGACAATGAAAAGGCACATTAGTGCATGGTGAAATAAACCAAACCTTTAAAGGCATCGTTTAATCTGTTAAATCTGAGATGCATGGCCCTACGTGTTAACAGCGTCCGCGATATGGTATAATATTGAAGCCCTAAAGAAATTGCGCTTCAAAATGACCATGAAGTGCCTCAAAAAAGTAAAATCTTTGAGTGACTGGTTTTACCATACTAATTTCTCCCAATAAACTGTTGTGTTACACTATTAAACCGTTAGGAAAACGGTATTTAAAATTTCGATATCCAGTTATAAATGTCTTGATAATCAGACAGGCGATCGGCTCGTAAAAGTCATGGGGTTCCTGACTGACCAAAAGGTGTAATTATGATTGCAGCATGAGCTTAAACCAGGATTTTGTTTAAAATCTGAGACAAAAATACCTGATCCCTTTAAAAGTGCTTCCTATGTGTAAAGTATTTGTATTTTTGTGTATACTTACATATCTCTCTCGCCCATGAACTCTCCAATCATCGTCTGTATAAGAAAATAGAAAAATTATAACTATTTGTAATAAAACAATAGGTACATAATACATTTACATGTACTTGTAAGAAATCAAAACATTAGGTACGTGTATTCTTAGGAAAATACAAGCTATTACCCTTGTAAAGTGCAATGGGCAAAATTTAACAAAAACATTAAAGTTCTACATGAATAAGCAAAACAATTGCATGCATACAACATAACGTGCACTGTATATTACAACAAATTGTGAGTCATTTTGAGGATATACTGTGTAAATATATAGGAACAGTTCTTCAGAAACAGTCACTGAAGTAGTGAAAGAGAGTACATCTTTTCCAGCTATGTTATGATTCAAAAGATGTAAACTTGACGCATTCTTACAAAGAGATTCACAGCTTTTTTCATCACGTTTCAGACCAAACTTTCAAAGCATGCAATGATTCCCATTGCTCCTATTCCTTCAGAAAAATATCAAACATAAGTTTCTCTGGTCTTGATATACTCTCATCTTATCCCAATTTCATATTTTCAGTTTAAGTTTTTGTGTAGGTGGCACCACTAATAAGGCATTTCCTTTCTAGCTGTCTCCTCATTCTCATAAATACTCACTTTCCCCTATATTTTGTCTAGATTACCTTTATGATGCATATTGTGTTGTATGATTATCTTTGTAATGTATGTTATTTTGTATTTATATGTATGCGATACTGTATGTTATTTTATCTAAATGTTTTTATGATGAATAAAATAAGTTTGACTATCTATCTATTTATATTTCTAACCTTTTCTAATCTCTCATCTTTGTGGAAGAACCTTGCAATGTCTTCGGGCCTCTTCCCCAGTAAACCGTGCTCTTGGAGATAATGGATGCCTTTGCCGGGTTTCTTCTTGTTGAAGCTGCAAGCGAAGAAAACAAAACGAAAAAATAATAAAATTAAATGAAGCAAACAATGAGTGTATCATTTCCTTAATTTCTTGTTGAATTTGGTACTTGGTTGGGTAATCCCTTTGGCAGCTCACTCAGGAAGCTATACTGGGATGGTAGGTGAGGTGAGTAACTACAAGGAGTGTCACAAAGTGCAGGAATGGTGTGTGAAAAAAGCACTTGTTAATTAACAGTAAAATATGCTAAGTCCAGTGAAAGTAAAAACCAAGCTAGTAGGCTTATATGATGTGAGATCCTACAGGGGGCTGCATCATTCTGATGGAGGGTAAAGCAGCCTCCTTGAAGTGGGTTATTCCTTGTGCATTGACTGCATTGCTCCTTTAGAATCTGCAAAGTGGAACTTAGCAGCACTGCAAGGTGTGGAGCAGATGAAGAGTGACTCATTGATTGAGGAGGCGAGTTGGCTCAGTCGGTAAAGCGTCTGCCTGTGGAACCAAAGATCGTGGGTTCAAATCCAACCCAGGAGGATGACTAAAGCCTGCTTTGTTAGTTAATGTACATGTACCATTGGACATGAGAACTACAACATCCAAGTTGAAAGCTTTCTCTTACATGTATTTTTAGCAAAGCTTGACATGAGGACTCTATTGGACTCTTTTTTCACCTCTTTTTACTTGAAGTGTGCCTCAGAACAAAAGTTCTAGGTAGGCAGCGCAATACAAGTGCTTATCATCATCATTTTCTGAGGGACTAAGTAGCGCCTTCACCAACTTACATTTCAATTCCCTGTTCCATGATTTCCTTCTGCTGTTTGATTGTCTCAAACTGCTCGGGACTGTCCGAGGGTAGGGTCTGGCTTGAGTTGAGGTTGACGGCACCCAGTGAGCCGGACGGGGTGGAGACAAGAGAGTTCTGGCTACCGGAGCTGGTCATGGTGCCCTTGCCGCTGTCAGCATCGGTCTGGTCCATTCCAACAGCTTTCTCTTGACCTACAAGTATAATCATATGCTTATGTAAATATATTATGTTTATTCAGATACCCTAATTTATATACAAACCTATTAACTCATCATGGCATGAAACTTGACAGATCTAGGAGTTTCTGGATTTAAATGAACATGAATATTTTCGTTACCCAGATCAGCTTGAGGATTTGAATTAACCTAAATGAAAAGAATAATGTTCATTGTTCACTGGCCTTAGGATGAATTAGAGGTCTTTTCTCATTAAAATCAGCTTTGAGATTAGGATTAATGTGGATTAATGTGGAGGTCTTTGGTGCACCTAGATCAGCTTCAAGATTAGGATTAATGTGGAGGTCTTTGGTGCACCTAGGCCAGCTTGGAGATTAGGATTAATTAGGATTAATGTGGAGGTCTTTGGTGCACCTAGGTCAGCTTGGAGATACAGATCAGGGATTAAGATTAATTAAGCAGCAGACTTTGCTCACCTAGATTAGCTTGTAGATGAGGATTATTTAGGATTAATGTGGAGGTCTTTGGTCTACCTAGGTCAGCTTGGAGATTCAGATAAATTTTCAGGGATTAGGATTAATTAAGAAGCAGACTTTGCTCACCTAGATTAGCTTGTAGATTAGGATTAACATAGAGGTCCTTGCTCCACTCCACCATGCACTTGAGGATGGATACCAGACAATCTAATCCCTTCACCCTCATCCTCTTCTCCTGCTGGGGCGTGGCTCCGAGCTCGATGGCGTGACGACCCTGAGCGATCTTGGACAGGTCGTTGACCAGCCGCTCGAAGATGTTGGCGCTTGAAAGGTCGCAGTCGTAGTTGAGGTATATGTCGACAACGCACTGGGCATCTGACGAGGGGAGGAATGATAGAGATATTGTGATCGATTTCGAAGAGTGTAACACCAATATGCTTCAAACTAGCATGTAATCATGATTTTTTAAAGACCAATTTTGATTTTCAGAATAAATATGATAACTGAAAGGCTAAGAATGTAGGGCCATTGCCTTTCAGATTGATCACTTCACCAGGAATTGAACCCTGGTACGAAACTAATGTCCTCAGCGAGGCATCTATTACGTTGCTTCTCTACACCCAGTGTTAAATGGGTACCCCGTAGAATGGAAACATCACTGTGGGTGGATTGACATGTGCATGCCTGTGAAATAGCAACTGGCAGGAATTCTCCCCATTGGGGGTTTAAGTGTGTATTGCAAAGTGCAGGATCATAACTGTTATAATAATAATCTTTTAGTCTACTCCAAATTTTATCAAACCGAAATGAAAATTCTTTTTGCCCAATTGATCGTGAGCCCGGCAGCCACTGAGCAGCGCCAGATCGACGTTGCTCTATCCCTTATTGTTGAATGCCAAACAAGGTAGCAGCAACTCCCAGCTTTTAACAACTTTTGGTATGACGCGGCCGGGGATCGAACCCACGACCTCCCGGTTGTGAGGCGGACGCTCTACTGACTGAGCCAACACTCCGGGTGCTTTGAAGAGTTGAACCCTTCTCAAATTTGAAAGCACTGTATCTGAACAGATCAATATCATAACTGCTAAGGCAACTAACCTGCACATATCCTTGTAAGTGCTTGAACCACCATCCACTTCTGCTCAAAGCTGCTAGTTGGAGTCTCCAGAATATTCAGGAAGATTTCCTTGAAAAATACCTGATAAAACACCAAAGAGTAGAACATTATCAAAGAGTTCTTGTATATGTAAAGCAGATAGAGTACTGTAGGACCATATTCATCATTAAGACAATTGAAGAAAAACAGAAAAGAAGCCACTGTAAATATGTCATTTCTAGATGGAATTTAAAACACATATTGCTTCTCTGAAGGAGACAATACAGTGCGTCTCAGAAAAAAACTAAAACCGAAAATTATCAATGTTTTTTCTCTTTAAAATTAAGATACTGTCTGCCAAATGACTTTTGGGTTCCGTTTCTTTGAATTGATTTTAATCAATCATGCGTGAAATATGCATTATATGAGTAGCATCAAATGAAAGAGGAGGATCTAAGCTTTACAAATATGTATTATTTATTAATTATAATTGTGATTAAGATATGATAAAACATCAATAATTCTCGGTTTCGATTTATTCTGGGATGCACTGTATAATAACTATTATAGTGAGTTGGCCTTCACAGAGAGGGGTCATCAGGACAGGTTTGAATGGAAATAGAAGTCATACCTCAATTTGCATCTTTAGATGTGTCTTGAAGAGGCTGAGCAGGGTTAAGAAGATGGCCAGGGAGCACTCAAAGACCTCTGGAACTGAGGATACTCCGTTCTTGGAGAGGGCCACACACAAGTATTGCTTGATGGCCGTGATGAACATCTCGTTGGTCCTGAAGACAGGTCCGGCATTCTGCAGGACGGAAAGGAGCAGCTGCAGGGACAGTATCTTGGACCGAAGCTCATGCGACCTAGGAGGAATGAATGTTTAAAAGGGAGTGAGATCTTTAGTGCAGGTACTGCGTGATGTCTGTGATGAACGTCTCATTTGTCCTGAAGACAGTTCAGGCATTCTGCAGGACGGACAGGAGCAGCTGCAGGGACAGGATCTTGGACCGAAGCTCATGGGACCTGGGAGGAATAAATGTTTGAAAAGGGAGTGAGATCTTTAGTGCAGGTACTGAGCAATGAACATCTCATTGGTCCTGAAGACAGTTCCGGCATTCTGCAGGACGAACAGGAGCAGCTGCCACGACAGTATCTTGGACCGAAGCTCATGCGACCTGTGAGGAATAAATGTTTAGAAAGGGAGTGAGATCTTTAGTGTAGGTATTGCGTGAGGGCTGTCATGAACATCTCATTGGTCCTGAAGACAGTTCCGGCATTCTGCAGGACGGACAAGAGCAGCTGCAGGGACAGGATCTTGGATCGAAGCTCATGGGTACAATCCAGGTGTAAAAAGGTACGGGATAAGCCAGAGCGCTCCAGATTTAACCGCCAGATATGACCGGGGTAATAACGTTAGAGCGCCATGAACTTCAGGATGGGACGACCATGTGCGCTATATAAGAAGCAACCATTAGGCCTAAAAAAAAAAAGATGTTGTACTGCCCTTTAGGTGCCAAAACATGGGTCGGTCAGTATTTCTCAGTTTTGAATACTTTACAACATTTTTTTCTCTAAAAAATGGTAAAAAAAAAAAAAAAAACTTTTTTAAAAAGCTGACCGTAAGTTTGAGATTTTTGGGTCGGTCGCAAAGGGCAATACAACATCTTTTTTTTTTTAGGCCTTATCATTAGACCAGCAACTTACTTGGGGTCGGGATGCCCGTCTGGTAGGGGCTTCATGGAGAGCTTGCATAGCGACCTGAAGACCAAGAAGGCATCCTTCTGGAGGATGTGGGAGAACGGCTCGTTGTCAAGATCGTCATCACCGATGGGAGGGATAGTTGGTGTTGAGGCGGTGCTGGGCGACTTCAGGGAGCCAACAGAGGGGGCTGCAGATAGACTGGTGCTTGTGATGGAGTCCGGTGTCTTGACGGCATCTTCTGCACCTACATAAGGATAAGTGAGATTAAAACTAGATTTTCCTTTTTTTGTTGCTTGAAGCAAGCCAATCTTGGTGAAAGGGATTGTTGCAAAATGTCATAAGAAATTATCATGCAAGGTCAAATCAGGGCCCTGATTCTTAAAACTTGTCATCAATAAAAAGTTACAACTGTTATAAGCTACTGAAATAGTGGCATTTGATTGGCTGAGAGCAAATTTGTCATAGAATTTTAGAATTTGTTATTGATAACAGGTTTTATGAAACAGGCCCTTGGAGTTGCTGCAGAGATACATGTAGACTTTGGTTTTAACCAAAAAGAGGTATGGTTTAAAGCTACATGTATCTTTAAGGGTGGCCTTGGAAATGTTACGACTGTGCAAATCAAGCCTAATGAAATTAAAAGACAATGCCAATGCAATAATAATCAAGCACCTATTAAAGTCTACCACGGAGTTACGGGCATGGATGAGTGTTTGTTAAAAAGTGTGTGTAAACCTGAGATGGAAATGACATAACTAAACATGATTGAGTGATTCACATTGTTAACTACCAGTTATATTCATTCATTTTATTTCATTTATTTCATTCTCCATAAAAACATTAAAATATACAAACATGATATACAAATAAAGATCGATAACAAGAAAAATACAAAGGGAAGGAGCAAACAAAATTTTATGGGAATGTGGGGTTAACAAAAAGGGCAATTAGCCTTATGAACGTCAACCCCTTAAAAAATATACACTGTATTGTTGAGAAAAGAAAAGTAGAGATAAACCTAAACACTAATACAAAAGGGGGGAAAAAGAAAGGGAAAGGGAAGGGGAGGGGGAATACATTACAAAGTGCATTAACTGAAATGGGACGTAATTTATTTTGAGATTGAATACAATGCTACAATGATTGATTAATATATGATAATTTCAACTTGTTTTCACAATATATCAACCTACAAAATTGACAGACATGTAAACAAAAGAACCTCATTCCAATATCTCATGGTAAAGTCCTTTAAAGCCTACCTGCACTAGTTTGGCCAGGGGGATTAGACCTCCCTGGTGGTCACTGACAGGTGGTTATCTCATCAAATCAGCTCTCAATTAACATACGAAAAAGGGGACCAAAGGTGACCAACGGGTACCGCTTAGGCATTGTTTGCTATATAGAGGGCGCAAGTAGCTACAAGCAGTACAGTCCTGCTTTAAATCATATATACAAACTTACTCTCAAGATCGACAGATTTTAAGAGGTCATCCATGATCTCGTTAACAATGCTTTCAACATCTTCTCCATTTTCTACGGTGGCTGGACTTTCTTCTGTCTTCTTTGAACTGGTGGGTCCATCTGAAGAAGAAAGAATCATAGATGTTAGCAGTAGCAGTGTCCTAATATTCAAATTATGCTGTTTTCCCACTTAAAGACATTTTCAAGCCCCCCCCCCCTTTTTTTTTTAGGGAAGTTCTAAATTAGTAGTATCTTTCAAATGCTGCTGGAATTTAACATTTTCATTTTTTGGGCCTGCAAATGGGACATACAGTAGTACCTTTAATACATCAACGATATCTCTAAGCGCTTTACAGATATAATATTAACCGGGTCATCAGATTAAGGCTTGCTCGCACACAATGTATGCACATTCTCCACTCCCTGGGAAGCAATCCAGCCTAAATTATAATTCACTACAGAAAGAAATCTAAAGGTCACCTGTGGTGTCCTCTGCATCTACTTCCAGGTCAAGTCCCTCTGGAGTCCCATTGGTCAGTTTTTCTGTCTCTGTCTCCTTTGCACCGTCACCCGATCCACCTTTCTCTTCTTCTGGGAAGTTACGAAAATCACACAAATAATAGAGAGTTTAACACCGATGTTCACTGAAGATAAAGGACTTTGAATTTTGAGAGTTTGATTGCTTTACTTGAATGCTAATGTTTATGTTTAGCAACCAGGGGAGTGATGGCTTTACATCTTCTCCAAGAGACTTGGTAACAACGATTAAAGCCTTACCAAAGGGCACGAGCGCATTTAATTGGTTTCAAACCCATGACACTTTACGGATTAAAGTATCAATACCTTTTATGCACCCCTGCGCTTTATCACAACATTGTAGGTTGTGTTTTTAAAAGAAGGAGTAAATATATAATTATTCTATTCATACAAACCTTCTTTTAATGCTTCATCAGCCTTCAGCTTTGCCTCATATATCTATAAAAATTAAAAAAAGGAGCAGAAGAAGAGAAAATAATTCAGTGAGTGTTTAAGTAGAATGAATTGAACATAAAGCATTTATGATGTTCAACATGGGTACCTCTTATTTTGTGGTTTTGAGACAGGTGTGTGGATATCTTTCCTTCTTGTTGAAGAAAACAGCTTCTCTAAAATCTATTACAATTTTTTTTCTCAATTCAAAACCACAGAAATGTGCTTCCTATTTTCTTTATATCATTTCTTCTACGTTTATCTCTATATCTGCTCTGTTGCTGTCTTAAATGTACCAAAGAAATATTGAAATTAACTCAATGAAGAGCTGTTACATTTACAAAGGCATTTATCTGTTTTCTGAATACAAGATTTCTGACAATGGGATTTGGGAAGCCTTCTTAAACAAATGGCTTTTCAAGCTCCAAAATTTTTGTAATTTGTTAAGTATGTGAAAAATTGATTTTTCCCAATTTATGTTCATTAAGAATGTGACATTAAAGCTTACATCTAAAAGTATTCAACAAAACACCTCATTCAACTAGTCCACCTTTCGAAAAACACCAAAAACACCAAATTTACAAGGGGTATGAAGTTTTTAACTGTATATATTTTGTTGTTTACTGTTTTGCTGTTCATAGTCATCAAGCATGAACAAAATTCAATTCAATATTTAAGACTAAAAGAAAAGAGTAATAATAATAACAATGAGAAGAAAATCAACCAATCCTGAGGTACACTCACGGCTTGCTGCTCCATGCGAGAGAAGATAACGTTGAGCATCTGTGTGAGGGTTGCCTTGGCAGTGGTCTGATTGATCAGGTTCTTACTGGCAAGGTAGATGTTATAGCAGGTGCGGACGACCTGCAGAAGGGTGCCCTCGTGCACCTCACATGTCGGCGATGTGACGGCCGTGAGTAGGGCCTGAGAAGAAAGAGGTTACAAAATCAAAGTTTTATGTTTGAAAGTTCTGGTGGACGAGACTCTTCCTAACAAGTAAGACGTTAGGCCTAAAAAAAAAAGATGTTGTATTGCCCTTTAGGTGCCGATGCATGGTCGGTCGGTCAGAAATCTTTTTTTTAAAAACTTTTTTTCCTTTTTTTTCCCTCCCTGTTTGGGCTAATATTTGTCAGTTTTGAATGCTATAATATTTTTTTCCTCAAAAACATGGTTAAAAATCAACAACACTACTTTAAAAAGCCGACCAAGATTTTTGGGTTGGTCGCAAAGGGCAATACAACATCTTTTTTTGTATAGACCTTATAGCAGGTGCGTATGACCGGCAGGAGAGTGCTCTCATGTACTTAACAAAACATAGGCGAGTTGATTGCAAATACATGTATTTTACAATCTACTGTAATTTGAGATCTGCATAGAATCAGTGATAGCATCATTCAAACGTGCATAACTCTTTTTATTATTTGTCCAATTTTTTTTAAACTCGTATCATTCCGCTTCCCTTATTTTTCTGCTTTCATGCAAATGAAGTTTTACAAAGGATAGATTTGCCCTTTGTACACTGAATGCTACTGGTTTTCGATGGATGAGTATACAGCAATGGAGACCAGTTTGGAATGTGCAGCTATGGGGTCAAAGATGGCTTTCATAGAGGACCAAACGCTGAATAACTTCATTCATTCCTATCAACAAAGTGCGGAGTAAGTTTGATTTGACGAGTGTGAGTTGGAAAATTAAAGATAAAGTTGAGTTCTGGTCATGCGATTGCATTGTGCAAGAAAAGGTGTGGAATGGATCAGAAAAAGTTGAGCATGTAGCATGTACAGTGTGTACTTCAAGGTTCTGGAGTCATCAAAATCATGATGATTTTGGCCCAGTCTTGGTAAAGTAACAAGCACTGTACACAGAAAGATGTATGGGACTACACAAATGGTGTTGGACCTACTTACCTTTATTTCCTCATCTGTCTATGCTTAGCCAGTATACACTTTCTACCAAAATTGTTTGGCAAATGACATTCATTTGTAAACTTGAACATTCAGTGTAAATTTTGTTTGATTCTGTGAGAATTCATTTTCTTTTTTTTTTTTACCAGAAGTCAAGTTTATCTTTAAGCTACTGCCTCGTTGAAAAGAACAGCTGCATCTTTCACCTCAGGAACAGTCTTACTATCGAGCATGGTGGCTCAGTCGTTAGAGCGCCCGCCTCATGAACGGGAGGTCGTGGGTTCGAACCCCGGCCGAGTCATACCAAAGACTTATAACAATGGGACCTTCTGCCTTCTAGCTACATGTAGGCGCTCAGCATATTAGATTGGAGAAGGGTAGTAATAACATATTATGTTATGCAGGGCCCGCTGGAAGAACAGTTTCATAACTGAAGTGGCTACCCTGGGTAAATAAAAGTTATTATTATTATTATTATTATTATTATCTCACTCATAAATAGTAAACATTTGTTAACTATTCTGCTTACCTTGATGATTTGAAGCTGGACCCCTTCATCCGTCTGGGTCCCTATGAAGCACCCACATATTGTCTCTACTATCCTATCGATCAGCTTCTTGCCCGGAGCAGTACTGTCAGGCCCTTCCCCTGTCAGGTGACCGTACGCTATCAGTTTCTATGGCAACAAGAAAAGAGGAAAAGTTAAACATTGAGAGATGAAACGAGATCATTTTATCAGAATATCATTATGAATATTGAAAAACAATCTCTAATGTCTAATCTATCAGTTTCTTCCCCATAGTAATGTCAAGTGACCATATGTGATCAGTTTCTATGGTAACGAGATGAAAAGAAGAGCTCAGGTATGATTGAGAATTACTATAAATTCTTGCAATTAAATATGTTTATGATGCATCCATAAATAGTTTCATCTATCCAGTATAGTGGCTACTTCCCCAGAGTGATCCTGTCAAGCTCCTCTCCAGTCAAGTGACTATATGCTATCTGTTTCTATGGTAACAACGTTTAAAGAATTTCAAATATTGAAAGATAAACAAGGCTGTTTCATAAAAGTTCAATTGGTAATATTGCAAGACACTGTTTTGTTATTAACATGATACTATCTTGTTAATAACATTCTCCTTGAAAGAAGTGCTGTCTCTCCTCCAATGATCTATCAGTACCTTTAGGCAATAAGATAAGTACACATGTTCAGAAGCATAAGTGGTAAAGATAATTATAACCTTGTTTCTCACTGAATGCTTAACTTGTTTAGTTTTTTATCTTCTGAATCATTAATTGAAATGTCATAGTTTTATAATGTGTTTATTGCCCATTGACTGTTTATACACATCGTTTTCATTGATGTTGTCATGTTGGAATTTGTAAATAAATTATTTAAATTGATTTGAATCACATTTATATTCTCATTAATACTTCAACACTTGAAAATTTTGTTGTCTTGTTTTGTTTCCATGAGTTCACAGTGGTTTTTCCAGAGCTTCCAAACAGCTTATTGCCATGTACTTCTGCATAACTTTTCACTCTATCAACAACACATGCTTTCTGTTTGGAGCCAGAATGTCATTAAGTCATATCATGTACCACAGAGTTAACACCCTTCTGGCTGTAAACAGACAATGCACTTTTACTGAACTTTTCCCATTACAAGAGTTCAAGCAGAACCAAACATGTGCTTTATCTGCTGCTCACACGCATTTCATAATCATAAGGAACATTGCTAATTTGTATTTATAAGTCAAAATTACTCCATTTCCTGTTGTGCATTTATCACTAGGGCAACCTACAGGTGTAACTTGATTTGGGAGAAAAGTGCCAAAGGAAGACATGGCCTTTTGAACTTTAAACCTTTATTATGGTTCTCAATATTATGTGTCAAATGATGTGTTTTTCTACAATATACATGCCTTTTCAGACAGGAATTTATTTAAGAGGTTATTTGATACATTTTTTTCTTCAAATTGGCAAAAGTTTCTTTTTCTTTTAGTGCTACATTGTTATAGAACGTCATGTCTCTGCTTTACAATGTCAGATTAGAGGTACATGTATGTTGGAAAGTGAACAAATTGAAATATATCTATAGACGTAGAGTGAATTTGAACATCTCAAAATGTTGCCAATTTAAAGATCTAAAAACTGATTTTTCATTTTTAAATTTCTTGGCAGGAATTTGAGGTTATTTGATACAATTTGTTCTTTTAATTGGCAACAGTTTTCTTTTCCTTTCAGTGCTACATTGTTATAGAACGTCACGTCTCTGATATACAATGTCAAATCAGACACAGATGTGCAGGAATTTTTTCTCATTCTACTCATTTAATTTTCTGGACTCGGAAGTAACTTAAGCCAAACCACAAAATGTAGGCTATTGTCATAAAAGGGGAGTGTTTAATTTTAGGGGAAGAAAATATAATTTCCACAATGACATCTACATGTACATGTTGCAGCAGGCAATGTACACTACACGTAGCTCATACAAAAATATGTCTTCATTACTTCTGTTGAGAAAGGGCTAATCTGTGTAGACCTTGACTTCAGAATCCAGGGGACATGCAGTATAGACCACTTGAGGTGTCAGGTTTCCATAGCAACAGCTTTATTTTCTTTCTAATAGAAACATGTACTGATTTAACCTGTAACACAACGAGCACCTGCTTATGAAGACTATATTTCTGGTCTCCTTTTTTACGGTCTTTATACACAGGTTTCACTTATCTATACCTTCTATTTTCACTGTAAGCTCTTGGGTCCTTGCTCCTCATATCATTAAAAGGATTGGGTATCTTTGCCTCAGATTCTAAACAAAATCCTGGATTTAGCTCTTTCTGCAATCATAATTATAAACCTTTAGGTCAGTCAGGAATCCCATGACTTTTACAAGCCGATCCCCTGTCTGATTATCAAGATATTTATGATTTGAACTAGAAATATCAAAAACTGTTTGCCAAACGGTTTTGAACAGTTTGTTATAACCCTACAGTCAATTGGGGAAAATGAGTACCGTATGGTAAAACTGGTCACTCAAAGATTTTTACTTTTTGGAAGTACTTCATGATATTTTGAAGCACAATTTTTTTAGGGCCTCAATATTACACCACATTACAGACACTGATAACATGTAGGGCCATGCATCCCAGATTTATAAGGGTGGAAACAATGTTAAACAATGCCTTTAAGCATACATCCACTCCCACTGAAGTGTGAAGGGAGTGCAATCATAATGAGCTGGAACTCACCTGCAGACAATCAAGGGCAGTGTTCACAATGCGAGCTGATTTTGACTGACAGGCGAGCTCGAACGGTAAGAAGTGTCTGTCCGCTGCGATGGAATTGATGTTGCTCTTTGGGAGAGGGAGGGCAGACGAGGATGCCTTCACCGGAGAAGATTCAGCACTTCAAAAAAAAAGAAGATAAAATAAAACTGATTGTTATTTCTTTCATAGTACTCTTTTCAATTCACAAATGAGGAATGATCTACAGTGCACCAAACCAAATTCATCATAACATGAAAAGTATACGTCAAACCTGTTTTAGTGACCACCTGTCTACAAAGACCACATTTTTTGTTTTCCTTGAAAATGGTTTCTCATTAAAACATGTACTAAAGGAACCTGTCTACAGAGACCACCTGTCTACAAAGACCACTTTTTGTGTTTCCCTTGGGCGGTTGCTATAGACAGGTTTGACTGTATCAATATAACCATCCCGTGGCATAGGAGGTTCATGTAAATATAGCCAAGAATTGGATTAATGAACAATGTGATTGGACAAACAAGATCTACATTTTCTTTAAAAAAATATCCCATCAAGATGCAGAAATAGTTCTGCTATGGTGTATAATCAATGAACAATGCATTACTTATGTTAATAGTTTTTTGATGGGTAATCAAAAAATAGCATGGAAAGAGGGAAAGAGAGAAAGAGAGAGAGAGAGAAAGAGAGAGAGAGAGAGAGAAAGAAAAATGTGAGTTACACTGTCAATATGGCAAGTAGGGAAATATGTTTTAAACAAGAAATCTGGGACAGATTTGAGAAGATGCTGGTACTCTGAGTGTGAATTTCAATCTGTGATTCTGTGCACATCACTACATGCACATTGAATCTGTAATGCTGTGTAAAAGAAAACATCTAAAAATGCCCTTTTATGCTCAATATCTCTTTTAGAATGATCTAAACATGGCAATATGTAAAAATCTGAACTTGAGATTTCCCAGAGCCAAGCCAAACTGCTTTAACCTTTCATGTTTGTTGTTCACTCATCTAATTACCTGTGATATAGATTTTTAAGATACATGTTCAAGCACAAATTACCTCTAAAAAAGTAGAAATTAGAAGTAAATGTACATGTTCATGTCTATAAATAAATGCCAACCTAAAACTTCATTTAAATATTATATGTAAACACAATAGACCTGTGTATTAATGTATTTCAATTGATGCATGTTTCGGGTTACCATCTATTTGATTCATCTGCGATACAAAATGACATCTCTATGGTTGGATTTCAATTTGAATACAATTAGCTGTTGTTATGTCAGGCAACCCTCTGGCAAGCTATTTCAGTCATCATGAGAATTTAAAAAAATAAGATATGCATTAACTTTAGTAAACAGGTCTATCCCTTGTAAGAAATGTACATTTACTTCCTACTTCCTAGCCAATAATTTCAATAGATATTTATTCATCTTGAAAAAAGGGAGGAAAAGCTGAATGATTAACTAAAATATAACACTGCAAATATACACTTTGTACATTTTATCTAATTATTAATTCCTTTACAAGTTTTACTCTTTCTTTGTTAAATATTATAATTACAATATATTCCTACATGTATTTCAGCAGAACTTCACTTCCAAAAGCTGCTAACACAAGGTTTGAAATTTGAGGTTTGAATCCAAATATTTAACCAAGACCAATTTATACATGATGTGTAATTGAAACTAATTTTGTTTATTTACAGTTCATATTTGACATGTATGTAATGTACACTACACACAACAGTGAACAGTGCACATATATCTTTATGTTTATTTTATCATTCAGGTGTGAATACTATTATCATTCTTTTTAACATTACATTAGCATATTACATCTTTATCGATCAGGTCTGTCAGGGCTTTTGATTGTATATTAAATTCCAACGTATTTGACTCCCCAAATTATTTTATCATTCACGTGTGACCACTTTCATCATTCGTGTTATTGTAACATTAGTAAGCCTATAGTTTATCTGTTTTGTTCGGGTATGTCCATCTTTCGAATGTAGTAAATTAAAACTATTTGACTCACCTTCCACTCTGTAACTCAGCTTTGATTTCACCTAAAGAGATGAGAAGAGAAAAAATAGAAATATAAGTACATCAGGCGCTAAACTGGAAACTTAATGTAGCGTATTTTCCACAAGGGAGATGAATGTACCCTCCCCTCCTCATTGACTTTTCAATTATGCAGACATATATGGCTTTAACATGTGTGCCCAACATGAACTGTAATGTGGACGATTCTGAGAGGGCAAAAATCATTCTAATGATATCAATACAATGATAAAAATGATTATAATAATTATAGCAAGCAATTTCTCACAGGAACCAACCAAATAAATTTACACAACATATCAAGGATATCCTCTAAGTCTAAAGAACTGCGGTCACAATAAAAAAAAGACTTGCATAAAATCAACCTACACACAAACATTTGTACATGTCTGGCAATTTCAATAGCTGTGTGTGTCCCCTATTGAAATGAGTGAATATGACAGTGACATAAATATTTTACCATGACATGATTTTAATCTCTAGAAGCTAGCAATACAATATTGGTATTGACTATTGAATTTGTGACATTTTTCTTGACATAACTGATTTCTTGATAGTCTTTGCTCCATGTATTTCTAGTAGTTATTATTCCTACTGTACGTTTACACAGACATGCAATTCACAAAGTGTCACTCATTTTGGCACTCCAAAATAATACCCAATTTGCAAAACCAGGAGGTTAATAATTTCTTGGTAAAAAAAATTGAGCATGTGGCAGACAGCTGGATTGGAATTAAACGAGAGGTTAGCTCACAAATAAAGCACATCATTTTATGTGTATCTTTCTGAAAGCATGTACATACAATGAAAAACTTGAGTGTTAGTGTCGAGACCTGCATACATACACGTAGAGTTACAGTATTGCTCTTGAAATAAAGTAGACACTCTCACACTGCGTCACGCATGACTGAACGTATTATTCCATAGACTTTGGTGTGACTTGTGTTAATATACCTTACTTTACTTTAATACACGATGTTGTAGGTCTAAGCCTGTTCATCAATCCAGGATTCTTCCATGGTTACTTGATTTTACTTAATTTTACTTAATATCAAGCAATACTGTACAGTATTGGTTTACCCCATGATTAAGTTTCAGATTAAAAAGATTGAAGGTGAGGAAGCTCCAGACAATGACAAACATGTTGGTCTACTTTATTTATTAATTCTGTCACACTTTTCTTGGAATTTAGAAGAAAACAAACATTTTTTTTCAGGTGGAAAAATAGAAAAAAAGAAAAGCACAAAAATGTAACTTTAGCAATATTTGTCTAATCAGGATTCATACTGTACATGAACATCTCAACAACACAAGCCAAGTTCATAACATCTTCAGAAGACACTAACACACTATGCAATACATGACCCCCCGGCCCCCTCCCCCCCCCCCCAAAAAAAAAAAAAAAAAACTTCTTTTTTACTGATAGGTGAAAACTAGCTCTCTGTTTTGTTTCTGTGTTTTGTTGAAAATTAAAACCAGATCTTAAGTTCTTCATGTGAGTCTAATGTTGATTTAATAGGGAGATATACATGTAAGTTGGTCACTTGGTCTGCTCTGAGCTCTCCGTTTTTGCCTACAAATTGTCCTAGTTGACCCAGGTTTCAAAGCTGAGTCGTGTCTTTTGGATGGTGAGGTTAAAGGTCCCAAGACATATTAAAATAATCATATCTCATTGATACAAGTCTATACAAACCCGATAACACACACCTTTCATTCAGTATGTGTATGTTGTGGTTTATTGTTTGCACTAATCATATTGACACTGCATGCCACATACAGATTTCCATATGGAGACATACTGTACATGGAAAGTACTGTATATTACTAACAGGACGGCAGTTTCCATGTGCAGTATATAACAGCTGACACCAGACTTGGGAGAAATACCATAGATGGGTGTACAAGTTTCGTACACAGCGAATTGGATGTCCCATCAACAAACACCCCCAGTCTCTTATAGATTCTTTGCATGAGGGAAATTTATGATGATAAGTTAGCTTGCCTTTCCGTATGGGGCGATTGGTGGATATGATGCAGTGCGTTTCATAAGACTGGTTGGTCGCGAAATCAATGGCTACCTACTTCCCCACAGAAAAACTTACCACAAATAATTTAGCCGATAGGTTACTTTCTGTGCATTAATATTGAGACTTTGGGTGGGATTCCGATAGCGCGTACTAAGTTAAGACTGGCTTAACTTAGTCCACACTTTTATGGAGTGCCGGTTGCCAACTCATTTACCCTGTACAGATTATTTTGATCCTACAATTAAAAGTGTCCACAAAATTTATTTTGCAATGAAATGGGGAAAAAAAAGATAAAATAAGTATGAACTGAATTTTAACAAAGTCTTTGGTAGATTATCTTTGTCATGAATATTGAAGAAGGAAGATGAAACCTAGCATTCCATAGAAGTGTGAACTAAAATTCTTGTTTAGCCTGGACTTAGTCCAGCTTAACTTATGAGAATACCACCCTTTGACTTTAGGAAACTCCCTGGGCGGGCCTTTTCACACCGGTAACCGCTATTTTTGTAAGTATCAAGTTGGCAATGCCAAAACAATCATTTACTGCATGTATTTTTGTTTGAGGCAGAACCAACATCGCGAACTCTTGTCTGAGGTCATAATCTTTCTATGTAAATCGCATCATCAGGAACACATGGTAGGCAAACGAAGCGCTCTCACTCCAGTAACAAATTTCCAAGTGTTTTAGATCTATATCAGATGAAAGAGTCCACTAGTGAACTCCAAAGGTTATTTGCAATATTCGTCGGGTGCAGGAATTGGTGTTTATTGATTACCGGTACGAACACATTTTGCGTTTTATTTACATCACTCTTCACGCAGGCAAATGGATGCCAAATAAGGCTTGGTGGTATCAATATTATCACCAAGCCCTTAGCCTTACCATCCATCCATTCTCGTATTAAATGTACACCCAAATTTTTTTAAAATTTTGTTATTTATACTTTATAGATCTAGAACTAAGCGGAGACCAAAGTTTTAACGTTCAACTTCATTTATTTGCAATTTCTGTAAATGAGTTTCTATACATATAGACCTAATCTGGGTTTTGATTTGACTCTCTCTCTCTCTCTCTCTTGATCCTACTCCCCAAAATGGCAGGATCCAATTGGGCCTCAGAAGTGAGAGTCAGACTAACAACAGTTAGAGTAGACTTGGAGTTGGAGTGAAGTTTGTTGGATTGATTCACAAATAACGAAACAGATTTTCACTAAACATGTGAACAGTTAATGACAGAAAATGATTACTAAACCTCTATTTACCAAAATCTTAAATTTATACACCTTAATCTAATTAGGAATCAACATGATTGAATAGTCTACTAATCATTATTAAATTACACATTGCACTGACACACACCCCCTCCTCACAACAGAAAGCCGCATACACAAAACACAGTACATACACACACTCGATGCGCCACTGCACCGGTAAGTTTCGGCTGGCTTCACTGGTTTCTATCCGGCTTGAATATTTACCTAGTGCGACTTCACAGGCCTTTTTCAGCTGTGAGTTGTACGATTTCTTCGCCTCTTTATCGTTCAGGATCTTCTCGAGGGCCCGCCGAAGGAACATGTCCCTTCCTTGAGAATGCTCCGCCATATTTTTGGCTCAACTGACTCTCACAAAACCAAGCGAAATCGGAAATTATCGCCGAAAACACGAAAACATGTACCGGATTCGTAACTTCTATTTACAGACATACGTGTAGCACTTCGCCATGTTGAGTGCTATGACATCGCCCCCTCGCCAAAATCGCCGCAGATGGCGATATTCTAGAATAAAAACTGGGGTTGAATCACAAGGTAACTGGAAAGTGCAACCCAAATTGGGATCGCAATGACTTTCTAAAAATCAACCTGAGGCAGTTTTTGTCATCCTTAGTTTGTCCATCGATCATTGAAAAGTCCTAACAACACTAAATGGAACCGATCTGCATATCTATGCGGTATTCAATAGAGTGTTTAATTTACCCTTGAGTTGATTTCTAGAAAGTTTGTGCGATTTTGTATTGACAAGATTTTAAAGACTTTTACTTTGCTTTCTCCCTAGGTCCTAGAGCCGTTATCATGGATGTTTTGTTTCTCCTGAAAGTGATACTCCTTTGAGAATATTGATATTTGATTCTTATTTGGTTCAATTAAAGCTCATCCATTTATCATCAAAGGCATCATTTAATTTAAAACAATAAACCGGTTTACTAACAATTCAAATTCATGGATGTAAGTTCCTAACTGACTATACGCAGTGACCTATTTTGTTACCAATGAATGAACTACTATACATGGAATAAAAAATGCATATATAACTTGCTGCTATGTCGAGTAAGCCTCGGACAAGCTTTCAGGTTGTCAAGAGCAACCTTTCTTTAAACAGTACATGCATAGCAATTAGAAATGTAAGTTTATTATGTCCACCCATCCAATAAGGGGGGGGGGGGGGGGTAATTGTCACAGATCCCTTTCTCTCTGTACCTCACTCCATTATGTCTATATTTCTCTCCATCTATCTATCTCTTTCTCAGTCTCTGCTCCCTCGATCCGCCCACCCACCCTCTTTCTCAGTCTCTGCTCCTTCGATCCGCCCCTCCCTCTCTCTTTCTCAGTCTCTGCTCTCTCGATCCGCACACCCACCCTCTTTCTCAGTCTCTGCTCCTTCGATCCGCCCACCCACCCTCTTTCTCAGTCTCTGCTCTTTCGATCCGCCACTCCCTCTCTCTTTCTCAGTCTCTGCTCTTTCGATCCGCCCCTCCCTCCCTCTTTCTCAGTCTCTGCTCTTTCGATCCGCCCCTCCCTCTCTCTTTCTCAGTCTCTGCTCTTTCGATCCGCCCCTCCCTCCCTCTTTCTCAGTCTCTGCTCTGTCAATCTGCCCCTCGCTCTCTCTTTCTCAATCTCTGCTTTTTCGATCCGCCCCTCCCTCTCTCTTTCTCAGTCTCTGCTCTTTCGATCCGCCCCAGCTCTTTCTCAGTTTCTGCTCCTTCGATCCGCCCCTCCCTCTTTCATTCTCTCTCTTTCTCAGTTTATGCTCCATCTGCCTCTCTCTCTCTCTCTCTTCCTCTCTCTCTCACTTTCTGTCTCTTAGATCTATCTTCTTGCCCCCGTATTTCTTTCACCACCGCCTTTTGCCGGGAGCTTGAATACGTTTCATATTTTGAAAAGCAAATACTATAATAGTATAAAAATTTCGTAGGCAATGGCAAACAGTGATGTCAGTTTCCCAAAATGATGAACAACTCAAATAGTGTCTGCAAGTCTGAAAAGCATTGTGTATATTTTCCCATTCAAGTTGTTAGAAAGTTATTTTCTCAAAGGTCAATACTGTCCGCATTTCCCCGTGCTCTCTCTTTCACATTCTTGATTTTCTATCGAGTGTCCCCTCCCCCGTTTAGTTTCCAACCCCCGGTACAAAATGATGACAACTTAATACAAAACAACTTGTTTGGGGGCAGCGGGGCCTTATTATGCTATTCCTATACTATGTCTTATTTAAAAAGTGTTTTAAGTTTATTTGGTGCTATTTTAAGATCAGAGTTCGCATGATGAAATTTCGGGCCCTATTAGGTCTTTAATATATGTACATGTATATACAGCAGTTAACAACTAACTTATTTGTAAATTGATATTACCCCATGTTTCTAGTAATTAAAAAATCAAAGGTGGACCGTGATTGAATTATAGACTAGAGCCTTTGTTGAATACTTTTAGATGTAAACTATGATACATTCAGTTCAGATTAATTTTTATTGGTCCATTGTGACATTCTCAAGAAACATATAGGCCTATATAAAAATGCATATAGATCTACTGAAAAAATTACAAAACTTGGTAAGGGTATGAATAATTTAGTTGTTAACTGTTTATTTGAAAGATTAAGTAGACGTTCACCCTTGTATCTTCTTTGCATGTTTTGTTTCATTATTGAGCTCTGTCAATTAACGCCGCGATAAGTGGTACAGCGCCATCTGCGCTAAGTAGCGGTACATTCTGAAGTAGCCCTGGTCTATGGATCATAGGCTACGTAGTTACAATTCTTAAATGCTACAAATGAGACAAAGAACGTTCACTTACCGGTCTAGTTACTCGGAGTATATCTCAACGTGTACCAGTCAGTCTGTGTCAGTTCTCAATCTCCTGTCCCACTGCGTGAAGGCCAATGTCGCCCTCTTGTGCTAGAAGCTTGTACGAGCTTGTCGTCCCAGTGCGAGAAGGCCAATGGCGCCCTCTTGTGGTAGGAGGCTTGTATGGGGGTGGGGGCAACTCCTACTACATTCCCCCCCGTTTTAAAAAACCCAGGACCAATTGAAATAAACCCAGTGAAATATCTTACCCGCAACCGGATAGAGGGAAAAAAAAAAAAAATTATGCTTTACCCTCCCTTGTGGCCGTACAACATCCTAATCTAAAAACATGTATTAAACATGCCAAACTTGACCCCAAACGAGCAAAACACGGGGTAATACAACATGAAAATATTTTTGTTTTATTCATTAAAAAACCAACATACTTAATGCTTAACACTACAATTGCCAGGGGGAGATTCCCTACCCAAAACAATCCACGCCCCCATAGCGGGGAGCCATCCGCTTGTCCTCCCAGGCTACGACGCCATCTTACCTACCCGAGAGGTATATTACTCAAGTTTTTCGGAGTGTGACTGGAGAACCAGAAACCCACCTAGGTCACTCCGGCGCAGGAAGGAGGCGTCAGTTCCGCTATAGCACGGAGCGGGCCATTTGGAAAAAAGTCCCCCTGGAACAACCAAAACATATGCCAACGGGCATTTAGGGAAAAAATACTAAAAATCCAAAAAACTTACTAACATACGGTATATGTTCTTGCTAATGTAGCAAAAACAAGGTGATAGGGACTAAATAATCCCCACCTCAAGTATACCCTGAAAATTTAACGGACCCCTAGTGCTACAGGAACAGAAGTTCCCGTGCACACCCGACCTAACGGGCCATAGAGCGCTTGGGCGTTAACCCGAGTCTGCTCTAGGAAAGCCTGGAGACGGTTACCCCGTGTCCGGGCTACCAACTCTCTTACCTCCGCACTCTTCCCCGCCCCATGTAAGGAACAGGGTTTAGCAGTGGTCCAAACACAAAATCCCCTATCCGTTGGTCGATAACCCCAGTCACCCTCTTAACGGCATTGGGAGGAAGGATTACCCTCTTGCGGGCATACACCCTTGCTACACCCATCCGCCTGGGGTTATCCCCATGCTGCATGGGAATTTCCACTTCCCCTAGCAGTAACCTGGGATGATGCATGTGAATCACCGCCCTATGTTTATGGAGAAAATCCCTTCCCAGCAACATGTCGTCTGAAATGGGTGCAACATACAACTGCTTGGGGAACTCTTGTCCCCCCAACAGAATGCTCACCGGCCCCACTACTGACCCCCTCATGCTTATATCCCTACCTGGAGCATGTAATACGGCCTTCCGCAGTCTTTTGGGCTGCGTTTTCAGATGCTGAAGCACCCGATCCGAGATGATAGTCACCTCAGCCGCCGTATCCACTATTGCCCTAAGGGGGAAACCCCCTATCACTATAGGGATATTAAGAGAGGAACTGGAATGCAGCCGGCAAACCACTACCTCCGTTTTTTCCTCCGATCCCGACTCCGGATCCGAGGTGGGACCCGGCATCGGGTCCAGCGACCCGACCACCTGTGGAGGAATTGGAAGTTTCGTGGAGGTTTCATTCAACCCAGTTTCACCGGAAACAGGCTCCCCCACATGCTTAACAGCTGCCTGGGGAATAACTGCCCGTCCTCCCGGCGTCCCGGTCACTAGCTGGCCTAGTTCGGGTCGGGGGCTGGTCTCCTCCTCCGACCCGCTGGGGCTTTCCACTTCGGGGCAGTTGACAAAGGAAACACGCACATTCCCTCTGTCGCCACGAGCTGTGGGACATTGGTTCCGGAAGTGCCCGTGCCCCCCGCAAGCATAACACCGGTCACCCCCCGGGGACTTGGCTCTTTCCCGGGAAGCCGCCGGCCTTGACTGTAGGGTATCTAGGATCCTCCGGACATCCCGCTCTATGTTAGCTACCCTGGGCTCCATGTTAGCTACCCTGGGCTCCATGTTAGCTACCCGGGCCTCTAGGCGGCCCTGGCGCTCCACCATTCGGCGTTCTACTGCAGCGAGTTGTCCGTCTTCAGGTCGACTAGGAGGTTGGGGGGATAAATCCACTTGGCGGACTTCAATTTCCCCCGCATCCTCAAAGGCAACCGAATTAACAGGACACCCCCGCTGGTACATGGCTCGGTGCACATGCTGGTGCCACTGTATATGCCCTACTGCCTCTTCAACGGTGGCGGGATGTTGAGCCAGCGCGTGACATCCCGCCTCCCGGTTCAAACACCCTCGACACAGGCGGAGGACCGCCTGCTGGTGCGAATAGGACCCCTGGACCCCAGGGAATGCTCGGAGAGCTAACCCGAACACCCGATCAGACCACTCAAGCAAGGATTCCTCTGGCCCCTGCCTGGCATACGCAAACTCGAGTTGAGCAGATTCCGTCAACCCGCCGTGATCGAAGCGCTGCGCCAATTTTCGGACCAGCGGGAAATACTTCAGACCCGGCTCTTGTTCCAGAGTCAGGCTCACATAATCTCCCGCTTTCCCCTCTAGACACCAGGTTAGCTGATTCACTCTCTGGGCCCCATCCCATTCCTGCTGGTCCGCAAACGCAGTGAATTTATGGAGAAAAGCCCTCCAGTTTCCGCGCCCATCAAAAAAGGGGAGTGGCTGGTAGGATACTCTACCAGCGTTTCCCCCCTGCCTATCCCTCCTGGGAGCAGGACCCCGACGGATCGGTTCTTCGGGAAAGGGGAGGGGCCCTAAGCCTAGCCGACCCCTCTGATACCCTGGGATGGGACTGCCCCTCTGGGGCCTACCCGATACATCCCCTCGGTTAACCAAGGGAGACGGATATACATCATAGGGGTATTGGTGTCCCCCCACCTGGGCCTGGGCCCCGCAGGGGGTGCTGGTGCTCAGGGCACGCTGCCCCGACGAAGTGACAAAAACACTCTGATTGGGAACCCCCTCTGCCCCCCGGGTACTCTCCCGAGGAGCAAAGTCGAACCTGTCTAGCAGCCCCCTGGACTCTACTAGCCCTGGGGACGCCCAAAATAATCCCGGGGTAATATTCCCGTGTTCAGTCCGGAGACCCAACATGATCCCGGCCTGCACAGGAGCTAACCCCGGCACGTCCGCGAGGAGTTCTTCAAAAGAACACCTATTAATAGGGATCTTAGCCTCCCTATATGTCATAGCGACCCCATAATCGCAAAAGCCTTAGGCCTAGACTAGTCTACTAAAATTACAACTAAGTTACGTCGGGGAAATAACCCGACGGAAAAATAAATTCCCTGAATTCTTAACTAGGTGCTGTTTACTCACATCACTCCAACACGGATAATCACACCGCACGATTTTTTTTATTTATTTATTTTATTTTTTATTTTTTGAAAGGACTCCCGCACTACAACGAGTGGGTGGGTCCACACACAACACGCACAAAAACCATACACTCGCGCACCTAAATAACTACAGACAGCCTCCTGCTATCAACTACTAAAAGCAGGTCTAGGTCCTAGATTTAAGAGATCCAGGTCCCGTCGGCGAACAGCCAACAACCAAAAACAAAATGGCGTCGATCGTGAGGAGAAGGACTAAAAAATATCCCTCCGCCGAATCAAATACGCTGTAGTGTGTAACAAAGCGCTGTGCCACGACCGGCAGGCTCCAAAACCTGCGCGCTCAAGAAAAATAGCACGCACTTGAAAAATGTTTTAAACCGGGCTAATATTACAGCCTGGCTCGAACTCACGTACAAAACAACCGCTCAACACAAAAAAGATGCCTAATCAGACACCCCACACCACAAACAAAGTTCAAACACTCGCTACAGAAAATTCAAACACGCACACTCGAATCGCACTGCCCTCAAACCCCCAGTGAAAAAGTCCAGTCACGCATACAGCCGTGACGGAACTACACTTGGAGTTTGCGAGAGCAGACGACCGACCAAAAAAAATTACAGCAAAAATGTCCCAAACCGGGCTAATATTACAGCCTGGCTCGAAACACCCACACGAAACAACAAAGAATTATACACCAAAAATTACGAAATAGGCAAAGCAGAGTAATCCGCCCTGCCCAAGACGAAAATTCGAAATTCAACTTAAAATCTAGTCTACTGATTATATCAAATTCACAGCGAGCAGCTTAGCCCAGCGCATCGGACCGCATATGTTTTACCTATGCTTTAGGGCAGCCGTGCTCGCTGTGCAAAAATCACAAGTCCTAAAAATCACCGCAAATCCAAGAAAGCAATTTGCTCGCAGCGCCAATGAAGTAGCCCTGGTCTATGGATCATAGGCTACGTAGTTACAATTCTTAAATGCTACAAATGAGACAAAGAACGTTCACTTACCGGTCTAGTTACTCGGAGTATATCTCAACGTGTACCAGTCAGTCTGTGTCAGTTCTCAATCTCCTGTCCCACTGCGTGAAGGCCAATGTCGCCCTCTTGTGCTAGAAGCTTGTACGAGCTTGTCGTCCCAGTGCGAGAAGGCCAATGGCGCCCTCTTGTGGTAGGAGGCTTGTATGGGGGTGGGGGCAACTCCTACTACATTCCTCTAAATCAACACGTCTTCATTCATTTCCAATCATGGCGGAAGAAGCAGCAGAAACAATTTCGGCGACTATAAACGCAACTTTAAACGAAACAGCTGGCAATGTTACGGCTAGAATTCCAGCAACTGCCGAGGGTATGGCGCTGGCCTATGGCAGCCTTGTCATCATGGCGATAATTCCGATATTTTTCGGCGCGTTTCGGTCAGTCAGATTCCAGAAAGAACAGCGGGTAAGAATCATGTCAAAGTCAATGACAATGCAATGTTAATGAATGAGTGTGATCATTTACGTTACGGGCAATACGGCACCAGCTGTTGGCAAAGTCAATAGCATTCAATTTATTTGTTCTTTTGTGTCTTGTACACGTAAGTTCATGAATTTACACTCTTTACCATGTACTAACACCATCTTATCTAGTCTGTAAGTTTAGAATCTTTCACGACATGAAGTTTTTGTGATTTTTTGGATGGACATTTTTAATTTTAGTTTTTACAAATTGCAAAATTTCCTGTTTTTTAATTGAATGTGTCAATTTATTCATATTATTTCACAATGTTTTTTGTTCTAGTTGAGAACCGGCTGAGTACCGGCCTCGTAAATAGAGTATTTTTTAACATTGTGTGGTGCTTTTGTGCAGTGTGCAGGGTTTGACTGGGAAACCACGTACAACTTTACGAATTGACTTGAGTGTTGTACTTGTTGTACTTGTACACTGAAATAACGTGCTGCGGTCCCTTTGCCCGATCAACTAGAGCGGCTTTGAATTTAAGTGAGAGAGAGCTCACTTAAGCAGAGAGTGCAATGACCCCTGGTAATGACAATGCCAATATGTAAATTAACAAACATTTCAGTATAACCTGCCAGTTTGTACCTTGAATATGACAGGAAAAAAAATATCTTGTATCCTTAATTCAACTGACAGATTTGTTTTTTATTTCTTGTTTCACAGGAGAATGGAGATACCCCAGAGATTATGTCGGACAAGGATGCGGCCATGTTCCCCATCATCGCCAGTGCTACTCTCTTTGGGATCTACGTCGTGTTCCAGGTACAGTGAAACCTGTGTATAAAGACCGCTCGAGTGAGACAAGGAAAGTGGTCTTTATAGACGGGGGGTGTTTATGTAAGGCTTTTTTGATAAGTGTTTCAATGAAAATTACTGTTCAGGTCAAGCAAGAAATTCGGTATATAACGACAGGTGGTCATTGTATATAGGTTACCATTATAGCATGTGCACAGTTAGACCGAAAGCTTCAGTCTCTATAATCGTCGGTTGTTCCACTGAGACTACGTCTGGCTCCACTAGACCTCCGGTTATAGAGACAGAACGACTGCCTATGCCAGCCTGTGTTGAACTTATTCCGCTAGATTTTAGCCGCTAGGCCCCTCCCACAAACTTGCCACGGCCGTATTGTTATGCCCCCAAAATCCCCCAAAATGTCATTTTACCTCGTCCATATCCAATTTTAAATTAGGCCTAGGCTATAATACATCGGTTCCACTTACTAATTTGATGTAAATAATCCGTTTAATGGTCCCTTTTAAGGAAATTATGGGTCAAAATCGACATCCATGTTGAAAATCTTGCAAGCCGTGTTAAACTCTCGTTGCCGTCAATCTCATCCCTTCTAGTCTACGCCGAAGGCAAAATGATTATGAAGGAAAAAAACTGTGATAACGCCATTACGAACGTGTAGATGGCGCACAGTTTTTCCTTCATTATCATTTTGCCTTCGGCGTAGACTAGAAGGGATGAGATTGACGGCAGCGAGAGTTTAACGGACGGCTTGCAAGATTTTCAACATGGATGTCGATTTTGACCCATAATTTCCTTAAAAGGGACCATTAAACGGATTATTTACATCAAATTAGTAAGTGGAACCGATGTATTATAGCCTAGGCCTAATTTAAAATTGGATATGGACGAGGTAAAATGACATTTTGGGGGATTTTGGGGGCATAACAATACGGCCGTGGCAAGTTTGTGGGAGGGGCCTAGCGGCTAAAATCTAGCGGAATAAGTTCAACACAGGCTGGCATAGGCAGTCGTTCAGTCTCTATAACCGGAGGTCTAGTGGAGCCAGACGTAGTCTCAGTGGAACAACCGACGGTACTATAGAGACTGAAGCTTTCGGTCTAGTGCACAGTAGTCTCTTGATCCATGTACAATAGGATTTTGTTGTTGTTAGAAATTTATTTACTTTTAATAGTATTATTAAAAGTATGATTTTTTTTTCTTTAGGAGGGGGGGGGGGGGGTGCTGGCAATCAATCAATCAATCACCTTTTCTTTAAATTGGAAACACTTGAATTACATGTATTTCTCTATTGGCACTTCCTTACATGTATATAAAAAATGCATCTGACAAGAATGAATGTAGTGAAAAACTACATGTGCCGGGTATGTTGAGTTATTGAAAAACTGCCGGTTGTATATCTGGAAAGGCATTGATTTTGAGCTTTTCAACATGTGGCCAATTTGAGGGTTTTAATGGCTCAAATATTCAATGTACTTTCAAACAACATATGTAGTAGTGCAACAAATATAGACATTGTGTGTGTTAATATTGTCTCTCTTTCTGCTTTTAAATAAATGAATGCATCTGGTATATTCTTTAGGGCTTTGCATGAATATATTTATTATTGCCAAAACCACGAATTGTGGGCAATTGATCATGAACACTGGGTGATTTTATTTACATTGTGGTTCAAGAGACTGATTTTATATGTATGGATGATTGGCGATGACATGATTGAGATAACTCATGAGTTATGATGGTTGCTTACTTGAATATAATTTATACATCTACCGGTACATAGTGTTCTTCATGTAATGGGACATGCAATGTGGTGAATATTGATTTAATTAGAAATACTTGAGTTTCAAATCACATCAAAATTATTCTCGCTCACTTATAAAACCATTATACCTTTTTTTCTCAAACATTATACGATTATTACTTGTGGCAGATTTATCACATAAAAACCCAATCGATACCAGCATATTGTTACTAAAAATCAATTGCAGCTCGAATATCCCTTACGTTTTATTTCCTCTGTAATCAAAATTTTTGATTAGCTAACCATTGCTGTAATTTAGAAATCAAATCACTTTTCAAAATGTATCAAATTATGATACATGTACCAGCATATTGCGTATGAATTTCAGGAATAATTTATGCATTTTCAGAAATTGATTCAGTTTTCAAAATATACTGAGCAATTTTGAATTTCAGGAATGTTTTAGGTTTTCAGTAAAACTATTTGAATGACTGCAAATTTATCTATATTGAAGGTTAACTACTTCTCCAATCCTGGAGGAAATCAAGAAGAAGAAGAAGAAGAAGAAGATATTTAAGATGATTCATGTAATCATGTTACATACATTCTGTTCTCTTTCTAAACCATATGCTTGTTTTATTTTTGTTTGTTTGACAGATTTTTTCAAAGGAATACATCAACCTTCTTCTGACTGTTTATTTCTTTTTCTTGGGAGTGCTTGCTATAGCGCACATCATCAGGTGAGTGGGCGACCAAACACTTTCTCTGACAATAGACCATTTTTTTTAAACTATCATATTCAAATTTATAAATGTTTCTCCTCCTGGGGACCTCATGACGAGTTATTCCATTAACCTGTTATGAATGAATGAACTACAATACTTGGAATCCAGTCTGCATACGTTATTTGTTGCTCTGTCTGGAAAGTCTCAGGTAAGCTTTTTAGGTTGTCAAGAACATTCCTTGTTTTAAAATTGTTCATCAAATTTGAATATGTTAGTAAACAGTCTTTTGGATTTAAGATTTTGTTATTACAAAAAATTGTGGCAACCAATTAAAGCTTTTGGCCATGCCAAATACTCTTATCATCATCATTATCTTTTAGCACATATTCTTATTTCTTTTTTTCTGAAGTAAGGAGAGATATTTAACTGATATCATGCCATATTACAGTTCCCTCCATCATAGCTCTATCCTGACAAACCTGTTCAAGATTTAGGGTTAGGGTTTAGGTTTTGTGTTTGAAACAGAGAGAAAGTTTGGAATTTGGTTAGTTCAGGATTTTGACCACAGAGCAATTTTTGCTGGAATAGGATCTGTTGCATAAAAAACTTACTATTGATGGTAACTTTCCAATCAATATTAACTACATGTATCATGGCAACATCACTCAACATCTAAACAAAATCAAGGTTTCTATGAATAGATACCATTAATAGCAAAATGACAGTCAATGGTAAGTTTTATGCAACAGGGCCCTGGTGTTATTATAATTTGGTGAGTGGCATTCTTTTGTAGATTGCAGAATGATTCATGAAAATATAATCCTTGGTCCTTGGCTCATTGATTATATTTGTTATTCAGTTCTGTGTTGATCTGTAAATTTTCAATTTCATGCCCAGTCCGTAGGTTTAACCCTACAATTTATATTGAATTAGTAGCCACCATCTCTTTTCCTCTCACTTTCTCCCCTTCCTCTCTCTTTCTCCCCTTCCTCTCTATATCTGTTTGTCTGTGTCCCTCTCTCCATGTGTATCCCTCTATCTGGAATCTGGCTTTCTATCTCCATTTCCTTCTTTCCCCTTCCTCTTTGCTTATTTTCTTCACACTTTATATCCCTTGCTCTGTCTTTCTTTGTCCCTTTTTCTAAATCTCCATCTTTCTCTTCTCTTCCTTCACTCTCTACCTTCACTCTCTGCCCCTCTCTGTCTTTCTGTCTGTCTTGGGCTATCATACATCCCCTTTTCTCCCTCTACCCTTCCTCTACCCCCCTCTCTCTCTTTCTGCCCCTCCTCTTTGCTTCTCCTGTCCCATCTCTCTCTCTTACACTTTCTTCCGGTTCTCCTCCTCCTCCCAAACTCTCTGACTCTCCCCTTTGCCTCTCCTGTCCCATCTCCCTCTCTCTTTTACACTATCTTCCTTTCCTTCTCCCCCTCTCGCTCTCTGCCTCTCCTCTTTGACTCTCCTATCCCATCTCTCTCTCTCTCTCTCTCTCTTCACTTCACTATCATCCCATCCTCCTCCCCCTCCCCCACTCTCTGGCTCTCACGCTCTACCGTTTTTATCCTCCACCCTCCAGTCCGGTAGTGAGGAAGGTGGTACCAGACTCCATGCGTAACGACCCGTATCATCTTCTATTCACCAGAGGAAAGGGCGATAAACAAGAAGGTGAGCATTTTCACGTTTTTTTAAAGGGAGTGTAGCCTGACGAGACTGCGTGTCTTTACCATGGCCTGACTCGGGGCCAATCGGGTAATAAAACGACTACGACTGACACGACCGCAGCAATCATGTGCGTGCAACATACGCAAAACCGAAGCATAAGGAGAACTTTGGTCTGTTACTCGGACGCTGACTAGGTAGAGATTAAGTCACTGACTACTGTTAGTTTACGTGCAGTTCTCCAAAAGAAGACGTAGATGGCGTTAACCAGTATTTTCCAAGCTACACTCCCTTTAAAAGAAACTCAGACCTTTTCACTGCCTTGAAATTTAAAAGAAAATTTAGCACAACCAAGTTTTCATGAGCTCAAGGTTAATCATGAAAACTTGGTTGTACATAACCACCACTTCCTATAAATGTACACCTTTTATGTGAATTCAACCACTGTGTATCTAAAGGAATTTTGCTTGCCTAGAATTGGTTAGGGGGTCATTTTTAATGAACCAATTAGTGCTTTTGCATGATCCCGCCACTATTATTCATATGTATTTGTTATTGATTTGTAAATTGTTTTTAAATTGGTAATAAATTGAACTGAATTTAATCATATTACTTTGTTATTTTTCTTCCCTCTTTTCAGAATTGATGAACTATGAGTTTGACAACAAAGATTTGATCTGTCTCGGTGTGGGGGCAATATTTGGTGTTTGGTATCTCTTGAAAAAGGTGAGCAATAGATGCTTCATAAAAGTAGGATTTAACAGCTTCATTCTATAGCATTGGATGGCGGAATTCTTAATGGTAATATTTTAACTACCATTCTTAAGTGTTAACATTAAAAGAAAATGTTAATGAAAATAGTTGAATGGCTTACAAATATGTCTTGCAAAGTATTAGAAATAACATCCTTTGAAATTCTTAGAAAACTGGTCAATGTTTATTGACAGGAAAATTGAAGAGGATTCTCATTCAAAGAAAAATGAGGATTTTATTTGTACTGTGGCATTTCTAAACTTTATAATATGTATAGAATTACAGATGTCACAATAGAGAAGTAATTTCAGAGGAATTCCATAGGACTGTCACCACCTGTATAATTCTGAATCCCATAAGAGTTTGGACTTCAATGAGAAGAAACATACTCCCAAGTAGAAATCAATATCATGAATTTGATTTGTTTTCTATAACTCATGAGTAGTAGTAGTAGTGGTTATTTTACCTGACTGCTAAGAAAGCATAAATGCTTGTTAGTAAGCAACCAGAAGACCGACGGCTTTAGGTCTTCTCAGAGGGACCTGGTAATTAGGATCAATGCCTTACCAAAGGGCACTAGCAAATCAACTCGGTTACAAACCCAGGTCGCCGGATTACGAGACCACTGCTCTACCAACTGAGCTATTGCGCCTCCATCATGAACTGAAACATTGATGTACTTAAATTTTACTACCTCGGTTACAAATAAATATATATTTTATCATCCCTTCCCATAGCACTGGGTTGCCAACAACATATTTGGACTAGCGTTTGCTTTGAATGGCGTGGAGTTCCTTCAGCTTAACACAATCGTGACTGGGATTATACTATTAGGTGGGCTCTTCATCTACGATATCTTCTGGGTGTTTGCCACCAACGTCATGGTAACGGTTGCCAAGTCGTTCGAGGCTCCCATCAAATGTGAGTAGTCCTGTTGTCTCCGGGAGATGTTGGTGGGAGGGGAGGGGGGGGGGGGTGGTGGAGGGGATTCGTGGATGTGTTGTCTCATTTGTTCAGTTGTGTTGAGGATCTTGGAATAAACTGGGGAAGTGAATTGTTGGAGGATCAGTAAACTTTAATATAAGTTATTTGTCTTTAAAACTTATAGTCACCCCCCTCCCCAATAATAATATACATTCCAATAGTTATGGGTGAAAGAGTGTACTGCTTTTTTTTGTTTTAACAACCCAAATTTCGATGTTGTACAGTAAACTATTCATACCCTTACCAATAACTATGGAACCTGACAAAGTTTTAGCACGATCTAAGCTCTAATAGGGCTTTTAATTTCATATACTTATCAGTGTTGTAATCATAAGCATATGGACCAAAATACCATAGACTTGTCCTATTGTAAGCTTGTTAGCTCTGATGGGGCAAATGAAGACTGGTGATCATATCTATGATTTCATTTCAGTGGTCTTCCCACAAGACATCCTAGAGAAGGGGCTAGAGGCAAACAACTTTGCGATGCTGGGTCTGGGGGATATTGTCATTCCAGGAATCTTCATTGCTCTCCTGCTTCGCTTTGATGTCAGGTTAGTATGATAGTGAGGAGGAGGAGGAGGAGGAGGGGGGAGGGGGGAGGGGGGAGGGGAGGAGAGGGGGGGGGGGGGGGGCTGGGGCAGCAGAGAGAGAGAGAGAGAGAGAGAGAGAAGGGGGGGGGGGAAGAAGAACATTTTGGTGGTGATGATGGTAGTGGTAGGAGTGTGAGTGACATCCAGGGTGGTGTTGATGATGATAATATAATAATAATATTAATAATAATCTTTTAAAGTCCACTCCAAATTTTATTAAGTTAAACCGAAAATGGAAATTCTTTTTGCCCAATTAATCGTGAGCCCGGCAGCCACTGAGCAGCGCCAGATCGACGTTGCTCTATCTCTTATTGTTGAACGCCAAACAAGGTAGTAGCAACTCACGTCTTTTAACGTCTTTTGGTATGACGCGGCAGGGGTTCGAACCCACGACCTCCCGGTTGTGAGGCGGATGCTCTACTGACTGAGCCAACATGCCATTTCTGTAGAGTGCATATTGCATTTTAGGAGGAGGGAGAGGAGGAGGAGGAATGATATGATGATGATGTTCATGGTGGTGATGATGGTAGTGGTAGGAGTGTGAGTTAGGAGTGTGAGTGACATTGAGGTTGGTGATGATGATGATAATATGCCGTTTCTGTAGAGTGCATATTGCGCTCTCAAAGAACTTTAGGTATCATTAGCATATTGGTGAGGATGATGATGGTGGTGGTGACTTTGTTTTCCTGGAATCTGCATCGACTGACTGCTGCACATTGATACCAACTTGACTTTGCTAACCATGTTATTCTTCTCATCTCCCTCCCCCCACAGCCGGAGTAAAGGTTCCCGCACCTACTTCAATTCTGGTTTAACAGCCTATCTCCTAGGACTCGTGGCCACGATAGCCGTCATGCACTGCTTCAAGCACGCCCAACCTGCCCTTCTCTACCTTGTACCTGCCTGTATTGGCTTGCCTCTCCTTGTAGCTCTCATCAAAGGCGACATCAAGGATATCTTCAAGTAAGTCATTAGCTTTGCGGTTGGTAAAATACACCATTCAACTTTAAAGAGAAGGTTGAGTTCTGGGAAGAGGTGAAAAATAATTTGTGAGCGCTATCACTGTATTATGCAAGTGTGGAAGAACATCAGATAAAATATGTTCCCTGAAAAGCATGGCTCTTCAAATGCCGTAATATTCTAAATATAGCATGTAACATCATAAAAATTGGGACAGATTTTTATGCCACATGTTCGTGTAGTCCCATATAAATCTTTCTGTGTACAGTGCTTGTGACTTTACCAAGACTGGGCCAAATTTCTTATCATTTTGATGATTTCAGAACCTTGCAGTACTCACCAATACTTATATGCTAGATGATATACCTTTTCTGATCGATTCCACAACGTTTTTTTCACAATGCAATCGTATGACCAGAACTCAACTTTATCTTTAAATGCACATGAATTTCCTCTTCTTGAGTCACTACACAAGCCTGGTCCAGTGGAGGTCGCAGGTTTTGGCCTTGGGGCTGAAACCCTCTAGATCTTTAGGGAGGGAGGGGGAGGGGGTACAGGGTTCTGGGAGGAGGGGGCAGAATAACAGGTTTTATCATCATCTGTTCCTCCCACAGTCATATTATGTGCAATATCAATGTAGCTATTATTATAGCTATTAATAAAATAATCATTCTTTTGCAGATACGAGGACAATCCCTCCCCAAAGGAAGAAGAGGTTTCAAAAGAGAAAGAGAGCAACAAAGGCACAGAGCCAAAGAAGGTTAAATGAGCAGCTCTTATCTCGGGGGAAAAAAACTACACAACGACAGAATCCGGACGACACAGCGCCGGATAATCGTCCCGAGGACGTCCCTCTTCTTTGATGTTAGCGGTTTTAGTCTTATCTTCTCACCTTTATTTTTATCATTCACAACTTCTGCAACCTGCAATGAAGCAAACTATATGGGCTGTCTTGGTAATTGGCGAAGTTCTTTTGTGCGCGCCCTTTTTTAATGATTTTTGTTAAATTCAATACTTCCTTTGATTGAGAGAGTACAGCGATGCTTTCGAGGTTGAAGAGGATTTTTATTGTTGTTAGTAACCAGTGACTTTTTAAAATGACTGCATGTACTCCCAATGTCTTTAGAGGCTCGATAACAAACATATCTTGTACTTCTCCTCCCCCTCTATCTCTCTTTTCTCTTTCTCCTTATAGTAAATGTATCAGCTATCAAATCATATTTGCATTCCTCCTAAACAAATTTGCTGTTGTTGAAAGTATAACATTGGTTTGTTGCTTTAATGTTCCCATAGCTTCCTGTTGAAATTGGGATATAAGACAACAAGAATTAGGGGATGTCTTCACTGGGATTGTTTTGTCTAAAGAGAAGAAAAGAAGATGTATCGAAGTCCCCCCGTCTCCCCCTCTTTCTTCCTCCTCTCTTTTTCCTTAAAGTAGATGGAGATATCAAAGCATATTAGCATTCTTCTTAAACATAATTACTGGTAAGAAAAAAAAGAGTTTTGAATGTTAAGATGTTTTCCCAAACATACGACTATGCAAATTAAAAATCTTCCTGTCCCTCAACAGTTTGAGTCTTTGAGAAGACAAGGCACCCTGACTTAAAGGCAAAACATTCCACGTTTTTTATTAATCAAGCATTGACAGAGGTAAAGTCTAACACCCTACTTTCATTCACCTGGTACAAATAATTGTATTTGAATAGTGAGGATGCGAACTGTAATCATTACTTGTTCCTAGGTTGAACAAAATTTATGCCTTGCCTGACCTTCCAACACGTAATGTATGCAATTTGCATGCTGACTATTTAAATACAGTCATTTGTAACGGGTGAAAACAACATTGTACTTCCTCAAGACATATCATGGACTCCAACATTGGTTTATTCATGGAATTTTGAGTTTTTTGCTGAATCCTGGAATTACTTGCCAGAGCCTTGCCCCATGTTGCAGCAGCATCGAAGTGTGCATTGTAAACAACGTTTGAGGGTTGACCTGTAACTTTATTCATTTCTTTACTCTGTCAAGGTGTAGTGGTTAGGACAAAATATCTTGGATTTATCCAATAAGGATCATAATCAAAATCAATTTAAATTGTTTTCTATAATATTTAATCTGGCCCCATCTATAGGAAGGCAACCAATATGATAAACTCATCAGCCTGAATTTACAAAGGAGGTTTAGATTTAACCCATGGTTTAAGCCCTCATTTACATAACCCATGGTTTGAAATAAGCGCAAAATAAGCGCGACACAGTCAAGAGGTCCAATATTAGACGCGCGCAAGGCAAGGTAAGCTTATTTTACGCTAACTTTTAATCCATGGGTTATGTAAATGAGGGTTTAAATCATGGCTTAAGTCTAAACCTCCTTTGTGAATTCAGGCCAATAGGTTTGAGAAACAGTAATTGTGAAAGATTTGATATAGGAGATTAAAGGCCTTGAAATAACCCTCATTCTTTCTGTTGCCAATTTCAATACATTTCTGCTGATTGGGTTATTGGGTTATATTTTAATATTATGTTATTGTTATGAATTATGGATAAAAGTGATGAATATTGTCTCGCTGTCAATTTAATTTGAATTTTAAAATACTGAATGGATTGTGCTTATGAAGTTCTGTTTACTTTGAAGTCTTAAATCTTTGCCATCGGAAAATCCACCTCTTCAAACTGAATTATTCCATTGTCTTTGTGCTGGTAAAAGTCCCAAATGCCCTCACTTCTGTCCCAATGTTTGTGAATTTATTGTTCATACCATATCATTCCTGTTTATGCTCTTTTGTTGGGATTTTTCCCCTTGTGCTTGATCCATCTTTCACATCATCTGTTTGGAGCCACACAAATGTTAAAGGGGGTGTAGTATGACAACTACTGGTTAGCGCCATCTACGACTTCTTTTGGACAATTGCATGCAAACGAATGGACTTGATTAACGCTCCGCACGCACTACAGTGTTCACGAAACAAACCGAACTTCTCCTTTCGCTTAGGTTTCGCGTATGGGAATATTGCGGTCGAGTCATCTGTAGTTGTACTGTACCTGATTGGCCCCGAGTCAGGCCCCAGGAAAGACATGATGTAGTCTCTTCATGCTACACACCCTTTAACTTTGTGCATGAGAATAACACCGGTTTGCTTCCAAACAGATGATATATATGTAAAAATTACAATTGCTGCGATACGTGTACAGTTTACTACTGAATTATAAGGGAGTTTACAGATACAATCTGCGCATGGGCAGATAAAGGTCATTTGTACCAAAAAGGTAAAACCCACCAGAGATGAATACTGGATATAGGCTCATGAAAGTTATGTAACATTATTCATTTATGCACCAACGGTACATTCTAAGATACGCAGGTGGAAGTATTCTTTTCAAGAGGGCAAACAAAAGGTATTCATGAAGCACATCTAGGACTTTGGTAGTTATTATTCTAAGATGCTCAAAGTGGAACTTCTGCATGTGTAAAAGATCTGTGGATATTTGGGCCATTTTGGGGTCCTTTGTACCATGTGCTATCTGTAAACTCCCTTATTCATACCCTTCCCGAGTTTTAATTTCCCAAAAGTACGGGCAAATTTGATTTGTCCTGATTTCTGTTTCTTGCAAATGTGACGGTTTAAAGCTAACCGGAACATTTAAGGGTACCGGTATTCAACAAAGGCCCAAGTCGACCAGTCCATCTTTGATTCTTGAGTTATGAAAAAACAAAAACAAATAATGAGGGGTATGAATGTTTCAGTTGTTATCTTTTTTTTAAAATTTATTTTTTATTCTGTTTGACTGTGCCTTTATCAATGATCAATGTTACGTTACCTTCCTACGTTCATGCATAACTATGAGATACATTCAGATATATTCTGTACTGGGGGGGGGGGGGGGGGTGCCTGAATGAATATTCTGTAAATGATCTGGGCTCTGGGGCCATATTCAATTCAGAACGTGTATTAAGTCAGTATGTTCCTTAGTATTTTGCTTTGCTAAGTGTATGTCTTATCGTATTCAGATAACATCTGAGCATTTTATTTAAGCAAGCTGACTTTAAGACAGAATACTTACTGATAAGCATTGTGACGTTGCAAGGTTAAACCAATATAATGTGTAATTAAGGTGTCAAATTCAATATGTGCTAATACAATTATTCGCAGCTTATGATGACTTCCGTATGAAAACCATATGCCTGCTAATCATGGGCTCAAAAGTATTTGGCCGAAGTTTGCTAGACTGCTGTCTCTAAAATATTTGGTCAAAATCTTTGTTGGCTAATCATTTAACCTCACCCGAGTAACAAACTTATATTTCTGAGATAAGTATTGAAGTGAATACCGCCCCTGATGTTCTATTTGGACCAAGAAATGCAAACAGTTCTAATTATTATTTATTTTTCCCCCAGGAAAGGGAAGGGGGGGGGGGCAGAAGGGATGAAGATTCATGTTTTTTAACCCCAGTATTCAGGTGGAGCCTAATTTTTAACCGATGCTCGCATTGTCTGGTAGAGTGTTCATATATCATGAGGTCACAATTCTAACAGATTTGTATTGAATGTGTATTTATTGTATATTTTGATTACTCTTTTTGTGTTTTACGAGAGAATTAATCATAAATAAATCGATACGTTGGTCCTTTTACTTGTATTTGTTACATCCAATTCCTCTAAGAAAAATTTCCAACAACTTTATGGTGCCTAAACACACAATCCATCTGTTTTACTATTAACAATTCCTTTTCATTTGTTTTGCTTGAATGTTAGAAAGTTAATATTTATTATGGTAAAACTTTTTCTTGTCTAAAGCATGTCGGAAATTAAAAACGCCTCAAGCATATCCAATATCTACTGTAGAATCATTTTGTTTCTGTGTCTAGACTTTATTCTGTTCAGTGAGGGGTGTTCTTGATGTGTATGGAAAGTCCTGTGTTTGGCCCCTTGTTGCTTTGGCTAAAAAATGTATCAGTCCTTATCACAGTGTAACAAAGAGTTGTATTGTCTTTATTGGGGTGATTTTCTGGCAAAAAAGAAAAAGACAAAAAAAAAGAGCGGAGAATGTATGAGAGATACAGAAAAAATGAATAAGGCAAAGAGATCCATGGATAAAAGATGTAGAGTAAATACAATGGGAGAAAGAGAGAGAGATATGGGTTTTTTTTTTTTTGGGGGGGGGGGGGGAGGGGAGGGTGGAAGAGATGAAGTGAGAAAGAGAGATGGAAAGTAGATAGGGGAAATCATAAATGGAGATAGAGGGAGAGGCGTGAATGAGATATAGTGATCCAGAGAAAGAGGGAGGGAGAGCAGATGGAAAGAAGAGAGGAAAACGGAGATAGAGAATAATAGTTTGTGGTAAAGTATAGAAAATATGGTGTCTCTACTTGTGTTTTTTCTATAATCATTAATCTCTCTCTCCCAACTTCCCAAGGAAATGTTACATTTCAAAGTTGCTTCTCTCTCATCATCCCTCTCTCACTCTCTTTTGATCTCTCTCATATTCTTTCTTTATGAGATCTATCACTCTCTCTCCCCCACTATCTCTCTCTCTCATCTCTTTACTTCACGAGATCTCTTTATGAGGCCTATCCACCTCTTCCTATGATCTCTCCCCTCTCTTTTCTCTCTCCAAGTTGTTTGATTCACTAAGATTCACCCCCTCCAAATTTGAAATTTGCAGTTTTAAAAATCCACTATAATTTCACAGCTGGAGTGGGACTGAACCTTGTTCTGTAGCACAAAACATGGCGAGGAAAGTTGACAAAAAATAAAGTCAAACATAGAAAAGTCTTTGATTTATTAGTAAAATAAATAAAATATATAGTGAGCACACATGCACAGGTTATGTTACAAACCGATAATTGTTCACATATTCTTTATCTTAGGTAGCTCATTGCTAGAAAGAAATATGAGCATAATCAATATATGCATAACAACGTAAACAACATACACACAGAGGCATGATGGCTCAGTGGTAAAGATGTGGTCTCGCAACCAAAGGGTCCTGGGTTCAAAACCAAGTTGATGCACTAGTGCCCTTTGGTAAGACATTAATCCTCATTACCGAGTCACATACTTTCTTAGCAGTCAGGTAAAACCAAACAACCAACCAGAATGTACATGTATACACTTACTGTGTAAGTAGAGGCAAGTCAGTGCAAAAGTAGCTATTGATTTCTCTTTTCAACTCTTCACTTTTGATTTGAAATGAATTCTAAGTGTTGGAGATATACAAAAAGTTTGGAACAACAGTTACTTGAAGTACGTACTAGACCAAAGTTAAAACATGATTTGAATTATATACATGTCAATGGATACTTCACACAGCATGTGTTTTACTTAATTTGGGCAGTGATTGTTACATTGTTTAAAACAAAAAAGATATCACACATTAATTATGTATTGAGTTATATCTAAGAGCAAGACTGGTATAACACATACAAAAATTATGTACATCCATGGAGTGCCATTCCAACTCCCTGGTACATCTATATCATGAATGAAATCAATGAATAAATCAAATTATCATAAAGTGGCAGGATTGTGCTTTAAAGGAAGAGAATAAAAATAAAAATAAAACAAAACAGAATAAATGAAACAGAATAGAACTAACAAATATGTATGTACATGTACATTGATACATAATAGAACAAAACAAAATAGTTATATACAAACAACAACAAAGCATTCAGACACATGAAAAGAAAGACAAAATGATACTATTTAGTATTTACTCAAAAATTTTTTGAGTGGGCCATTCGAGTGGGTGAATACTAAATTCATGTCATGCACGGATTGTGGTCCTTTTTGAAGACCAACCGCTTTCCCGGAGTTAGAGTAACTATAAACCCAACAATGCCTATCTTTAAAGTTAGCCTAAAAGACCCTGTATGAAGGGAAAATGAAATAGAAACCTTGAATACCAAAGCTTCTGGAAGAAAGCTGTCTCCAGCTAAAAACACAATCATATATCAACCGAAAGCTTATAAGCCACAATAATATATCAATGTATTTGCTATTTTAGTGTCTGTCAGAGGAGTTAACAGCTCTCTGAAAACTCCAAACGTGCAGTTTTTAATATTGATGACGTCTTGTCTGTATCTGTATCATACTCCATTTTTATAACTTCCCACACTTCTTCCTCTTCATCATCTGATATCAAATGTATAACTTCTTCTTGGTCCTGTTCTTCTTCATCCTCCTCCTCCTCCTGTGATTCATGAATTAGCATCTCGCTTTCTTCCTGTCGCCACTTCACTCCTCTCGTCTGCACAACCTGCTTCCGTCGGGCTGAAGAAGTCTTTGGTTTAGAGGGCCTCTCCGTAGTAGTAGGGGTAGTGGGATTCTCCAGAAGAATCCCGGACACGGGTAACTTAACAGGGACAAGCTCAAATATAGGCACGAAAATAGGAGCAGGTAATTGAGGTTTAGGAAATGTGGGGTCTTGGGGATTAGGCTTTGGAGCAATACGCCGGAATGATGGCTCAGGAGACAATGGATTTAAGATAGGTTTACCTTGTGCAACAGTCTCCTGCAGTTCAGCCTGATTTGGCTTTGGTGGTTCGTCTTTAACTTGTGATCTCGTCACCCTTTTATTTTTGTCTACTTCTAAATCATCTGTTTTGCTCTTTTCATCTAACGTGCTTTTCAAAGTTTCCAGAATCGGGATCACAATGGGAGTTGGTTGTGAAGGCCCTACCGGAATCAAGGCTAGGAAAGTCCTATTTTCAGGTTGTACTGTCGGCTTAGGCTTAGGCTTAGCCTTAGGCTGGTTACGCCTAAGTATGCGTGCTCTATTTGAAGGTCTTGGCTCCTGCTTTTCACCTGGATCATCTCTCTCTTGATTGGTAACCATGTTTTCTTTGGTTGGGCTGTGCGTGAAACTTTTTAATATATATCCACTGGGAGTAACACCAGTTTGCGCAAGAGTTGCTTCATCAGCCATTTTCACTACTTGATCCAGCCATTCCAGGATTGATTTATACTTTTGTTGTGACTGGTCGGGTATAACATCTGGCAAATTTGTGCTCACATCTGAAGACTTTGGATCTATATCTCCACCAAGGGAATCATCTCTGCCAGACTCCTGTGGTTGTGCACGTGGAGACATACTCCCGATCTGGCCGATGCTGTTAACCGACAAACTTGGATCACTTGGCACATTTGAATCACGTAAACCTGGTTCCTCTGAGTCTGAGCTTGAAGTAGTGACTACTTGTAGATCTATGCCATGTTTCCTCTTTTTGTTAATCTGATAAAGCCACTGGCCATTGTTCAAACCTTCTGCATGTCTAAAATTTCCAAGGTTGAGGATCTTTGCACTTCCTTGAAGTTCAACATGGTTCATAATATCATCAGACAAAGGCCTTTTAGTTTTACTGGCAGTAGTCGAACCTGTGGAACTGGAAGTGGTGGAAGTTGTGCAAATGGGGCCATCTTGCCCCTTCTCTCCGCATTGTCCGCATACATTCAGGTCTTGTCCTGGCTCATCCCTGAACCACCCATCATCATCAATTTGACTATCAATTTTATCAAAAGATTCACAAATGTACTCCTTCAATTTCCTCTCCGTGGCCGTGTCAGACTCGGATATTGAATGATGTTCATGAAGTCCATCGCTGGAAAGCAGAGGCTCTTTTTTTATTGCTGTCACAGAAATCTGTTCATCGAGACATCCAGTTCCATTCCCTGTCAGTGAAGGCCAATCAACTGGTTCCTTTTCGAATTTAACCCGAAATGCCTTTATTTTAATTTCTGGTGAAACTGAAGGCAAATCATCTGCAGCATCGCTTCGCAAGTCCCCAGCTTCTTCTGACTCTAAATGTGTGCTTTTCGATCCCTCCATTTTGCTAATATCTCGCTTCTCAGCTAAGCTTAGCACATTTGATGTCAAAATAACATTTAAATGCAATGAAAAGCAGCTAGCATGTAGCAGCACCTGAAATATTTGCACAGAGAATCACGCCTTACCCAGGCCGACGCAGCAGGCGGGCAAGTTGGATCGTACCCGAACACCTCAAAATATCCGTGCCTTAATTCTCGGTTGCAAGTTGCAAGTTACAACGATGACCATTCCGTCCTCCGTTTAAAGAGTTCAAGCTCATCTTCAATGTCATCTAGATCTAGATGCGATTCATCAATATCCGTAGATCTTTCAATAAATGATAAAATTCAAAAAAGTGAAAATGTGAGTGGTGAATGACAACAATCAGCTCTCTAGAACTATGGTTGCATGATGGCGCTCCAGTTTTTCCCTGTCAAGGCAAAAGGATAGTCTTTAAGCGCAGACTCTAACGTAAAACTTTACCACAATTCCTACAGCGTTCAGTGTGCAGAGCCTAGATATGTCATTTTCTTTCAGAGCAGCTCCAGTACCGAGAACAATGTAGTCTCATTTTGCAGACCATTTTCAATTATAACTATTAACAAGGGTTTGTGCCTGCAAACTATTTTAAAGAGCGCATCTCAATTGAAAGTGAGACTAAACCCGCGGGACTACTATTATGCCTTGAAATCATTAGGATTTTTGTTTGAATTCGAGATGGATATACATCAGAGCCAGATCTAGTTTCAGGGTTGCATAGGTCTATATCACGACAAAGGTCAGCTTTTTTGGGTCACCCATTACCACAAATGTTTTGATTTTGTATTATTAATATTGTTTATTAAGTTAAAAAATGAGTTGGGGGGGGGGGGGGAGGGGGGTTTCCTCCAAAACACATAAAAAAAGTTTAAGGGGGGGGGGGGGGGGTTACACCCCCTCCCCCCTGCGTACGCGCCTGGATGAGAGCTATAAGGAAGCCGATAGAAGAGAGAGAGAGAGAGAGAGAGAGGGGGGGGGGGGGGGAGTAGTGCAATTTCAATTCAGTTTGTTTTTTAGTTTATGCAGTGCGGCACAAGGGCAGCTAGTTTATTATGATGATCAAGTTTAGTGTATCATAATTATATCAGCGGCTTTAATAGCACTGTATACGTATACTGTATTTCCATATGAATGGAATTAGCTAGATAATTCGTTGAGAATGGCTTCCTCTGTCAATTCATTTAAGAGATTGTTTAAACAAGGTTCTGTAATATTAACATGACTTATTTACATAATCAATATTATTATATTATTATTATATATTAATCAATATTTTCCTATTGACATTACTGTGTACTAGGTTAATGATATGTTTATTTTGCAAATGAGTATTATTTTTTAAAACTGTTTTGTATAAACGTTATAAGCGATGTAAATATGTTCATGTTTATTCAGGGCCCCATGGAAGACCACTACTTGTTGGTGAATGGGCTACCCTGTCAAAAGATTAGAATGATAAATAAATAAATACGTATATATCAGTCTACTTGAAACTAAAACAAAAATATAGTTGTATAATATCTGAAAAAGTTCGATCCGCCAAAAAGAATAACAGAGTAAAAGAGAGAGAGAGAGAGAGAGAGAGAGAGGGAGAGAAAAATGAGAGAGAGAGGGAGAGAAAATGAGAGAGAGAGAGGGAGAGATAGACCATTCATGGCCCCATACATAGTTTCAACTGTACATTAATACACGTTCCTTCGAGTCATCAAAAAGCTCACATTCTGTCCCATTCATAAGAAACGAGTTTCTTATTTTCTATCATCCATATCATGATTTTACCAAAGAATACACGCCTCCAAATCCTAAATAAATGACCGAATGTTGTTGCATGTACAGTGCTCCGTATAGCAGCCGCTTTTTCGAGAAGTGCCCAAATAACCTTTGACAGCGCGGCGCGGTTAGTAAGCCGTCATTAACATAATCCATGTTTACAAACCGCTGGTTGGCTGGCTGGTAAACGCGTAAACGGGTTACCATCTTCGACAAGCGAGGCGAATCTAGATATTAACCCAGGAAAACAGTTTCTTTTGGACCAGTTTACGACCTACCCGTGGTAATATCAACAATGTTACAGGGCTGAGATACATAAGGGACATTTTCTTCAGGCTTTTGAACGTCTTGCCGTGAGTAATGCAGGGTTTTGTTGGGCCTTTTTTTCGCTAACCCTTTGTTCAACTAGCTTGGACGCCGGATCCACAGTAGTAATATTATAACGTATCGGGTCAACTATTGTGTATAGTACGTAGGCTAGTGCTAGTGCGAATCGACAGGCTAGTTTGTAGCGCCGTGCCGCCGAAGTCGAACGGAAGACCGCCGAAAATGATCTATTTTCGTAGAAAATTGGCGACATATTTCCGGCATGACAATACGATCACATTAATCGGCAAATACGCTTTGAAAGCGATATTGTCTTTTGGTTATCTATGGTGCTTACGAGGGTGTGGCTTTTCCAATATGGCAATGAAATCATATCATTTTTATGATATTTCTTCAGGAGCCATTTTTCCACTCGCTCGCTCAATGAGCTCCACACACTAGCTGTATATTGTGTGTATATCGGCGCGCGAGTATTACACACGTGCAGTAGTAGTGCGGCGTGCGCCAATCGCAAGAAACCAATAATATTTCTGATATGATAGTGAAATCGCCAACAAATAAATGAAGTGGAATTTATCACATTTGAGACACAAAATTGTTTTCCAGGGTTCAATTTGATAGAAGAAAATGCAAGAATTATAGAAAATATTTCCCAGACATATTTTTTTATTTCCAAGAAAATTTAATGAAACAAAAGAAAGAAATGAAATTAACTCATAACTGATATAGATCTAGGCTTGTATAATTGTAATGTATTATTGTTACTGTTGCTCCTTATGTTAACATGAATTGAAAACAATTAAGTTGCTTATAGTATGTTCAGGATGTGGGTATATGCACAGATATATAATGTAATAACTAAAAATGATACATAAAAGGCCAAATAAAAAAAAATACCCCATTTTTATAGCATATTTTTTTTTTTTTTTTTTATATATTTGTATCTATCGTCTGCACTACATGTACATTGTAGGTGTAATTTCATAGGTCAAAAATGGATTGGATGAGAACAACAACTTTATAGAATACAAATATATTTAATTATTTAATTCATTTTAATTTGCCCCAACTATATACAGAAAAGTATCATAATGTGTGAATATGTTCAGATACACATTCCATTCAATTCAATTGATATTTATTTCATTTCCAACAGAAAGATAAACAAAGGTATTACATAATTATTACATAAAGTATGAAAAAAATATATGTTGATAATTCATTTTTTCTTGGTAACTATACAAAAACACTTTACACATAATAAAATTATTACAAGAAATTCTCAATTTCTGAGGAAATGGGGGGGGGGGGGGGATCCCATTGTAGTTTGTGGATCCCCCAGAAAAAAATAAATTGTTTCAAATTGTGCCTATGAAGACTTGGAAAACACAAGACAATATTACAAAACAACAAACAACAATGAAACGACAAGGAGAAGGAATACAGATAAAAGAAGAAGGAAAAAGGGGGAGATGGAAAATTTTGTGTATTTTAGACTTGCCCTTTTCACCTATTTTCTTTTGTTGTTTATTGTTTATTCCTTTTTTTTCTTAGGGGTCCTCGCTTTGAAATTTTGCATCCCTGCAAATAATTTGTTATGAAATTGAAAAAATGTCATTCATGAAGAGCATGATTTTGCTTGATTTATTAATTTATTTTCTATCAATTTATACAAAAAAAAAAGGGGGGGGGGTTAGCTTGCTCTGAAATCAAAACATATAATATTTTACTTCAGAAGTATGTAATGATATATTACATTAATGTAACAAAATATTATATTAACAATAGTATTTAATAATGTATTACATAAATATGTCTGTAAAGTACTTAAAGACATTGAAGAATGATATAAACCCATAATTTTTGTATTATTGTTATTATATAGCAATAGTAAATTAGTAAAAGTAACAACGCTTTTATAACAACCATAAGAACGAAATGAGGTGATAACAATTATACTATATGTAGTATTTTTTTCTAATCCCTGTTATACATGTATGCCCCCCATTTATATGCCCACTAAAAATTGAATAATCCTTTATGTGATCAATCTAGGTTTTGAGCATTATAAACATTTTACCTTTTCCATTTCTTGTTTTTATTTCTGAATTAGTCAATGAAGACATTCATCAATATGTTGTACAGTAGGCCTGTACTTACTGTTACTTAGTTAATTATGTTAATTATTTTCATGTTTGTGTAAGTTCAAAGAATACTATATAGGCCTACTATTGATTTTTTTTAAAGGTGCTTTATTTTGCAAAGATAATAAGGAAGAACTCGTAATATTAGGATTTTGTTTTGTATTCGGATCTATTAGTGACAAATTGAAGGAATGAGATAGACTGTCCATTAATTGAATGAGTAAATCTTGCTCTTTGTTTCCTTCTACAGACCACAATGTCTGAGCCTCGATACACCATCGAGCAGATAGAGCTCTTGCGACGCCTAGTCCGCACCGGTCTCACCAAAGATGAAATCATCCACGCGTGTGACTCCATGGCCAAGATGGACTCTGAGTTGGGTCCCCTCCCATCCAAAATAGAACAGCCCATTTTCACGTCTGTCAACTCTGCTGCTTCTCCACCAATCAGCAGCTACCATGCCCCACAGCAGCTAACAGTGACCAATAGGAACTCGGGGTTGGATACAACGGGTGGGTTGGGCCAGGAACCAGCATCTCCTGGAAACAGGACGTCCCTGGTGACTCTCCTGTCTAACGCAGGACATGGCGGATTCCAAGAGAACGGGGATGGTGGTGATGGAGGCAGAGGTGGTGTTGATGACTTCCACGTAACCAATGAGGAAGTAGAATCTCTCTTCAGGTAAGACATTGGTTGCTCTGTAAAACCTACAAGTTGACTGCTTATAAGTGTCCTCACAGTGGTGTGTAGTTACAGGGGGAAATGAGGGGATATTTCCACCCCCCCCCCCCCCCCTGATGAATGGTGAAAAAAAAGGAGAAAAATTAAGAAGAAAAAGGTGAGAAGACAAATGAAGGATGAAGGCAACATGGAAAGAAGATACTATGACCATTTCACTTATCTTTCCCTACTTGATGTCTCTTTCCTCTGCTTCATTTACAGAATTATAGATAAACGCTCCCTGTTGGGTATGACATCATTGTCTCCTGTTATGCTCCATTTTTCAGTCAAGCAAAGCATTTTATGTCCAAATTCCATTCTTGAAAGTCCATTTATGACGGCTGTCCTAAAACATGGTGGCCCAGAAGAGGCTAACAAGAGGTTTTATACACTTCTATTTTGATCTGCTACCGCAAGCAAGGTCACATGAACATGAAAGAAGACATCAAAGAATTTGGGACCTGTAATTAGGGACTTTTCAATTTGCACGTCGACATAGTGGACTGCTACTTGTGACATCCTTTTAAGGACGTGTGACGTCTTTTTAAGGGACTGGCAGTGCTTTAAAAAGACGTCACACATAGCAGTCCACTATTTGGGTGTGCAAATCAAAAAGCCCCTTTTGTCTCTCCCAGAACCTGAAGTCCCAGTCTACAGGTATCTGTTAGACTGAGAATGAGATTGAATTTGATTTTTCTTGATTTCATCCGCTTCCACAGGAAAGGTCACATGAACGTGAAAGAAGACATCAAGGATTTCCTGACCCGCAATCGTCTTTCCCAGAACCTGATATCCCAGTCTACCGGTATTAGCCAGAGCTACATCTCTCAGTTCCTTCTCCATGGTTACGTGATGCGGAGGAGCACCCAAGCCATCCTCTACCGCTGGTTTCTTGCCAAGAAGAGAGAGCTCGAAGTTATGGGTAATGTTTGTCATCAGATTCCAATATTTTGGTTCAGAAACATATATATTTTGATCGACAGGGGTCCTTTTCGTCTGTTTGGAGCCAGAAGGGCATTGTTGTGGTCTGGTGGATAAGTCTCTGGACTGTTAATCACATGGTTTGCGGGCCAAGTTTGACAGCGGCACTTATGTCCGTTGGTAACATATTCATCTTATTTGGCACAATTCACCCAGCTGAGTTAGATGGTAACCCAGTAGAAAGAAAGTCCTTGAAAGCATGAGTGTATTATCATGGTAGCTTGGTTCAAGTCAGAAATATTATGATTGCAGCTAGGGCCCCTCAAGGAGAACGTTATAAATACTGATGAAGCTACCTTGGATAAACAAGACATGGAATAATAATTTTAAAGGAAGGATTCTCCTGTATTCCACATATTTTGTTTATAAATGGAAGAGAATATTACATTCAGTAAAAAGAATTGTTTGTTGAAAGAGATCTTTTTAAATTAGTCATTTGCGTACCGTGTACTGCTCTAATTGATAGTACCTTTAAACCTGCGATAGCAATCACCTGTATAGAAAGACCACAGTTCTTCTTTCCCTTGAAAATGGTTTATCATTGAAAGGTGCACTAAAGGAACCTGTACATAGAGACCACCAGCCTAGAAAGACCACTTTTCTCCCTTGAGCAGTTTTGATGGGCAGATCTCAATGTACCACTTTTCTTTTCTTTTCCTTCAGTGGTCTTTTATAAACAGTTTCACTCTTATTCTTTTGTTACCATGCGTAGGGGTAATCAACAGTACCCCAGAGCAGCAAGACAACTCTGCTTCCTCCCCTCACGGCCTCGCCCAGCATCGAGTGCGCCCTTTACAGCCCCGTTACGCCCCCTACCAAACCCCCACCCAGTCCACGCCCACCAACTCCAGTGCGGCGAATTCGGGCAAGCGACGAGAGAGGTTCGTCTGGAAGGACAACTGCCTGAGAGTCCTGGAGGCATACTTCAAGAAGAACCCATACCCCAATGACATGGAACGCATCAGACTGTCAGATGCTTGTGATGCTCTGCAACAAAGTTTATGTAAAAATTATTCTATTTGCTTATAAGAGCTTCTCCCGGCCCCTCCAGTCCGGGAACAGAGGGACCGCATTCATGTTCCCAAAATCTTTGGTAAAGGGGTACTTTTCTCGCAACAAAGTCCAGCTCGTAACACACACAAAAAAATCGGTCTGTATTGACTTTACACACCGGACTTAGGGGGTTGCTTTCAAAGGGAGGGAACATGCATACACGTACCCTAAATAACACTGAGTTGGGGGGGGGGGGGGGGTGTGGGGAGCTTCTGTGTGATTTGGTGTTGAAAAATTGAAAGTCCTGTTAATGATCTCTCTAGAGTTGTAGTCAGTAGGCAGTACTCAAATCTGCATGTCACTAACTTGAGAAAGACGTGGTAGTGCATGCTAGAGTGTATGCCTCCGAGTCTGAAGCCTTCAGCAGATGGGACTGACTTGTGGTGGTTGAGTGCATTTCATGCTCCACCTGTTCTTGGGAAGAATTAAATCAATATTTTAATGTAAATCTAATGTTTTTTCCCTTCTTTTTAAAATTTCTAAAGAACAAATAAATGGGGTCCAATCAAGAAATATGATTAACGTATTTAGACAGCTTCTGATTTTAAGTATTGCCTTTAACCCATTGCTTACGGGAACCTGGTGGTCCCTCTGTAAAGCCTATGGGAATTAGATCATTCAGTAGCCAACAGCTTAAATAGGGATCACATACGTATGTGGGATTGGATGTAAATTAAAGCTGAAACCAATATGGGTACCTAGCAGGAATAAATTCCTTGAAATGCTGGAGCGCTGTAATGGCAGCTAGGCTAAAGCCGGGGTAATAATAAATGCGCCTCGTAATAGAATTTTTAAACAGACGGCGCTATAGGAATGCCTATTGTTTTGTTATTATTATTATTATTATTATTATTAATTCTATTTGTAACGTGTAAATAATGTTTTTGTAGTAATGATTTATTTTCCTTGCTGTGTTACTCAAAAGCATGTCAGCAACTTTCAAGCCTTCAAATTCAAATCATTATTTCCATGTCGTGCAATTTTCAAGCATTCAAACTCAAATTAAAATTATTATTTCCATTTCAGTAGGTAACGATATCCCGGAACACAACAGAGTGAACCCAAGCAAAGTGTACAATTGGTTTGCCAATAGAAGAAAAGAAGCTAACCGTAAAAAGAGAATGGGTAAGTAAATACATTACTCGGTTGAACAGTTCCATCTCTTATTCTTTGTTCAGATTTGACTGAAGAATCTTAGTAGTGGAGTTGAGATAAATCGTGATCTAAATCTCTTCCAAAATTGCATTTTTGTAAAAACATTTCATCAAGAAATGATCCTGCTTTCATTATAATTTTGTTTTACTTTTTTTTTTTTTTTTTTGGGGGGGGGGGGGGGGTGCTGGGGCTTATTACCACTCTGGTTTGCAGATGACCGAAATTAAATTCATGTTCATTGTTACGCAGTATAGTTACTCGTAGCCGTCTTGGGGGGATTTAAAACTCGTGTAGATGGATCCCCCTAATTTTGTTGAATCTTTCCTGACTTTTTACATTTTCCATAGTCTCTTGGATTGGAGGCTGAACAAAAAAAAATTACAGTGTCTCTTTTTAGTCACATTTAAAAATTATCTTTGGATCCAGAATGCGATGAATTACACTTAATATATGAGCAGAAAGAGAAGTTAAATATTAGAAAATTTTAGTTGTAACTAATCATTACAGTCTATAGATTGGCAACACTGAGAAAAATGAAAAATCACTCTTTTTGTGTACAATTGGCATTTTTTGGGGTTAAATCTTGCAATCTTCTTTCACATTGGTTCTTTAATAAACATTTCATAAAAGATATTCATTTAATGAACATTTTCTTTTCTTTCGAATTACATGTTCATGAATGGAAGAGTGGAAAATATGATTAATTGTTGCCAAAATGAGAAGAGAAAGCTGATTAATTTAGAAAATCAGAAAAATCTGAACTGCTATTTGAATAATTCTGAATGACTCTTGTCTAACAGCTGCAGAACCTATAATCACAAGAACAGTTTCTCATGATGATGACTCCATCCCTGAGGTGGATTATATCGACAATTCAAGCGCTGATCTTACAAATGAAGGAGATGCATGCATGGCAGGTAAGAACTGTGGTAACAAATTAATTTGTTTGCTGCATTTGCTATTTTTGCTTGTTTCACGTTGTATATAATCTGATGTTAAGGCCTTCTTGCCCACCTATTATTATTGTTACGTCCTTCACCATTGCAACTGCTTCAATCAAATGTTAATCTTATTGATGGGAACCTATAATCTACAAGCTGAGCTATTCAATAGGTTCCTCACATTTCACCCTGGATATTCAATACAATTAATTTTGACGTCTTTTAAAGATTTGATTATATAATGTGACACTTTTAGTATATTTCATATTATGTTCTAATTTTGTCAATAATGTGATTTCCTTTTGTGAAATGTGAAACAAAATAAACTTGAAACTTGAAACTTGAAACTTTTAGATCAAAGACCCTGTGGGAAATGAAAAATGATAAACATGAATTATATACCAACAAAAAAGCTTATTATTTATAGATAACAATAATATAAATTATATATACAGTTTGTGTATATGCTATTTTAGTGTCTGTCAGAGGAGTAACAGCTCTCTGAAAATTTGAAATCTAAAGCTCTGAAGATAAGAAGTAGTTGACCTAAAAACTAGCTATCAAATTGTTGACATCATTTATGTGGAGGAAGCATATTCACAATGACTTTGCATTAATTCAGCCAGGCTCATCGCCTCGATCGGCTATATGCCTCTGCATTTATCTTGATTCTTTGACTTACCTCCATACTTTCAAGTTTCGATTGTATATATATGTATTTTAATGTGTGTGTATTTCATTTGTCACTCTTTATGTAAATCAATTACATTATATACTATTATTGTTATTTGAATGTTTTGTATTTGATTTGTCAATAAATAGAAAAACATCTGCTAAAAAAAGAAATATTCAGGTTTATATAGCTACATGGAAAAAGGATCAAAAATAATTTCCCATGTTTTCAAACTGGTGGATCCCTATTCCATTGTAACAGTGGAGCAAATTTTTTTTCAGAACAGAATTTTATTACCAGAACACAATACAGTCAAACCAGCTTTAGTGACCACCTGTTTACAAAGACCACATTTTTCCCCCTTGAAAATGGTTTCTCATTGAAACATGTACTAAAGGAACCTGTACATAAAGACTACCTGCCTATCAAGACCAATTTTCTTGTCTCCCTTGGGTGGTCTTTATAGACAGGTTTCACTGTATAAACTAAAAAAAAAAAACTAAAAAAAAAAAATATATATATATTATTATGGCAGGTGAGCTTGAAGATGAGCATGACACTGGCAGCATGATGAATCACATGGGGGGCGACGACGACCAGGATGATGCAGAGGTCGCGACCCAGCTGGTAGAGGTCAACAATTCCATCATGACCCTCATGAAGGCAGTGGAGGAGAGGACGGAGGACCCACAGGTCAAGACGGAAGCCGATACGTGATGGTGACCCCCGGCCCCCCTACTCAGTGTTACTTAGGTTATACGCGTATGCATGTTCCCTCCTTTTGAAAGTCCGGTGTGTAAAGACAATACGGGCTGATTTTTTGTGTGTTACGAGCCGGACTTTGTTGCGTGAAGAGTACCCGGGTGGTGACCCGGCCAAGCCTAGGTTTGAGGATGCCTTGGGTGATTTCAATGGAGTTGGTAGTGTTTCTCTTTAAGAGGTGTCGGTACGGCCATCTTGGTACAGTGTCAGCACATGCTCTGACGACCCTTGCTCTGTGGTCATTTGATTACACAAACGCCTCTTGAGACTTCAACCCTGGAACCAATACTATACCTAACACCTGTATTCACCTGTCTTGTTTAGTGTGGGGCTTCTCGTAAGACGATGGTCTTGTGAATGCAGCCCTACCACTTTCAATATAACTTCTACTACATGTCAACATAGGGTAAGGTAGGTCACAAGACTTAAAGCCAGTCTGCACTAAATTTGGCCAGGGGGATTAGACCTCCCTGCAAGGTCACTGACAAGTGGTTATCCCATCAAATCAGCTCTCAATTAACATAAGAAAAGGGGATCATGGGGGACCAACCGCACTGTTTGCTATATATAGAGGGCGCAGCTATAAGTAGTGCAGTGGGGCTTTAATGAGCTTAACACCAACTCCAAATCTAGTGTAAAATACCCTATAACAGAACTTTCCCTAACTCTCTATTTCTGATGAAATACAGCTTGGAGAAAGTGTCGTAGGAGCACATTTTAGATCAGCTGTTATTGCAGTGGTTAATATTGGCTGAAAGACAATCTTAAAGATCACAATCAACAAGGGGGCCAGTTTCTCAAAGCCATCATAAGCTTAAGTTCTTGGACAACCCCATGTTCTAATACACATTCAATACATTGTCTACGAACTTGGTCATATGACAGTTTTGAGAAACCGGTCCTCGACATGTTTAAGCAGTAGTGTTCACTCTGGGATGGTGTGTGAAGGGTTTAGATCCCAAAGTTGGCTCCAAAAATCTTTTTAGACCAAAGAAAGGACATTCCGAAGCCATGGACAAGAAAAGCGATAACAAAGCCAATACTTGGCTTGAAATGTGAAAATGCCCATTGTCTAGTGTTTTATTATATGTGTTTTTAATAATTTGATGAAATTTGTGTGAGAGTAATAAAACCATAGTTCGCGACTATGATATATGTGTATGACAATTAATAATAAGGTCATACATGACAATCAACCCCAAATCATCTAATATGCTGCTGCGCAGATCAACGGTTAAAACCTTGCCTGACATATAACCATGTACAGAGTATTATGCAGTATGATGCTGAAGATTGTAACCTTTTTGGATGATTATTATTATTATTGAAGGTTTCCTTGCATAATGTGAATACTAGGACACTGCTAACGTTTAAATCTCACAGATAGGATATACGTCGTGACATATTCATAATTCCTGCAAAAATCTACAGAATTTGATGTTGGCTGCAAAAGGGAAACACTACCTTTAAGCATGATAGCTGCAGCTGGTAAAATACTCCAACAAGGAATGTACAGAGTAGTTTTGATATGAGAAAAAGCAATATTCAGTGAAATGTACTAAAACTTGTTGAGGCAACCAGATATGTGTATGTGAACCAGAAATAACCTCTTTTTTAAATATTGTCTTTTGCCTCAGCCGTTTGTTATCTGTTAAAAATTTCTTAAAGCATGTAAAGTGGTGGTTATATTCTAGTACTAAACAGTCAAACTTGCTTTAGCTACCACTAGTACACAGAGACCGGCTGTCTATGAAGACCATACATTCATTTCAATTTTTCATTGAAATGTGATATAAGGAACCTTTCATAAACTTAAAGACAGCTTCTCTGGTATATTGATACTGGTCTTTAATGAGTAAATTATGGTTTTGCCATGTCATATCTTAACGAGGCTTCAATGTCCAAACTATATTCACTTTACAACTCTGTAGGTACAAGTTTCAAACTGTGATACCAAAACACAAAAAATACTTGTACTTACATGTATCTTTATTTCACATTTAAGAGGTTGCACATGTTTGATAATATAGACTGAGAATGCCGAATTGCTGACAATTGTTTAAAAAGGCTGTTACTTTTCATTTGTTATTTCATTCTATATCAGTTTTGTTTATCTATGTAGCTAATATTTCAATAATACTTCCGTGATTTATGAAATTGCAATTATACTTAAACATTTGTCAGGTTTAAATCAAATAATTTTAGTATTTTCACTTCGGATAGCAAGAATTAGAGTATATTTTGAAGTCAAATGTTCCAATCTTCTTTTTGGGGCTACCCTTTTGATCTGTCAAAAACGTTTGAAATGTATATACATGTATTCTTATGCCTATAACCATCAAAGCTCTGGCATTTGTGCTGAACTGTGTCAAAATCTTGCTGGGTGTGGATATATTTACACACACACACACAAAAAAAGTAATTTGCTAATCTTTTGAGTAATTGATTCGTAATGAAAGTATTCTTGAGTATTTATTGAACCAAAGAAGGGTAACTTTAAATGAATCAATATTTTTCTCTTGGACATTCAGTAAAAAAAACAGAGTTATTACATAGCGATATAGATCAGTTTTTTTTCATTTCATTATTATCCATGATATTTATGTAAACACCTTGAGTATATTATTTTGCTTCTTGTATTATTAAAGGTAATACAAAGTTTTGGGAAATTTTGAAAATTGGCTAGATAGCGATTCTTTACAATTTTGATATATTTGGATGCCCCTGTGCATGTATTATAAGCACTAGAAAATTTAGCCCCAAAAAACACTTCTGCTTCCAAGTAAAATTGAATATCAAAATTTACCGGTGCTCCCGTAATCACTACATTTCAAATAGTGATTACGGCCATACAATATAGCTACGACCATGAAAATCTCGGAATATGTAGTTGTGATATATAATTTCCAAACAGAAATAGCCATAGTCAAGAACGTTGTTTCATGGCTTAATAGATATCTTGACCTTGAGAGGGAGCCATACAGCATGAAGAGTTTACTATTTATAATTTCATAACTTTAGACTTGATTTCAACCGCGACAACGATCACTGAATATTTTAAGATCGCATATGCTTCGAATATGTTCATTTGAACCAAATCCACGACCCCGTACCAAAACTTTGTACTACCTTTAAAGCTGTATAGAAAGCAATTTGTGATGGCACTGCATTTTGACCCTTTGTATTTGTACTCAATTTTACACATACAAGATGCAATTTTTTCAACTCATTTTTACAATATGATGAAACAGGGAATGGCTGATATGTATGCTCCTGAGAAAGTCTGGCATCTTACGAGTAACTGTAAAGACTGGCAAGAGAAATGAACATTAGTACCTGGCTCGATGCTAACACCCCCCAGGATACATGGGCGCTCAAAATTCAGGTCTAGACCCTCCAAAAATTTCACAAATTTTACCAAGGTCTTAAATGCAAAAAGACCATACAAATTTAAATCCAGACCCCTTACACAAGAAGTTAGTACACGTGGTACCTAGGCCAATATTCAATTGGATACTTTGTTTTTAAAGTAAAACTTTTACTAAGCTGTTCGCCAAGCTAAGAAATTGACTTATACCATATTCAAGCAACATCTAAGACATTAACTTAGTCAGATGAAATCTAAGATAATACTTAGCTGAAGTATGTAATTGAATACCAACTTCAGCCCTTTTACTTTGTTTTACTTTGTTTTACTTAAGTATAATACAAAGTAATTTTTAAAACTTAAGTATCATGTTTAATACAGAGTCTGATTAATAGGTAGGGAATATGCGCTGATGCTCATCATTATTTGCTATTCTTCTCTTACTAGTTATTTTATTTTTTAAAATTAAAAAACCCAAAGCCTTGTCAAAAGGCCTCTGGTACTCTCACTTAAAAAATGAATGTACTAATATTCCCATGTTACTGCAATGCATTTTCAATGTAAAAATGAGAAGGGTTCACCATATGGACAGAATTTGAATGCATGTGGATTTTTGACTTACCAGAATTTTTTTTAGAGCCAGTCCTGTTTTATGGTATAGGAAAACATTTAGGAATTCATTTTTACCTATACAGTAAACAACATCCATAAAGACTGGCTAAAGATAAATCCCTGAATGTTTTATTCAGGATTATATATTAACGAAAATTCCTTGAATTTACTCATTATTTTGGATTTTTGTTGTTTTATGTCAGTGAATTTATGAAATGAATTATTTTCAGATTAGTTTTATGTTGTGTTTCATTCAAGAGGTTTAGTAGTCAGTGTACCATAACTTTTGTTTTATTTTGTATAGTACCTTCATGTTTGTGCATTTTGCTTTATTGTTATATATCATATTTCATAGGAATGATTCTAATCATTTTGTTTTAATATTGCACCATGTAAACTAATTATTTTATTGTGCAAAAAAGGGTTGCAACCAGGCCCAACATTTTAAACTCCATGAATACATTTTTTCTCATAAAGTTAAGGTAAGATGCGAAAGTTAAATGCACCTGGCTGGAATGCTCCCCTGTAAAGTGTTTAGACACATCGTTGATGTATTAGCGCTATATAAAAGCTGACTATTATTATAATTATTTTTAAATATTTAACAAATGAGATGCAGAAAATAACTACCTAGATGGCATCCTGGGAAGTTAATTTTTACAACGGCAACGTTAGAGTCTACATACATGCTGTTTCCAAGCAAACCACCGAGATGGATATGCCAGGGCCCGTTGCATAAAACTTACAATTGATGGTAACTTTGCCATCAATGGCAACTAGCATGGTAACATGGCTCAAGAGCCAATCAAAATTAAGGTTTGCATGGGAGTTACCATCGACAGCAATGTTCCCATCAATAGTAAGTTTTATGCAACGGGTGCCCTGGAGCCATCAGGGTGGAAGGGTCCTAGTGTAGAGGAGTTTATAGCTATTTTCTAGCGTTCCTTTTTAGATATTTATACAATTCACCTTAAAATGATTCCACCATACTCAAAGTTTTTTTACAATTCCCTACATTATTTTACTATACAGTCAAACCTGTCTATAGCAACCGCCCAAGGGAAACACAAAAAGTGGTTGTTGTAGACATGTTCCTTTAGTGCGTGTTTCAATGAGATACCATTTTCAAGGGAAACAAAATATGGTCTTTGTAGACAGGTGGTCACTAAAGCAGGTTAGACTGTATAAGTGTATAATGATGACACAACTATTAACTTTTCTGATCTTGTACATCCTCATACTCATTTATAAATCATTTATAAATCATTCATAAATCATTTATTCATGAAATTGCTCTTTAAAATATTTAAATCTCTTTACAAAATAAAATGTGCAATGTATTCTACAATCTAATCAATCTTCTGTATAATTTATGAAATAACTTATAAATTATTTGTGATATGTAAATATAGGAATAATTATTGACTCTAAGCAATTTTAGTATAATTTATTTATTATTCTTTTAGAAATCTACCAGTATGTTAAATGCTTTCATAATAATAATTACAGTGCTTATATAGCGCCTAACACTTACTTTGTCAGAAGTCTCTAAGCGCTCTACAATAATGCAGCATAATTACCCTGGCTTTAGCAGTGCAGCTGTTACGCGCGCTGCGTTTCAATCACTCTTCGATTAATTTCTAATACTAGTACAATCTGAACTTCAGAAGTGAGCAAAGGGCAATAAAAATGTACCTTGCAAAAATGCAGTGACCATTGTATTCCACACTTTTGATGAGATGTCGTTGAGTTCACAATGAAGATCTTTAAAGAACCTCTTATTAGCTGTTTTGTACATCTATTTACCGTATAATAGTAAGATTAAACGAGAACTTACGTTCAAAGTTACCTGTGCATGAACGGGCGGGTTCTCATATATTCTCGAACAAGAATTATGAAGTAAAATCATTTAAATGTTGAAAATTAATTCAAGTCTGTTCTTCCATGAGTCATGAGTAATAAGGAATGAGTATTAGCTTCATATCGTGATAGTTGTATACCAATAGTCACAACTCTGTAAAAGTGCTTGCGCAATACAAGTTATGGGTTCAGTACAAGTTGGCAGACATCTGTTGAGATGTGTGTATTTCAAGGGGATATCGGCGTACTTGTACTACCGAAGATTTCATGAAATGATGTCCAGAAATTTAACAGATTTTGCACTGGATTTGCTGTCCACTTTAAAGGTAAAGACCAGTTTTGGAAACGCCCCAATTTCAAAATATGAAATGGAAGCTCTTTATTACCAATCATGTGAGAGAATATGTTTTGACTAATACATGATAATAAAAAAATTTGCTGGGAAACCGCCTACTAATTGATATATTTGGTCAATTAGTTTATCCATTGGACTGTGAGAGACAAACGTACGTGTCGCGCACGTGTGCGTAGTCCCATCCATCTTTCTGTGTACAGTGCTTGTAACTTTACGAAGACTGGGCCAAATTTCTTATCATTTTGATGATTCCAGAACCTTGCAGTACACACCAATACTTATATGCTAGATGATCAACCTTTTCTGATCGATTCCACAACGTTTCTTTCACAATGCAATCGCATGACCATAACTGGCCTTTATCTTTAATATGAAAAAAATTGTTGTTCTATCGCTTAGTAGTTTGTTTGGCAGTGTATTCATCTTGTTCATGTGGCCCTAAGTTGAGAGGCTCCCACGTACGAAACATTACATTATTATTGTCTACACCTGTATTTTCTCATTTGGAAATTATTTTGATAACCAAATATTATTTGTTCAAGTTTGAATTGTTCCTTTTGTATATATTTATATAATTTTAAATGGCAAAATCTTTTCCTACTCATTATTGTTAAATTGAGCAACTCAGGGATGGAATTGCCCCAAAATGTCACAAATGTGAAGGATTGAACTCCACTTTGTTCCCTTGCTGCTTTAGAATAGACATGGCGGCATGCTCGACTTCGAAATAATGCCGTTGATGAGAATATACCTTTAACTAATTATCAGTGGTACTTATCAGGAAACTATTGAAATATAATATTCCTGCATGTAATAGTATTTTGCCGATTTCAGTGTGTATATCAAATAATGATAATGGAATTTTGTTATTCTTGCGGCTGTCTAATTTTCTTTTTCATTGTGCACATAGAATGTACTACTCTTGTAGAACGAACTTATCTGACATGAATACAACTCTAAGTATCTCAACAAGTCCCTAAGTATATGATGATGATTGGTTCAAAGTTGAATTGATTTAATTCATTTTTTTGCATTTGATTTAAAGATTTTTTTTTTTTGGAGCAAGTACATGTTATGTTGGTATTCAATCGGTAGACAATTGTCTTGAGTCTTAGAAAAGAGACCAAAGAATGAAAAATGGTCTGTGAAATACCAGGTGTATAAATATTGTGATGCTGTTGTTTTGTAACAATTTTGGACAGAGGTTTCTTTGTAGTGTCGTATGTACACAGTGCTGAGTTTTTTTAAAACGTAAATAGAAGATATTTTGGTATTAATGTATATATGCGAGACATCATTTTGATGCCAAAACAATAAAGAAACAAAACATTTCAACTTTCTGCGTTGATATCTGTATGTCTTATTTGCTCTGTCTCTATGCACAAAGGAACTCTATCTTGTATCAGATAATGTTTTTGCATGACTTTCCAACCCTGATCTGACACACTAGCTTAAAAAAAACATACAAAAGAAGAAGAATGTATAGTGTAACATTGAGTAAATTCAAGTAAAATTGAATAAATTTGAGTGAAATTGAGTATAGACTCATTCACACAATCAACAATAAGTCGCTCAAAAAATGCATCATTAAAAAAACATTTCAAATTTCTGCCCTTGCGTACTGTTTATTTCATCCATTTCCCCTGAAGCTATAATGCCTGTATGTTCTCAATGGATGATTTAGTGTAAGAATTTAGGATCAGCCTATTCATAATTCAAGATACCAGTTGGATTTATTTAACGAGACTGAAACGACACCTAAACATGTTGAGGCCCACACGATGTGCCATATAATATGTAGCCTAAAACAACTGACATCCGGCATCCCCAATTAAAAGTGGTATGTGCCTTCATCCCTTCTTTATAATGAAAGAACACCTTGAATATATATACAGTCAAACCTGTCTGTAGCAACCGCCCAAGGGAAACACAAACGGTGGTCTTTGTAGACAGGTTCCTCTAGTACATGTTTCAATGAGAAGCCATTTTCAAGGGAAATAACATATGTGGTCTTTGTAGACAGGTGGTCACTAAAGCAGGTTTGACTGTATAATGCTTTACACATATAATCCAAAACAAACAACAAGAAATTGTCGACTTATTTCTTGTAAAAAGGTTGACATTTAATAGTCCAATCACTATGTACAATGTACACTACAATTTCATCACAACAGGAAAGTGACTTCTGATTTCAGAGTACTTTCAGTTGTATGAAGTCAAATATGCCCTCACGCCCTCAGAATGATGGTAAAGTAGGAATACTCTTGAATCTTGTCATTACAACTCCTTGGAACGAAAGAAACTACCTTGTTATTTCGAAACCTTGATATACCATGGTTCACAGTCATTAGAATACTCAGAATTGGGACCAGAGAATATATAAAAAGAGTTTGTTTTAACAGTTTACTTTATACTGAGGTTCCTCCAATATACTTCCACAGATATGGAGATGGTGCTCATTTTGTGGGCATAAAGTTGATAGGAGAGACTGAACTTTCCACATGGCCTCACAGTGACTGCATAGAACTATACAAGTGAGTGAAGATGGTGCACACAATGTGTTCATTTTTAGGGAAACAATTGTCTGCAAAGAGGTAAAAGTCCTGCTTACTACATGTACTAGTAACACCAAGAAAGAAACTCATGTCATCTTATTGAGATAACCATATTCCATATCTTTGATGTAAGGTGATTTCATAACTTCTCCTGGGCCCCTTCTAACAAAGAGTTGCGATTGATCCAAATCAATCGCAAGTCCTCCAATCAATCGCAAGTTTGCAGTCTCCTATCTCTTATGTCAAATATGTCACATTTCATGGCTCTTCAGAAGGCTCGGAGAAAGGCCATCACTGAAATGAACTGTTCAACTCCACAGCATTAGAAAAGGGATGTTTAACGATGACGACCGGGCTGATGATAACTGGGAATGGACTTGTAAATGATGGTGATGATGACGATGATGAGGTCGATGATGATGATGATAACAATGACTGAATGATTTCTTGATGATGATGATGGTGGTGGTGATGATGATAAAATGACAATGATGATGACGATGATGACGATGATGATAAACTGGTGTACACAAGTTTTTTTCCGTCCATGACCTGAAAGGCTCTCCCACAGTCTGTACAGATTACTGTGTTGATATCCCCAACACTCAGCTCCCAACAAGAGTCTTTCTAATTGTACCCTGGATCCAACTATCATACAAGTTCTCCACAGTCTGTAATGGTGACAGTTTCCCTTGGTTTGCCCGACTTTGTTCCAACTGATTCCATCTTTTTCACGACGTTCATCCCGTCGATCACCTGCCCGAAGACACAGTGCTTGCCATCCAACCTGTAAGTGAAAATCAAAATCCTGAGTGATACAAATGGATGTTCTTCATCAAGATGTTTCAGAAAAGTAATTTAAAGCCTGTCTGTACTAGTTTGGCCAGGAGGGATTAGACCTCCCTGCATGGTCACTGAAAGGGGGTTATCTCATCAAATCAGCTCTCACTTAACATCAGAAAAAGGGGACAATGGGGGATCGACGGGTACCGCTTAGGCATTGTTTGCTATATAGAGGGCGCAAGTAGCTACAAGTAGTGCAGTCCTGCTTTAAGGGCAATTCAACCTTTGAAATAAAGTCAGTTGTATAAAAACTAAAAAATAAGTCTGACTTGGGTTCAAGGAGTGAACTACAGTCAAACCTGTCTACAGCAACCACCTAAGGGAAACACAAAAAATGGTCTTTGTAGACAGGTTCCTTTAGTACATGTTTCAATGAGAAACCATTTTCAAGGGAAACAAAAGATGTGCTTGTTGTAGACAGGTGGTCACTCAAGCAGGTTTGACTGTTTGTTCATATCTGTTAGCCCATGGAATAGAGGACGAAATTTTAAGAGGTTGATTTGACAGATTCTAGCTGTACACAACAAGTAATGTTATCAAAGGTTTATGGTACACTTTAAAGGTAAAGACCAGTATTGGAAACGCCCCAATTTCAAAAAATGAAATGGAAGCTCTCATTACCAATCATGTGAAAGAATATGTTTTGACTAATACATGATGATACAAAATTTGCCGGGAAACCGCCTACTAATTCATATATTTGGTATATTTGTTTCTCTCATGGTCTGTGAGAGATATAGGGTAGTCCCATATACATCTTTCTGTGTATAGTGTTTGTAACTTTACGAAGAATGGGCCAAATTTCTTATCATTTTGATGATTCCAGAACCTTGCAGATGCTAGATGCTAGATGATCAACCTTTTCTGAACGATTCCACAACGTTTCTTTCACAATGCAATCGCATGACCATAACTGGTCTTTACCTTTAAAGGAAAAATGAACCAATGAACTTTCAGCCCTAGCATGCTGTTTATAGCACAACACCATCTCACGGTCAACTTGCCAACAGTGCATAACCCAATACCTAATTTCCACTTCCCTGACATAGAAGCAAGGGAAGCAGTGAGTTACGAGACTATACTGCTCTACAGCTGGGGGGTGTTTCACAAAACTTGTCATCAGTGACAAATGACAGTTGTTGTTATAAGGTCCTGAAATCCTTGCTTCTGATTGGTTATCAGCAGATTTGTCACTGATATTTGTCATTTGTCATTGAAAAAAGGCTTTGTGAAACGGGTCCCTGGTCTGAGATGGCGCTAGATGGTATTTTGCGGTAGTGCTTCTAGTACAGCATAGCTTTATCTTTAATAACTGGCTTCTTGAAAAAACAAGTCATTTTTATCTAGGGACTTACCATTCTGTCTTCTCTGTTGTCAAGAAGAACTGGGATCCGTTGCTATTTGCACCTGAATTAGCCATCGAGAGCATTCCTGTCACAGAGTAAAAAAAATTCAATAAAAGTAACAATTTATTAAAATAATTCATGTTTGCGAGTTCATTAATGAATATGCACTGCACACAGGTACGGTTAAGCAACAATCTGATAATGGATCAGATTTGTCGAGTTCATTATCCCAGTTATTGCGACTTGACAGAGTGCACTGGATATCACTAATGCACAAGCTTCAAAACAAGGATTATTTGTTATATAAAACAGTGGTGCAATAATGAAAAATTAACCAAAAGAAAGGCAACAAACCAGATCAATATGCCAAGAACTGTTCAGTCATGGGGGCCGCCATCTGCTTTGTATGACATCGCAGTATACATTCGTGCAGCCAACAGTGAAATGCGCATCTCAGTATGCACATCAATGTCCTTGCCATATGAAACATCACTCATTCCATCAGCTTTATTTTTCTACGGGCCAGATATATACGCATACCGGTATCCGTGCATTATCACTTTAGAGGCGGGTTATCACTCTTGGATGGAGTTTTTTGCACGGTTGGTGCGGCAGGAAAGAATGATGCACGATTACGCAATGTCATTTTACCAATTAGATTGCCTACATTCTAGAATCCTTTTTATAATTACGATTCGGCCAGTATGTTTGATGGCTTGTTGCATGAACAACGTCATAAGGATCAGATTATATTGATCAATTCTCTTACAAGTAATAGCTGTATCCTGATCTTGTTTAGCCAAGTAATATACCATGTCAGATGTAAATGTATTTTACAGGGTTTCTTTCATTAAACCCGTCCTCCTCCCCAAATTACCTGATATTTCCCTGGAGTTTTAAAAATTCCACTCGTCTTTAACAAAGAGGGCAGACGACTCACCTGGACTTGTGTGCTTCAGGATGAAGTTCTCATCAGCAAACTTCTTCCCATAGATAGACTTGCCACCGGTTCCATTATGGTTGGTGAAATCTCCTCCTTGACACATCTACAGGTCAAAGGTCAAGGGTCATACTTAACCTTATAATACAAAGTTGTTATCAGTGATTTATCTTATGATGCTCTTTACATTGGATAAATATTGTATATATTTGTTATGTTAGATATAATTTTGATATATTTGTTTTAGCGAAGCAAACCTGAATACATAATTTGTAATCAATCTATCATTTGACGTACAAGACATGTTTAAAGCGAGGAAGGCTTTAGGTCATATGCTCTAACATGGCATTGTTAAGAAAAACAGAAATGAATATTTTTGTACACAAAAAAGGGAGATCGTCTGTGACTAAGTCACAATCCACTGACCAGATTGCCAATTTGAGATTCACATAGATTTAGTGATCTCACATTTTAGACATTCATTACTTCCTTATGATTGGTTAGTTTGATTTCAAACTTTCGCCATTCTCTCTTATTTATCTGCTTTTATACAAATGAACTTCTTAAAAAGGTTGGATTGCTCTTTAAGAATCGAATAGCACAATAACGGTTAAGATGAATTGTTTTCGTATTAACTCTTATCATGCCACAGGGCTAATCCCCATTGTGCCAAGCCCCCAATCCCCCCGTGCCAAGTTTATTTTGAGATAATCTGATTAAAGCGATGGTTCTATGAATTGCGCGTGCGGAACACACAGCACACTACGATGAGCATGAACAATATCTGCTATTACCAATGCGTGCAAACATGCACAAGGCAGGGGCATTGATTTCGGGGGAGGGGGCTAGCAAAAAGGATACAAATTGAGGGATGATTCTGTGGAAGATGCTGCCTTTGAAGCCATAGCCCTTTTCATGTGTGCACAAACAGCGGAAATTCTCTGCAACATGAAAGAAAACAAAGTTGATACATTCATTAATATATTGTGTAGAGGTGTCGTAGCCTAGTGGATACGTCATCGGAGTGTGGCTCACATTGTTTGCGGTTCGAGTCTGGCCATGGCACCAGTGTCCTTTGGCAAGACATTAATCTACATTTGCCACACTTCACCCAGGTGAGGCCTACGCAAAGAAGGTCAAACGATGATGACTCTAAAAGAACAATTTAAAAGTATCGGGCACCTGAAATAATTTGTGTATACCAGTAGCTAGAATGCACTATAATCAACCTCAAAAGACTTTACCCAGCTATCTGTGGGCTAAAGGATAAGAAGTTTGAAGAAGATGAAGAAAAACATAAAACCCCACGCATGGAACCTTAGTTGGATTTAGGGTACGTGTGGATCCTATTCTCTGCGAGCATGTATATGTGCATCAAGTAGTTGACTAACAAGTTGATTTTATATCTGTTGATTTTATATCTATTGAGAGCGTTTTCAAATTTCCTCTTAAAATTTGAAGTCAAGCTTATATTTAAATACAGTATAGTTAACCCCTATTATATTCCACATACTAAGAATCTTGCTCTACGATTGGTCAAAAGTAAATCACGTGATGAAAGATAGTTCGCCCATTATTGATGGGAGAAGCAAAAAGTTTGTTACATTGTGTAGATAGTACTACTATCTACACAGTGCAACACACTTTCACTGAAGATAGAGGTACTATCTACACAGGGCAACGCACTTTCACTGAAGATTATCCAAAAGCGCACTAAAACAGGCGTAATTAAGCGCGCATTACCAATGAGCGCAATTAAAGCAAACACATGCGCTCATCGTACCCTCAATGGGTTGGGTTAAACTTTTAACTTTTTTGGTGTGAATTTGGGCCTGGTGTCTTTCATGTAGATGCATAACACACAATGCAAAATAAGTGTTGATGATTAACACCCTGCAAACAAACTATCACCTGCAGTCATTGGCGTGACGTCAACCCTCAGTTGTATTGTAATACGGCCTGCTGCCTTGCTTCCTATCTTGATGTCAAAGAACACTTGTGAATTGGCCTTGGACTTCTTGGGTGCAGGTTCAGCAGTCTGGATAATCAAAATGAAGAAAAACAAATGGATCAAGATGAGAGTGGATATGTCACCGGACTGTGGATCACAAGGTCCACGGTTCAAGTTCCACCGCGGCACTAATGACCTTTTCCACTCTTCACCCAGGTGTTAAATGGGTAGGATGTGAAAGCTAATGTGCTTAGATTAGCAAGTGTGCGCTTGTAAAAATGACGCCTGGCTGGAATGCTCCCCAGGGAGTGGAGAATGTGCATAAATTGTATGCAGGTAAGCCTGAATCCAATGACTGGGGTAATAATATATATAACTGTAAAGTGCTTTGAGAGGGCCTTCGGTCCTGAAAAGCACTACATAAGAACTAGCTATTAGAAGTGGGTATTTATTTAAACCTTAAAATGGGGTAAAGTGGGTATTTATATAAACTAAAAATGGGGTAAAGGGAGGGATTACTAAAATAACACGATAAACAATTGTTGTTATGTGTTACTCCAAATTAAAAAGGAGCTCTGAACCAGAGCAGCTGAATATATTTTGTATAAAAGCTGTGCTATATAAATTTACTATTATTAATATTATATCGTTAAAACTTCAAGTTCTGTGTCAACTTTACTCAGGCATGGGGTGTTTTCCATTTAATAAGAAAGATGAGTGTTTGATCCGGTTGGACACACATCTAGACAGGTATTAACATACAAATCTTGGAATCCCTCCAGACAAAATGAAGAATACAGCCCAATAAACAAAACACTAAAAAGTAACCTCTTTTGGGAGTGTAATTTAAGTGATTTTAAAGTATGGTGCCTTTTGAACTAGATTAAAACGTTATCGACACGTGCCTTCATTTAAACAAAAAAGGTACTCCTGTTCACGTTTTCATCTAACCTAAAAACCACCAATTTATCACGCGATTGGAGTAACGTGATCCCACTTACCTCTGTAAATCAAGTGTTTATGACCAAATAACCACTTGACCAAGCAACGAGTTGTTTGTCCGTTAACCGATGGTGGTGATAAATACGTAATTATTTGGTCTTGTAAGCACCTTTATCGATTGGTTTCACAAGTTATCCAAGGTTGATGGTAATAATCACGTTACTTACACCGGCTAATCGTCTTATTGTTCTGTCCGTGAATCTCTGGTTATATTAGATAAGTGATTCTGAGGTGTCTTACACACCTCTTTAAATGGTTTCAAAGTTACCATAACTTTCTTGGTGATGATCACGTAGCCAAAACTGATTACTAATCTAAGCTGTGAATCCGTGATATTTAGGTGTGAAAAATTAGTAATTATTAGGTGTCTTAAAACACCTATTTAAATGGTAGTCAAAGTTGCCAGCAGTTCCGCGGTGATGATCTCGTGACTCAAACGGATTATTAATCTAAGCTGGGCATACGTGACATTTAGGTATGAAAAATTAGTATTAATTAGGTGTCTTAAAACACCTTTTTAAATGGTTTCAAAGTTACCATAACTTTCTTGGTGATGATCACGTAGCTAGAACTGATTACTAATCTAAGCTAGGAATCCGTTATATTTAGGTGTGAAAAATTAGTAATTATTAGGTGTCTTAAAACACCTATTTAAATGGTAGTCAAAATTGCCAGCAGTTCCGCGGTGATGATTTCGTGACTCAAACAGATTATTAATCTAAGCTGGGCATCCGTGATTTTTAGGTGTGAAAAATTAGTCATTATAAGGTGTCTTAAGACACCTATTTAAATGGTTTCAAAGTTACCATAACTTTCTTGGTGATGATCACGTAGCTAGAACTGATTACTAATCTAAGCTAGGAATCCGTGATATTTAGGTGTGAAAAATTAGTAATTATCAGGTGTCTTAAAACACCTATTTAAATGGTAGTCAAAATTGCCAGCAGTTCCGCGGTGATGATTTCGTGACTCAAACAGATTATTAGTCTAAGCTGGGCATCCGTGATTTTTAGGTGTGAAAAATTAGTCATTATAAGGTGTCTTAAGACACCTATTTAAATGGTAGTCAAAGTTGTCAGCAGTTCCGTGGTGATGATCTCGTGACTCAAACGGATTATTAATCTAAGCTGGGCATCCGTGATTTTTAGGTGTAAAAAATAAGTCATTATTAGGTGTCTTAAAACACCTATTTAAATGATAGTCAAAGTTGCCAGCAGTTCCGCGGTGATGATCTCGTGACTCAAACGGATTATTAATCTAAGATGGACATACGTGACATTTAGGTGTGAAAAATTAGTAATTATTAGGTGTCTTAAAACACCTTTTTAAATGGTTTCAAAGTTACCATAACTTTCTTGATGATGATCACGTAGCTAGAACTGATTACTAATCTTGATGGTTTCACAGTTACCATTTAAGTTCCGTGGTGATACTCCCGTGAGTGTGTGCATATTTCCAGTTGCACCAGTTGATGACACTGACTGTTGGCATATTTCCAGTTGAACCAGCTGACACCAATTAATTTGCATATTGAATATGGGGTGCGTGCAGATCTATGCTTTTTAAACAATTCATCTGAATTTACAGCATATTTCTTAATTACTGATGATTTAGTTATATGCAATTCATTTCGAAAATACTACAAATATAAATTACCAGTTATTAGGACATTTCGCTACTTTGTATGAATTACATTTAATTAAACATGAATAAGGGAAATATTAACTGTGAACTAAAATAATTTCAATAAAATACAAGTATATGAAAAAATTTCGATTAATTAAATTATGTAAGTCTACTTATTACCAATGCCTTTACATTGGAAATACAGACGTACCAGTATTGAAGTGTTGTTGCCGTTCAACTGGTTGGAAGTTTTACCAAATGGTTCTAATGGCTCAGCTAGACCAGTTGAATTATAACTGGCCTGGATCAACTGGATCATTTAGCCCATTTCAATTTCCAGAGTTACCAGTTGGCATTAACTGGTTCATCAACTGGTTCATCAACTGGACCAGTTGCAACTAGCTTTCTCTTCTGGGATGGTTGCACCCACCCCCATCCCCTCTAATCACAAACTGCTTCCGGCCTGGACGTAATTATGGAAGATCCAAAACACGATGTTCACGTCATGATGAGAACGTCATTATTTTGGTTCATTTATTGTGTAACATTTGCGTCATTATTAGGTTGAACGCGGGTTACAGTAATTTATTTCCTCTTCGACGTAAATTTCACGTGAATGAAGAACATAATTCATCTCAAGTCAGCCTCGTAATATTCACGTGAATTTCACGCAGATATTTTGACTAAAACTATCACTAACGCTTCACGTGTTTCTGTGACGCGATAATTTCGTTTATGAAGATGTAATTTCATAACCAAACAAACACGGGAGTATTAGGTTTACAAACTATGGTCTCCAAGGTAGGGATAATCACGTTATTATAATGGTGATATTGCAGTGACAATTGCGTGATTTAGTGAACGTGTGTTTTAGGTGACCTAGTGCAATAAACGTATTAACACATTTACGTAAATGTCAGGTGTTTGAAGAACGTAACTCTCCTCAAGTCGATAACTTGATATTGACGTGATTTTCACGTGATTTTGTTTATTGGGAGGATATTTCCCATGCTTTAGCACAGAAGTAAAAAATTAAAAAGAAATCTAGGGCTCAAAAAATCAGTCCCAAATAGGAATCATTCCTCCAAAATAGGAATAGATGGCAGTTATGGTAATGGTACATCTACATAATCAGACCTAATGAAATTAAATGTTTTCCTATCAGCTCACCATTTCCATACAAGTGAACCTGTTAAGGATTTAATTTCTTATTATATATATACAAATATACATATGACAAATGATGTTTTGGTTTAGATTCAAGTTTCCAGTTTTACATATCTGAGATGCATGGCCCTATGTGTTTGTGATATAGTGTAATATTGAAGCCCTAAAAAAGTTAGGCTTCAAAATGATCACGAAGTGCTTCAAAAAAGTAAAATTCTTTGAGTGACTGGTTTTTACCATACTCATTTTCCCCAATAGACTGTAGAGTTATAAAAAAACGTTGGGAATTTCTAATTCCAATCATAAATGTCTTGATAATCAAACATGAGATTGGCTTTGTAAAAGTCATGGGATTCATTTCTGACATAAGGGTTTATAATCATAATTGCAGCATGAGCTAAATCCAGGATTTTGTTTAGAATCAGAGGCAAAGTTACCTACTACCTTTAAGTACATTTAAAGAAAATTGTCTTTTGTACAATGTGAGAGGTGATCCTCTAAAGTTGACAAACATCCATTACCTCTCCTGCATCCTCTGCTGGTCTCTTGGTTGCCATGGCATCACCTTCATCTCCTCCAACCACTCCCCCTTCCTCATTCTTCAAGGTAGCACCGGCATACTTCTTGAGCCAGGTATCGTCAGACCAAACTTTAAGGAAAAATTAAAAGAAGAAGATGAAAAAGGAAGATCAACACTGGACCACTTGTTTATTCTTGATGACAAAAAATAGAATATCAAAGGATGTACTCCGGCGTTTTGGCAGAAAATTTAACAATTCTTGAACACAAAAAAAAAGAAACCCTTGAAATTAATTTAAAAAAAAAAAATGCGTTTGCAGCATCCAAGGAAGGTGGATTTGAAGGATAAAAACAATTTTTGGAGGTTGGATTTTTACATTGGCATCTTAACTACCCTTGTTTGGGGGGGGGGGGGGGACTTTGCGATTGGTATTAGGACCAAGCATGTTTTGCACTGGTGGGAATCGTACTACAAAATTCCTGTGCAAGAAAATGCAGAATCAATGTCAGTGTCATGGTACCTTTGAATGAAGCAAATGATGCTTAATTACATGTATTGGGTGTAATGGTCAGTGCTCTGATTCTTCTTGCAGGGGAAAGGAAGGGGGGGGGGGGGGGGAGTCCAGTTTCCCTGTCTAGTTGCCTGCTACCCCCATCCATCAAAATCAAACAGAATCAGGCGAAATAGCTGACTTCAGAGAGATATAAATCTGTAAATTACCCAGTTGGTAACATTCTAGCATATTTAGGATAAAATGTTGTTCTATGTAAACCAGGTAAACTAAGCAATAATTAAAAAAAAAATTGCAAATGGACATTCATTCTAAATATCATAAATATTGCAGAACAGAACCATTATTATTTTCCATCCAATTTATTGCTACCCTTGTCTACTACCTGCAATGGAACAAGCCAGAATAGTATCACAAAGATATCTTGTGACATTCTTGGAATCTTTTTGGAGCAATGCACTGTTATCATGATCATCCATCTTATTGCGTCTTGACCTTTGAAATAGTTAAGCATTATCCTACCTGCTTTTGCCGATCCGTCTTTGATTTTCATTGGCTTTGCAAGGTTGACACGGATCGTGCGACCAAATAGCTCAGAGTCATTCTGTGAGAGAGAAGAAGAAGAGAGGGAGAGGGTGAAAGGGAGAAAAGGGAGAGAAAAGAGAGAGGAGAGAGAGAAGAGAGAGAGAAAGAGAAAGAGAGAGAAAGAGAAAGAGAGAGAAAGATAGAGAAACAAAGGGCAAGAGTGAATGAAGCAGATGGGGGGGGGGGGGAGAGAAAATGACAATTATTTAATGTCCATTTATTGCAAACTGCAATGTAATACTGTAATCTGTTGCAACATGTAGAAGTACAGTGTGAAGAGATATAATTATAAAATGTTTAAAACAAAGAGAATCAATGATTGAGATACATGGAGTTTACAGAGAACAAATATTAACCTTGAAATGAAATGTTCTCAACGTTTACCTCAGTAACTAAATAAGCAAGATCAGTTCTCTTTGGTGAAATATTAAGCCACATTCTTGCTAAAGTAGCACTCTCCAATAACATCTAAAACAAGTGACTTCAGATTTACAGGCGTTATCTGTTATATGTTTGGTTAAACAAATAAAAAATAAATTCAGATATATAGCTGTGTCAAGAATTCTTTGAACATCAAATATGTTGAAAATATTTCAAATTCATGGAGAACTTGATTAACAGGTGTATAACATTGAAAACTTAAATTGACTTGGAAAAAAAAATCTACTGGTACCTACCATGTTATCGATGGAAGCTGCACAGTCCTGCATCAACAAAAACATAAAATAAGGACAATCATTAGGAAATCAGGGAATTACGATTAACTAATTTTTGGTAAAACATTTGTTAAACAGGAATACTCTACAATATCAAAGTCATAACAAGTAAATAAATTTAAATAGTACAATTTTCAAATTTCAATAAATTCATTCTGCTATTCAAGATCCATATGCCACAATGCTTTGTCAAATGTATACTGTTCACTTTGACTGACAAGACCTATAAGTGGAGACAAGTTTACAATATATAATCCTCAATATTTAATATGAACCAACGAATCCATACATTGATATATATGATAGATTTGTTGATTCATAAAAACCTCTGGCAATATGATGAATTGGAATTTATATGTATGATGGATTAATTATGAACTAAGCTTTATTATGCATAACACAAATCCTCAATGGAAGATAAAGAAAACAACATTAACTTGTGAAGTTAAGAAAATTGAAAGTACAAAAAAGCTATAAAAAACAAAAATTGAAAATAAGTCAGATGGACAGAGGGAAGGGGTGGGGAGGGAGAGCATTGTACTGTGAGTGTGATTGGCAAATATTCGGAAAGAAAGAGAGACAGACACCAAAAGACAATATATGTAAGGAATAGAAGAAGGCAACAAATAACCAGAAAAAAAAAGAAGAACCAAGGTACGAGATAAAAAACAAGAGCAAGAATGAAAGTACGCAAAAAAACAGAGAACAAAAGATTTGAGTAATAAGAGACAAGAAATCAATGTAAGATTTGTGAGAATGGATGCTTTACCTCTGCAAACTCAAACTCCACAAAAGCAAATCCTCTGTGTTTTTCAGTCTCATAGTCTAACGGGATCTGTATGTCCATGATGTCACCAAAAGGAATGAAGGCTGCATGGAGCGTCTTCTCTGTTACCTCTTCTGCTAATCCTCCTTCAAGGGATAAAGAAAGATGATACAGACATTCAAGACAACAAAATAAACAATACAACAATTTGAAATGACCATGTTGACCACTCATAGGAGCATTAGTATACTTTTTGTATAAGAAAAACTGTTGAGACGTCCTGTATTGATTCTCAACATTTTCAACCACCACTGTCAGAAACTTACCAGAATTCACTAAAAATTAACAATTTTAGTGACAATTGATAACCCCTAAATAGCAGTAAATAACAATCAATTAAACTCACAGATGTTTGAAAAATACTATGAAAACTAAAATCTCAAATCTATTGTCAATCCTGGTGAAAAGCCGCTTCGTATTCATGTGCACATTTCTTGGTTGCCGCCCATGTGTTTGCACGTGTACATAAAAAAAGTAAATTTTTGTGGGGGCAAAACAGAGTGTAGGGACTGAGTCTTACTGTCTTTGGCTTTTGATTTTGTTTTGAAAACTAGACGCTAGAAAAACATGACTAACCCTGTAAACGATCATCGGATCGGACGCAGATACCGATCCGATCAGGGGTGATCAGATAATAATTTCTGATCGCCGATCAATTAAAATGATCAGAAAAAAAATCGAAAGAATTTTTTTTTTTTTTAATGCCAAAAATTTTCAAGTTTTTGGTTATCAAATGCTTTAAAAAAAAATCATAGCTGGGATTATTTTGTCATGTGGAGTTGTTGTAGATCATGTTTGTTGATATTTAGTGCCTTTTCATGACTTTGAAATTAATAATATTGGTCTAAGAGCCGAGGAAAAAAAAAAAAAAAAAAAAATCAGCCAATTTTTTTTGTCGATCTTCCGATCCAATACCGATCAAAGGTGCGAGGGTATCTCTCCGATCTTCCGATCCGATCAGAGCCCCAACTTACAGGGTTAAATAAACATGACTTGACAGGAAAATCAGCGGTGGTTTCTTACGTTTATTTACAGCTGTGAATCAGCAGTAGGGGGTGCTGGTCCGAGAATGAGGACCGTTCACTTAAACCAGGATCGTCTTCGTAAACGTGAATAGATGCGTCCGCATTTTCGCAGGCGTTTCATATTTCTGATGCGCGCATTGGCGATGCGAAAAAATGGATACCGCGATGATTTGACTGGTGCATTTTACTTATCTTTTAGGACGCAATTTGTCCGCGTTTATGATATCCTCGTTTCTGCGGACGATCCTCATTCTCTGATCAGCGTCCCTACTCCCTACTGATGGGCAAGATGGGCATGGCTGCATGTCATCATTTTTCCTGTCAAAATCTTACTCTACCATTTATTCAGGGATGTGTACATTGACAGTCAAGGTGCTTAATGTTAGGGCGACACACAGCTGCGGTCGAATCAAGGCGCGTAACGTAACTGTATTAATCACTCCAGCAAAGCATAGAGAGTCAATGCTAATGCGTATTGACCTCTAGCACTGCATACATGCTGTGAGGCAGGGACCTAGAAGTCTATACACAAATATACACACCACACAATATCGCATAGACTGTACACAATCATGTCGTTGCAGCTGTAAGCAAAGTTTGACACTAGACTAGACCGAAAACTTCAGTCTCTCTAATCGTCGGTTGTTCCACTGAGACTACGTCTGGCTCCACTAGACCTCCGATTACAGAGACTGAAGTCTGGGGACCTCTTTCTGTGAGGCACTGTACGGAACAAATGGTTCGGTTCGACCGGACCGCGATGAATGAGATATGCAACGAGATTTTCACTCTTTACATCCTCATAACTGCTGCAATTACAACACAAATTAAAAATAACATATATATAGCTTATTCGACTTACGATAGCTTGCTCATTTAGATCCTAAATTAATGATTAATCCGAGAAAGTCTCGTCGTCAACATTATCCGTCTTGGTTTTAGTTGATGAATATTCATTTTTTCTTTTCGAACGTCCAATAGCTACCGTAGCTACATACGAGTCGGCCCAGCTTGACCAACGAACTCCCACGAAACGAGTGCTCTGATTGGCCATTTGGCTATGTTTTGGTAGGTGGACCCGGAAATATATCGGCCGCCGGGTAATATTTCGAATGCATGAACGTACTGCTTCGCGGATCTGAGATACAAATTGGATAATTCATATAAGTAAGTCCGTAAATTGTCTATTTAATATTAAGTTATCAAATTTTGATAACTGTAATTAGGACAAATGACATACCGACCTAATTTACATCTGATTTAGAAATCAGAAAATTAGTTCTAAATAAAGAAAATCGGGGAGAAAATGTTTTGACACAAAAAGCTGCCATTGTTGGCTATAGCTATCCCCGCGGTACGAGATCTCTGGGTTGCCATCTGTATTGGGGAATGACAACAAATGTCAGTTTTATTAAAGAAATGACCCAAATCAGATGGTTATTGCTGTCTAACACTAGACTTACAATTTTAATTTTTAAATTATTCTTTTTAACATCAATAAGTTGAAAAAATGTATTTTACTGCTATTTAGGTGTCATCAATTGTCACTAAAGTACCGATTTTGAGTGAAATCAGTTGAGTTTTGTACAGTGGTGTTTGAAATGTTGAGAATCAAAAGCACAGCTTTTACTACACAGCCAGGATAGTGATGCTCCTATGTGTGATATTAATTATGTTCCAAGTGTCACTAAATGATAATCTAACAAACACCGATATTATAATATGGGACTACAGTAATTTTATCCTCAAATAAATATCACTATTTCATATGTTCTACAGGTTCAAATATCAGGCAAAACGAGTGAAAGTGTCTTTGTGGCTAAACCCATCAACTGTGCAGACCATTACTCACCAACATAAGCAATACGCTTGGTATTTGACGACGACATGACATCAAATTTCACGTTTCGTTTTCTCGCTTAACGACTGAACATAGACGACTAACTTTATATTTACTTTGTTATTAAGAACTATGGTATCGTACAACATTTTGTAGGGAAGGAGAAATATAGGGATGGCATGGCATGGGAGATCTGATAAAGATTAAAAAAAGATCAACCTTCAGTCTTATCAACATATCGACCAATTCAAACCCGTGGCGGCCCCGCGTGGAAGGAGGGGGGGGGGGTTATTTCGTTAAAGATTTAGGATATAAAGGGTAGAATAGGTTCAGGAAAAAATTACAAAATTGCGATACCAATACCGGATTACCAAATTACCAAAAATTACCAAAATTGCGATACCAATACCGAATTACATCAAACCGAGGCAGCGAACTACAAGGAGGAGTCAACAACAACGATATATGAGACTAGGCTTTTCAATGGACACTTACAAATTTAGTTATTTTCCCAGGACACTTAAGGACTGCTACCTCAAATCATCGTTGAACTGCCTTCTTTGGAGCAGTTCAAGGTGGCTCTTGAAACAATTTAGTTCCCTTTTCAGGAACTGTACCGCATAGAGCTGTATATAACAACTCTATGATTTACCCTCATCTAGATGCTGAACAGGCGTTGATGAGTATCACCATAGAAGTAGAAGTAGAAGGGAATAGGATTATGGATCAGTGGTTCAGGATTTATGAATTCGGTTATATGGAGAGAGAGAGAAGATATTATATATATATATATATATGCATATTTATAGAGAGATAGAGAAAGAAAAAGATGAAGAAAGAGAGAGGGAGAGAGAGAGAGAGAGAGAGAGAGAGAGAGAGAGAGAGAGAGAGAGAGAGAGGTGGGTGGGCAGACAATTAAACAGCAAATAAATTTAAACAAAACATTATGAAAATCAACTTAAATCAATCTTTCAAACATAAAAAAGATAACTTTTTTGGAAGGGACACGCATCTGAAGAGAGCTAGCACTCTCGTTACAGTTCATTCCTCCATGTGCAGGAGGAAATACACTCTATGAAATGATCATTGTGCGTCATATATTGTGCGATATGGATGAACGGAGAACAAAACATTGCCTGATTCTTTTGGGAAAACATTCACGCGGGGCATTCCAGAAATATTTTTTTTCTTCATAAAATCATCCACGTTTCATGCGGGCTAATACCAAAAGAATGGCGAATTCGAAATGCGTTACCATTTCCAGTATGAACATTGTTTCCATAAATAGATAAGATGTTAAATTCTCTCAACGATAAGGTCGAATTGTTTTGAAAGTTTTACAATAGGGATAGGTAGCATTTGCTGTTTGGTGTACTGCAGCTAGTAGGCTTTCTAAGTATTGTAATGTGCATGGCCATCAACTAGTAGACGATCGCAAAGGCTTTCAAGAAATAAACTCAAGGGCAACTCCAATACCCTGACTTGCCTGTTGTAGTGGCTATAATAATTATATAGAAATGAATTTGAATTACGTGATATTTCATTAGTATATTCGCAAGTTTCAAACGAGTCAAAAGGACGTAGTACTATTATTGAATATTTTTTATAGCGCATATATCCCCCATGAAAGATGCTCAAAGCACTCTAAATATCATTATTTTTTAAAAAGGTGAAACACATAAGGCTATTGAAATCGCATTAATAATTGAAGGAAATTAAACTTCCACGTCATAACCCAGGCGCGGATCCAAGATTTCTTAGGGGAGGGGGCCCAACTTTTTTTTTTTTTTTTGCTCCCGAAAATTTGAAAAACGCGCCGGCCAGTGGGGGGGGGGGGGGGGGGGGGGGGGGGGGGGGGGGGGGGTAGTGAGTACATTTTTTTTTTTTTGATCCTCAAAAAAATTTCAATTTGCACCCCCCCTTGAGCGCCAGGGGGGGGGGGGCCCAACCCCCCCAAAAGGTAAAAATCACGTGATTTTCATGATTTTTTTTCTCAAGGGGGGGGGGGGGGGCCCGGGCCCTCGGGCCCCCCCCCCTGGATCCGCCACTGTCATAACCGAGAGAAAGAGAGTGATATCTTTCAGTCGTCGACCCTCAGGTCCTTATGTCTATAATTATAATAATGATTTAAGTATTGGCTAGTTTAAGTTGTATTTCTTTGCATCTCAGGCTTGGAGATCATTCTCATCAAGCCAATTTTGGCTTTCATGGTTCCCCAATTCCTTTTATCTTATGTTGATAATGAACGAACATGTATATACTTTTGATGTTTTTTAAAAGAGATTGAAATAAATAAATTAAATGAAATGAAATGAAATAAGCCTAAAATGAGTAGACTACATCGTGAAAGAATCATTTATAATAGAGCTCAGTGATTACACAATGTGACAAACAGGGGCGTACGCAGGATTTTTTCAAGAGGGGGGGGGGGGGGGTTTAAAATCTGGCCCAAAATATTTTGCTACCGAAAATTTGAAAATCGCGCCGGCCGAAAAGTCGCTCAGTGGGGGGGGGGGGGGGGATTCGTTGGGGGGGGGGGGGGTAAGGTCACTTTACGTTAGGCGTGGGCATAATTTTTTTTTTTTTTTAATTAAAAAACAAAAAACAAAAAAAACAAAAAAAAAACAAAGGGGGGGGGGGGTTTAGTTTTTTTAGGGGGGTTTACACACATAACAATACCAAAGGGGGGGGGTTTGAACCCCCAAACCCCCCCCCCCCCTGCGTACGCCCCTGGTGACAAACACTATGAGTTCCTTTTATTGTAATTTCCCTTTAATTTTCAAATATTCTCATAACACAATATGCGTTGCCCTGCGCTTTCATGACGTGCATAAACGTTTATTTGTGCGAAACTATCGAACCCTAAAACTGGCAAACGACTCTAAAACATGTTCATAAATAGGTTACATTGTTATGAATATGAAACGTTGTTCTAACGAGGACGCCATATTTCATTTCCTGAATGTTCAAGTTGATTTCAATTTCAAATTGAAAGTCGGGGAACCATGGCCGCTTTCATTGGGAGATTGCCTATATTTATAGTAATGATTTTGTTCATGTCTTTGGGAAACAACTTGCTTTATACCATGTGATAACAGGTACGATTCATCTTTCATTTAGCTTTACCCGTTCATGCACATTGGATTAACAAATCTTATATGTCTGTGTGTGCATCTGTGTGCGTGCATGGTGACTGTGGTCTCTAGAGAGGGACAATATGTACAGTAGCATCATAGGAATGATAGGGTGCTGCCGATATTCAAAAACAAAGTTGGCGGATTAAGGGCAAACTTGCAACCAGAATATAAACACCGACAAGAAAATAATGTATGTAGGCCTACTCAACGTGCCTCTGAGAAAATGTTGAGACCCTCATTAGCCCTCCAGTTTGTTGGACACAAAACGCTCCTATAAAAATACGAGAATCTGCTTCGTTTTTTGTTGGCTTAATTATCATATTAAATCATTCATTTATTGCAACCATAAGTTGGATTTCATACAGTAAAAAAGGCAGGCATATAAATGGTTCACAATATAGTTATATGTATATATACTTTGTACAATAAAACTGTATAAATTGACACTTTAAATACATAGATATGAAAAGAAGAAGAAAAAAAAAAACACTCAAGAGCAATCACATTTAAACATAATTAAAAGGTACATAGGACTTCACAGGACCAATAATCATATATCAACTGACATCAACGTATTGTCCAACAATTAAAATTGAGAAATATTTTGAAAGAAAGAGAGAGACAGTAAACCCAAATTGAGTGGTGGTATAATGCATTATCCGTATTAAAAAAAAAAATATATATATATATATATATATATCCAGTCAAATTCAATTGGTATTAAATTTGTTACATTATAAATTATTATAAAATACATATAATAAACAAGTGTGCAATTTTAAGTAAAACATCTACACGGCACCTCAATGCAATATAAAATTGGCAATAATGATTATTAATTAAATGTAATACCATGTACAAAGCTTGAATACAAGTACCCCCAAGTTTGATACTGATAAACCGGTGTCGTATAATAATAACAGATATGTAAAATAAGATTTAAACATAAATATATGGACCAATAATCATATATCAACTGACATCAACGTATTGTTCAGAACAGTTACAATTGAGGAATATTTTGAAGGAAAAAAAAAAAAAAAAAAAAAAAAAAAAAAGACCGTAAACCCAAATTGAGTGGTGGTATAATGCATTATTTGTAAAAATTAATCCAGACAAATTCACTTGATATCAAATTTGTTACATTCTCAATTATTTTAAAATTCATATAATGAACAAGTGTGTAATTTAATTAAAATGTCTAAACGGTAGTTTAATTCAATATACAATTGGCAATAATGATTATTAATTAAATTTAATACACTGTACAAAGTTTGAAGACACAATTAAAACGGTGTAGTATGATAATCACAAATATGTAAAATAGGATTGATGTCTTCTTATTAAAATTATTACATTTGATTAACGAGAATATACTAAAAAAAAAGGACAATAATATAGTATTAATGACTGCTTTGAGAGAAATAGTTGTTTTATTACGCTCAAGGGAAGGTTAGAATTGTGCTATTCCCCGAGGCTTGCCGAAGGGAATAGCCCAATTCTAACCTTCCCGAGAGCGTATGAAAACAACTATTTCTCGAATATTAAAGCAGTCATTAATACTTTTATATGCCGACAAAAAATAGACTAAAAAATGAAAAATTAAAAATATTTATCATTTTTGTCGAAGACGGGATCCGAACTCTAGCGTACAACAAGAGGTGTACCGAAAACCAACGCTTAGACCACTCGGCTATGGCCCGCCGTTAACATGCTTGGCAGTTTTCTCCAATATATACATTAAAATGGATTGAAACCGGCTTCGCGTGTGATGAATGCTTCGCAAAAGCTCCATATACGGACTCTTCTTTTACTTTTGCAATGCATATTGGCACGAACTTAGATCAAGATCTATCGGCAGATGTTGTTTTTAATACTAGCAGTCATTAATACTTTTATATGCCGAAAAAAAAATAGACTAAAAAATGAAAAATTAAAAATATTTATCATTTTTGTCGAAGACGGGATTCGAACTCTT